TAAAAAAAATAAAATGCCATTATTCTTTTTATCGGTGATTTATCTTAACTGTATGGGTTTTTTTTGGTTGAGAATATGAAGTAAAATGAAATTATATCAAGTAAAAGTACTTTTAAGCGTACAAAACATTGGGATCGGTTGTATGAATGAAGTCGCGTGCATTTCATTGGTCAACGCGTGACGTTGCTGAACTGATACATGATGTTAAGTCTGCCTATCAAGTCCTGATCTTAAAAATATTAGGCAGTAAAATCAAAGGGAAAATGTACAAATTGCCGATAAAAATTCATCTTTCTTGAAACTTAAATAAGAGCCAAAGAGGAAATGTCAAATATGTTGTTGTCCGTCCTTTTTTCTATAGTGTAAATACAGCCAATGCAGACTATCATTTCATGATCTTTCATACACATGACACACATGTTGAAGTTGATCTTTGGAAACAGATGTTTTTGTTTCAACAATTTTTTAGCAAATAAATCAAAAGTGTTTTTGTGTACAGATATGTGAAGGAAAATGTGATGAACATTTCAAGTATACTTTACTTACAAAAGTTCAACAGCTGGATAAGTTGCCGGACCATTTCTGAACCAGGACCACAGCAGAAAGACTTACAAGCAAAATTACACACATATTGTATGATATTGTATTGTTTAACCAATTTTTGTAGACCGTTGTTTCATCATCAGTTTCGTGTCTGGTAACTTAAGTTAGTTTCACGTAACGTCACAATTTTTTATGAGATGACATGTGCAACGACGTCACATGATGTAGACGTCGCTTTGTTTTTCTGTGTCTACATTGAAACAGCCAACACCAAAAGTCCAGCCCTGGCCTCAGTGACTTATTTTCATTTTTCATTTTTTATGTCGTCTCTGTGACAACAGAAAAAATAAAAAATGAAAATAATTCACTAAGGCCAGGAATGGACTACCAACACGAGTAGACCCTTGAGTCCATTATGTAATATGTAATTGTGTACAGTACTTACATTTGTCATTTGCCACATTTGGAGCAGGGTCTGCTTACCCTTCCGGAGCACCTGAGATCACTTCAGTTTTTGGTCGGGTTCGTGTTGCTCAGTCTTTAATTTTCTATGTTGTGTTTTGTGTACTGTTGTTTGTCTGTCTGTCTGTCTGTCTGTTTGTTTGTTTTTTTCTTTTTTTAGCCATGACCAGTGGCGGATCCAGAAATTTTCATAAGTGGGGACCCACTGACTGCCTAAGAGTGGTCCCGCTCCAGTCATGCTTCAGTGTTTCCCTAAGTAATCAACCAAATGTTTTCCATAAAGGGGGGGGGGGGCGGCGGCGGGCCCCCTGACCCCCCCCTCCCCCTAAATCCGCCTCTGATGGCGTTGTCAGTTTATTTTCTACTTATGAGTTTGAATGTCCCTTTGGTATCTTCGCCTCTCTGTAAGTGAACGAGTATAAGCGAGGTAAAAATGCAGCAAGCAAAGGACTTATATAAACTGGATTTCGTTATCACAAATTACTTAAATAATTGTTGCTTGCTTAACGTTCAGTGGCAAATATGTCATACATGACATATTCAGGACGAACAAATTACTTAAAACCTTTACTTAATTCTTCCAAAAATACAAAACATTTGGTTCGAAGGTTTGGTTGTATGTGTAGACACCTCTGTAACTTATAAAACACATGGATGCTTAGGGCTTCCCGATCAATGTTAAGTTTATACAAAAAATAATAGAATGTAAGAATCAAACAGTTATATAAAACGAAAAAGTATCCATCAACTTCAACAGCCAATGTGAAGCATTTCAGGGCCATGAAAATGAAATATTGTTCTTTTGGAATTCCAACCAAAGTTGAGGAACTTGGTCTTCTATCACTCTTTTTACCAAAATAGCACACTTAATTGTCCTTAAAGCAACGTTATATTGTTGCTGGTCTGCCAAATGCTTCACCAAACCTTTTTTTCAAAATTAATAATATCTTTCTCATCGGCAATTAAAAGTGAGCTTTAGACTTACTTTGAAATTACTTACTCTAGGGGTGGTTTGAAGCATATTAAAAATCTATTGTTTTTTTCTGGTTTTCTTTTATTTTTTTGTCATGATGTGGGTCTTTTCTCGACGTGTAGGGTTTAGTTGCCCCATGATATATCCTCCCTCCTTTTGACCTTAACTTACCTATTTGAATTTTTAATATCAAACATGTAGAGCATTTGACCACTTTTAGAAAATGTTTTTGTCTTTTGTCTTGAAAACTATAATAGAAAGCCCCTCAAAAGACCAAGAATCTTATATAACTACAACAAACCCTATGAAACTTTAGATAACAAAAAATCATCAGCAGTACAATCTCTACAATATTCATTAAACACTGAAACCATAAATTGATGTAAATGCTCTTGTTAAAATGACAATTTGTTTCCATTAGTTTTTACCAATTATCATGTAGACAGGCACTGCCTGGTATAAAAGACTTGACCATCAATACAGAATCTACAAAAGTGCCAATATGGCTGAAACCATCAATTTTCTCCTTAGAGGCGTTATTGCCCTTAAAAGAACATTGTTGATCAAAATTAACATTATCGCCTAATCTGTTGAAAACTGCCATAGATATAAGAAACTGTACTGAGCAAATTAAACAGCAATACAAGAACTTAAAATTCCCCAAACACTGAAACCATCAATCGATTAATAAGTAAAAGCATCGTCAATTATATTCTGTATTGGCAATAACTCCAAAAAATCCAAAAAGGGGTTAATTGATGATTTCATTCTCATTGGTATTTTTGTAGATCGTATATTGCTGCTCATTTTGCTATTTATTTGCTATTGACAGTGTTTAATAGAAAAGAAAGGATATAAGGTATCCATCCATGACATAAAATCAGTATGTGCTCAGCAAAAAAAAAAAACAAAACAAAACAACAACAAACGATCAATTGACTCACCTCAAGAGTTTTAGCCCTATTGTAATTACAGAAACTACATACAACAAAAACTATTAGTAGTACCAATCTACAAGAGTACCAGACAGCAAAAATTGTGAGTAATACAAGATCTACAACCCCTTACGAACGAGACCACCAATAGACACTTTACAGGTGTTGTTACTATTAAATGATGAGTTTATTTTCTTATGTAAACACTAGAAACAAAAGTTCACACAGAAATGTCTCTCGTGTTGTACTGATGGCTTGATTTCTATTTTGAAAGTCCTTAAAATTCAATTTGTATAGAACTAGCCATCTCCACTAGCCACGCGAAGATGAGAAATAACTGCCTTTTCAAGATGGTCAACGTGTGTCAGAGAATGCAATATATATCAGAATAAAAGGTCAAGATTGCGTATTTTTTTTCAAATGATCATACATGGTGAGAAAAGCGGAGAATGGTTTATATGCGTTATCGTTGTTTTGTCCTTTCGTCCGATTTTAACCGTTCCCTCTATGGTCTCTAGATGGTAACTTGAATGCTATTTAATTGAAAGCTTCTTTGTTAATAAAGTAAACCGGTTTGAATTTTGTCTCGCTTCGACGAAGTTAAATAAGCGTGACTTATAAGCGTGATGTTTCTTGTGGCGTAATTTAATTTGTAACTTCCAGTGGCAAATATTACATTCATATTAAAACTAAAACGTTTTAGTGTGATAAAATTATGAACTCTGCACCCTGATTTCTTATAGGCAGACTGCGCACAAAGTCTTGCACTAGACACACGCTTAGTCGGATCTTTAACGTGCTAGTTCAAAAGGTAACAGTTCGCAGGAAGACGTGTCACCCTACCTGGGTACATTATTTAAAACTGCGGGTCTTTGTTCTTACGCTTAAATGCCGACTGCTTTGTCGGTGACCAACAACCAATGGCATCTGACTTCTTCAAGGATTAGCCATCTTTCCATTCTCCCACCGAGTTTGTAACACATGCAAGGGTGAGCTTTCGTGTTTCAAGTCTATCTTGTAACTTGTTGATATTTCGTGTTTCAAGTCTATCTTGTAACTTGTTGATCTTTCGTTCTGTCATAGATCACAGGGACTCTCCAGTTCAGACCTTTCAGTACTTGTGATTGGGGTTGACTGACCATCCCCCATCATGTTGACATTAGTTCACTTGGTCAATTTGAAAATTATTTATAAATAATTTATCTCTTCTATGTTGTTTTATTCTATTTTAAAACTGCACAGTCCATAAAAATACCGTATTATATAGATATAAAATACTAGTAGTAAACATATACTTAACATGGCACTATATATATTTGTAGTCAAGATCCCCACTTTTGTGGAACTAACATTTCATGTCGTTGTTCCTGTCAAGGGAGTATAATCCAACAAGTTGATGATTTGCTACGGAAGTTTAAGATATGACATAAGAGATCAAAGAGAGCCACTATAATGAGGTACTTTGCTTGGGTACAATGGTTTAATTAGTTTCCAAATGTAAAAAAGGATAAACATGAATGTAGATTGTATCATATTTACTAAAATCATTTTTTGCAATCCTTTCCCATTTTAGGCATAGAGTCTCGGGATATTCTGCTAGTATTTTGGTTTTCGTTTTGATCATGTTTCAATAAAACATTGTGCCTCAAAACTTATTCTTACTCAAAATTGAACTCGACTACTACTAACTCAAATACTTACTCAAATGGAAGTTTGATCCGTGATTGAAATGTATCGAAATACGAACTCAGATTAAATAACTTGAATTCTAACTGAAGTTACACTCTAACTCTTACTCAGAACTCAAACTCGAAGTTTAACTCGAAACACAGCTCGAACTTATACTCTAACTTTGGCGCAAACTCGGACTCGAAGCATAAATCGCACTTTAACTCGAACTATCACTTGAACCCTGACTAACTTTGAACTTCATAAACGGACTATTTCAGTAGGCCAGATTGTAAACACAATTTATCACAAGTAAAAACAGTTTTTTTCTATATATATTTATTCATTTATTTATTTATCAACTAATAACATAAATATAGCACTAATAGTAATAATAAAGTGAAGCACTCAATAGTCATTTACAAGTCAACATGTTGCTGTGTATAACTGAAAAACTTCTCCAGGAGTCTTTGTCCAGTTTTATGATGACTATACCTCTTGGCAGTCGGTATAATCTTTGAGATAGTCCCTGATTTAACAGAATAGTTGACAAAGTCCCAGCATGCTCTTTCAAGGTCATCCAGACCAAACTGTGATGCTCCACATAAAAGTCCAGCTACACATGAACTGTTGATGTCCACAGAGCCACTGTGTATGAACTGTATTATCTTTCTGAAGTCCTCTGGTTCATACTTCTTCACAACGATGGTAACTTTGTCAGATTTTACTGTGGTTTTCTTTTGCTTTCCTTTTTTGTCAGCTTTACTCTGAAATTCAGCTTCCTTTTGTTTCTTTAAAATAAGATTGTACAGCACCCTGCTTCTTGTTCCCAAGATGGCCTTGACACCATGAACTTTGACATGTTCTGGTCCAACATCAAATGTGACATCACAAAGTTCTGGTATGGATGAGATGACCTTCAGTTGTTCTGTCAAAGCTTGTGTATTTCTGTAACTCATCTTTTCTTTGATCTTGACTGGGTCCCTGTTGTAGCTGGTTGGTACCAGTGTGTCATATTGTGGTTTCTGGGTTGGTGCAGACGACTCTGTGTCTGATGGTGTGGATTCATAACCTGAGGAATAGTCATCCTGTTCTACTTGTTCAAAGTCCATTAAAGCCAGAGTGGATTCACATCTATCCATTTTGTAGTTGTAAAGGTGTATAAAGCCAAAGATATAATTTGAAATGATATGAACTTTCTCATTACTGTATTTATATTCATGACATTTTATGAAATGAAATGCTCCTTTTTGACAAGTAGCATAAAATGGCATATAAATTGAGACATGGAGACATTTCTGTCAATTCTCAGTTCAACCAAGTTGTTGGCTTGTCTATAGCTTGGGGTCATCAATGCATTCAATTAATCTAATTAACAGGTTGATTAGTTAGTAAAGCTAGTTTGATTAATCCTGTTATAATTTATCCTAGGGTAAACAATATGAGCAAATCTAATTGATGGTTTTGTAATTAAACCAATAACAGCTTAAAAATATATATGAAAGCTGACATTTAAAATTATTTATTTTTCCAAAAAATCTTAAAAGACAATAAAGACATGACTTATAGTTATTGACTGTAAATTAATTTTAATTCTTTTACAATACATAATAGAAAATTAAATGTGATATATTCAATATTCTAATATATCATATAAAAGGTATGCCCTAATGCTAACATTTTAAGATTTAGGTAAATAAGTTAAATTCTTTACTAAGTCAACTGGAGATAAAAACTTGTATCTCTAATTCATCAATGTAAAATAACATATATATCCAACCATAATGAAAAAATACAAGGCAAGCCCAGTTTTTTATTTATTTCTTATGTCCAAGGGCATTAATACTGCCCAAAATCAAATCCCCTAGAATAAACCTCAATATATAACTCATCAATACACAACTATAAACCAAGCACAGCCATGGAAAGTCTGGACAAGAACAATTTATAGCCATTTTGTTTTTGCTTTTTACCTCCTTTTAATTTCAAAATGAAGATAAATATCTGAAATTCTGAATTATCGAAATAAATATCTAGGATCTTGTTTATACTTTTAATGGAATAATGACTTTACTAATGATTTAGTCTTTTATTTAAACTGGGACAAAATATATGTCATGTATTTGTTCCAGATTTAAAACATATATATATATATTTCTCTAATTCTATGGAAATTTATCCCTTTCCGAACCCATTGTAAAAATGATGATTTTAAGGGTCATAACCTTTTTAGCTAACTGGAGGAATCAAAATATGCTAACAGGTGTTAATGAAATTGACAACTTCGTGGAATGTGAAAGGCACACGAAGGGGATTTTCGTTTAACAAAAAAAGAAAATTTATTTTTTAATCATTAGAGAAACAGATTCTTACATAGTTACTGGTGGATTATCGGATTTATCCAATCTCGATAGTTAAATAATAAATTTTAAAGTCCTTGCTGTGGCTCGGACTTTAAAATTGATAATTTAACTATCTCGATTGGATAAATCTGATAATCCACTGGTATCAATGTAAGAATCTATATATATCTGTACAATAACTATTCACCTATATACTCGGTATATGTGTTGGAGATTGGATTTGGTTCTCTAGATGTTTTTTTTAAAAAAAAAATTTTGTAGTTGGGTTGATGTCTCATTGACATGTTCCAACAAATCATTGTATTCATAAACATTTGCAACTGATTTTTTCCCGTTTTTCTATGTTGTGCTGTTACACCACTCTACCAGGATAGGAGACGGTTGAGTGCTCACAAACATGTAAAACCCCACCACAATTTTGTGCCTGTTCTTAGTAAGGAGGCTGATATCCACTGGTTGTCTAATGGTTGCTTTTGTTTTGTCATAAGTTAAGCCATTGATTTCTCTTTTGAATTGTTTCACATTTTGTCATGCCAGGGCCTTTTCTAGCTTTCATTATAAATAATATTGTATGGGTTTTGCTCATTGTTGAAGGCTGTACAGTGACCTGTAGTTGAAACCTCCTTGTCATTTGATTCCTGGTTGATAGTTGACTCATTGGCAGTCATATCACATCTACTTATTCTTATATTATACATAAAACTGCTAAAACAAAATGCTGACTCAGTAGTATTTATTCATCTAGACATAAACAAATATTTTTGACATGATTGTGAAATATGACATGTACAAAATAAATAGCTACAGAAAATATCTCGTTTTACTAAAAATCAGCAATAGTTTTCATGGATCTATATAAATATGGTTTGTATTCTGAACCCCGTTAGTCCATGTGATTTTTTTACGTTATCAGTCCACCCAGAAAATCATAACACAAAGATGTGCTCCATTCTGTAAACCAAATCCTTCAACAGCTATAAAAACTTGATTATGACAGTGTTCATCTATCAGCCAATAGATAATTTACATTTTAACTGACCTTTGTGTACTCAATTTGTTTAAAGTATGTTTTGGTGGTTGGTGAATACTTCTAATGGTTTTAACTTATGAATGGTGCACACAAAAAAATATCTTAGATACTTTGAAAAAAGTAGTTGAAATTTTTAAGATAATCTTTTCACCATAAGTAGAATTCATTTATTGTTATAAACCATTTTTATACACCTTATCGCTATTCCCGGCTGACCCGAGAATCTGTCCCGCTTGAACTATTGACGTCATACAACAATCACTTTTCCATTGTGGCGTCAGATATTTTGTATTGTGACGTCAAAATTTTACGGGAACCTGTGTGATGGCCAGTAATGGCGGACAAATAGCGATAAGGTGTATTACTCTGTCTTCTTCAGAAGCTAAGCAGTAAACATCACTAAATCAGCAGAAACATTTAATGAAATGTAAACAAAATATGCTGAGTAAATTCCATTTTAGTTAGTTGTGCTTCTTAGTCTTATATTTAAATAATAAAACATACAGAAATAATAATGAGTACCAGTAATCAGGAGTTATTTTTAATCTAAAATGCACAAAAAATTATAATGATTTTTTTTTTTTATTATCAAAATGACTTTAAATAAGAGAACATTTGCATGCAACCATTAAGTTTTCTTCAGTTTTATATGAAATTAAACCTTGTAATAATGCGATATTTATATTTCACAAAAAAGACTGGAACCTGTTGTCTTTGCATTTTATATGTTTTTTAGCTTTAAAAAATTTCTGGGCTGCTGCTCAACTAACTAATGTATGCTCATAACTTAAGGAAATCTATCAAACTTATATCATTAATATACAAAGTTTTAAATAACAGAATATTTAGTTAGTGAATATATAACACTCATATCTTTGTACTTATGAAGATAATGAATTATACAAAAACTAAAATCTACATCAATTTCCATAATCTTCATTGCACAAAATAAATCCTGGAGTCATCCTTAGAGCTAATAAATAAACCAGTCAATGGTTAACAGTAGTTAGAATGACACAGAAATCTATAAAAAGATATTGGTATTTCATAAAATTGATTTCATAGGTGTTTTTTAAAAACCCCAGATCCTGCCTAAATTAACTAAAATTAATTTGTCCCAAATTTTACAGGTTATATGGACTGATGTTGACTACAACACAGAGTTTTATATAGATGCTAGTTTTTTTGTTTACCTTGGTAAAAAAAAAAAAATTCAAAGTATTGCCTGATAGATTGGAAAATCTTTCACATGATGATGCTACATCTCAACACTATAAAGTTCCTGACCAAATATCATTCCATAACACAGCAGTTGAGTAACATGTAACAATAGTAACAGACGGACGGACAAAATCATTGTGGTATACCGACCAAGGAGAGGGTGGGTAGAGTTGGAGTATAATATTTCATTAGCATGACACTTATTCTAGCAAACAAGATTTTTCATTTTCAACATGTGTAGGCCTTTGAGGACACAAATGATGTAAGCATAAGAAGATATAGTAACCACACATAAACAGAGAATTCTTTAACAGACTGTTGTTTTGAAATTAGGAAAGCATGGCATATGGATATTCTAATGTAACAAATGTCTAAAGATCACTACAGCCAAATATAAATGTACATTATATTAAAAAAAATATTTTCTTGGTAAAACACAAATTTATTCTTTTTGAATTAAGCAATGTGTAGTAGTTGTCACTAATTACATGTGTAAAATGACAAAAAAAATCAAGGTTTATTCATTTTTCCTGAGTTTTTACCATTTTGATGGCGTTTGTCTTTCTAAAACCTTCCATTCCTTCCCTTTTTAAAAAACTTATTTATCTAGTGAGGATTACAATCTCCCAAGAAAGCGAAAAAGGAAATTGTTAGGTTTCCTGTTATTATAATAAATGATAAGAACTTAGAAAATATTTATAACTTCTTAATTAAAAATGGACCAATAAAAGCTGTGTTGTGTTAGCAATATGAAGTTGGTACAAACAGGGTTTCAACTGACCTCTTCATTAAAAATGTGTATAAATTATTAGCACTCCTTTCAAATAAACATAATTATAAAAAAAACTTACATTAACCAAGCTCTCTGTTTTCTACATTTATTAAAGCACAAAAATCAAGTGTTATGAATATAAATTAGTACAGTTGCAAACGTTAACATAAAATTCCTCCATTTACAAAGACAGTATGAATACGGCAAAGGACTTCATAATACATTACTATACATGGCATTGACTTGACTTTTGTCAGTTTTAAGCCTAGAAAGCTATCTCTTGAATCTTTTAATTGACACAATATTTTAGTACTATAATATAAATATTTAATATACATTTCTAAATTGTGCAGCACAAAACAAAACATTTCACAGGACCTGCCCTGAACTTAAAAACAAAATATTATTATATTGTTCATCATATTTCCTGGTTTATTTATTTTGAGACATCATCAGTGGTAAAATTAGCACAATATTCTTACGAACATTGCAAGTAATAACAAATGTTTTATGCATTAACTTCAATCAATGCATTTCACTTTTAATCTGATTTTACTGTTCTACTGTCAAAGGGAAGTAACTCATGAATTTGTTTTTATTCAGAGGAAAGTAACTCATGAATTAGTTTTTATTCAGAGGGAAGTTATAACAAATATGTATGCTACTGATAAGAAATTAAAAATTTGTGAGGAGCAATAATTATAACTACATATAAAAATACAGAAAAAAGGAAAAATAAACAAATTAGGAGGATATCACACTGATATTCTAGTAGATACATGGTTTTATATTACGCCAATTCTTAACAAAAATGATACAGCAGTATAAAAATACTTTTGACTAATGTTACACAACCTAAATATTAAATGCATGTTATTGTATTATTTATAAAGCAATTCTTAACAATTACAACCCTTCAAAATAACCACTTATTAAAGGGAGAAGAAAATAAACTATATTCTACTCTGTATATGAACTTTTAAATTTCTAATAAGAGGTAGTGGTTTTGATTTGCTTTTGTTTTCTGTTTTGAAAAAAAAAAACTTCAACATTCTCAGTCTGAAATTTTGTAATAAATTTGAAAAAAGCATTACATTTCCTAATATATTTACATTAAACTCATGAAATTGTTATTTATTTGTGAATTTACAATAAGCAAGCCTTAGTTTTGCAAATTCTCAATTACTTTTGAGAATTTACAATTATAAAAGCCTAGTTTTCTGAATTCTATCACAATATGCTTGAGCATAAAAATTCCTGAAAAACAAAAGTTTTTGAAATTAATAGTGATCCATAAATGAAAAAGATTCTTGTTAAGTATAGCATTATGTTTATTTTTTTATCTAATCTGATTTACAACTCATGACTTAATAATTAGATTGAAGTTTGGTAGCTTAATAAAAAAAAAAAACAAGAGTATTTAAAACGTTCTGTAATTTTGATTCTTATGTAATTTGAATTGAGAAAGCTGTAACCACACATTACTTTATGCAATCATACATGAATGTAAATGAATAAAAGTCAATATTACATGCATAATGTCTTTAACTAAAATATAGCATTATGCTCTGAAATTGATTGAATTATTGACAAGTGTAACACGGTAAAGAGAAATATTTTCGTGACGGTTAACTTTCCTGTATTTGGGGATTTAATAATAAGATTAAATTGCTACAATATCCTACCCTGTAAATTTAAGAAGACTGGAATCAGGGACATGAAAAAACATGAAAATAAAACTTCAGGGTTAACCTAGAATTTTCAAAATTAAAACTCCATGAAAAAAGTTAACAGTAATTAACATTTGGTTGCAATGGCTTACAGATCCAGAAAGATAAAAATTAAATCCAATTTAAATGAAACCTCATAAAACTATACCATTATGCTGATATTGATTTTTGAAGTGTTAACTCTATTTGGTAACAACCTCTAAAAGATATGACACCTTACCCAGACACATTATTTTGCCTCAGAGATGACCAGCACTTACTTAAAAATACTTCTTGCTGGACATAAAAGTAAAACGTTAATTTTGCTCTGGAAAGGCTGACAAATTATATTTCATTATCAGGACCGTGCTTATGTTTTATTCCCCTCCCTTCCTCCCTTCCGAAAATAGAAATAACTTATAACATGGTGTCATGGTTAACTCTTCCTTGTAAGAAATCTCAAACTGGCCCAGTAGGCTCATTTGGAATAATTACAATGATACATATACCTTATCACTGTTTCGGATCGGCTACACTTGAACTATTGACATATATAACAATCATTGTTGCAATGTTGAGTCAGACATTTTCTGTCATGAGGTAAACAAATTTATGGGAAAGTCTGTGTGGCAGATTGGAATATCTAGTATTTGTTCAAATATATTATAGAAGCCCAAAGTTATCAAACATAGTTCATTAAATTCACATGGCTAATATTTCTTATAGATTTCATGGCTTTCTATGACAATGCAGATTGTTAAAAGCAGTACATCAATCTATAAGTAAACACTAATTTTGAAGTTTAAAAATAAACAAGATTAATGGAATGAGCTTAACCTATGAAGGGTTGCTTGTTACAATGAAAAAATGTTGTGATAAAACAACAAAACTAACATACAAAAATCATTCGGCAAAAAATATATGGGTGTGAGTCCAAAAATTTTGAAAGGCCAAATTACCGATGATTTCAGCTACTGATAATTAGTCAAATGAAATCGGGTAAAATTGAAAGCCCTATAGTGAGAATTACATATTAAACGGGAGATGTGGAGCTGACGGACAAGGCAATATAAACAATAATAAGCATACATTAACATAAAATACTGGTTTTGTGCATTAGGTAATAACACCATATGAATTTTTAAGGTGGCTCTGTTCTGTGAAACAAACATATAAAAACAAAAAAAGAAGATTGCTTTCATCATGAGAAATAAAAACAAGGAATGAGTGTATAAATTAAGTATCTAAGATCCCAGTCATTATTTTTCTTCATCAGTGGCTTTAGTTCCTTTTATACTGCCTTTTCTTCTTGACTGAAAATAAAAAAATGTAGTTGAGATAATGTGAAAGAACAGTATAACCTTCCTTTACCTATAGTGTTATACAATAATGATCAGTAACTTCATTCTTTGCTTATTGTGTTATACGACAAATTATTAAATGATATGAGCAAATAAGCTCTAATATGGAGAAATCAGCATGTGCAATACTGATGACGTCGCCCTGTTGATATAAATCATGAGTTAATGTTCACTTCAAGTTTTAAATTTGATATGCATAACCTATTAAACCTCGGACCAATCATAATGCATAAGATACATTTTTATCATATTTTGCAACTTAAAATGACATAAAAATGGTCTGTGTTTTGTAATGACTTGAAACGGAAATATTCCCCAGCCTTTCCAAGTAGAACTTTGGATAATAATCACTGTTTCATTCCCGTTGATGAATCATCAGAATGCAGACGATTACAAAGTAAGAATGGTTATATTTGCTAGGTAAAATGAATTGAATTAGCATAAATTATTTAAAGTACTTGGACAAGAAATCAGAAATTTCATCAATGTTGAGAAAAGTGCATCATGACTGTGAAAAGACAAGTTCAAATATAAATTCCTGTGTATCTTCTTTACAGTAAGTTTCTTAGTTTAATCAAAGAATTAGGATTATTTAATAAAAGTAAAATGATTCTGCTGTTTCTGTATTGGCCCTGTTATAGATTCTAGATTAGCTGTATTATCCCTAGACTCTTCGAGTCTCAGGGCCAATACAGCTAACCTCAAATCTATAATAGGGCCAATACAGAAACAGCCAGTTAATAACACTATAGTTCAGTTTCACAAAGTACTGATCTTGTAAAGGGCCTGTAACAAAAATGCAATATGACAGTCAATCAATAACCTAATCTTCTAATAAATGGGAATAGCAATGAACAGTATAACAATCTTTCACTTATACTGTTGTATGCAATGTTGTATGCAATGTACAGTGAACCACATTTGTAAGGCAATGTACAGTGAACCACTTTTGTATGCCAATGTACAGTGAACCACTTTTGTATGCAATGTACAGTGAACCACTTTTGTATGCCAATGTACAGTGAACCACTTTTGTATGCAATGTACAGTGAACCACTTTTGTATGCAATGTACAGTGAACCACTTTTGTATGCCAATGTTCAGTGAACCACTTTTGTATGCAATGTACAGTGAACCACTTTTGTATGCCAATGTACAGTGAACCACTTTTGTATGGCAATGTACAGTGAACCACTTTTGTATGGCATTGTACAGTGAACCACTTTTGTATGGCAATGTACAGTGAACCTTTTTTGTATGGCAATGAACATTGAACCACTTTTGTATGCCAATGTTCAGTGAACCACTTTTGTATGCAATGTACAGTGAACCACTTTTGTATGCCAATGTACAGTGAACCACTTTTGTATGGCAATGTACAGTGAACCACTTTTGTATGGCACTGTACATTGAACCACTTATGTATGGCAATGTACATTGAACCACTTTTGTATGGTAATGTTCAGTGAACCACTTATGTATGGCAATGTACATTGAACCACTTTTGTATGGTAATGTTCAGTGAACCACTTTTGTATGGCATTGTACAGTGAACCACTTTTGTATGGCAATGTACACTGAACCACTTTTGTATGCCAATGTTCAGTGAACCACTTTTGAATGGCAATGTACATTGAATCTCTTTTGTATGGCAAAGTACAGGATGCAGTGTTTGTCTAAAGTGGTAATACTTGAACCGCCATCTTTTATTTCAGCCTCAAATAAAATGAACAATTCATCAATAGTAAAAAGAAAATTTCAACTTAGTTTCTGCCATCTCAAACTGGGTCCAGTTTTTGTTTGTTACATTTCTGAATAATTTTCTATTTTTTTCAAATATCAAACTAAAGGACACTTTCTATTTTAAGGTTTGTAACTAGAAACAAAACACATGTTTTCTTTTAAATTTCTTCCATCATCTATTCCTTATTTTATCTATCTCATATATACCTCACAATGCAATTTATGAGGTAACTGACAAACAACGAACTTCCTACCTCGTCTAATTCTCTCTTTGTTTCTTCTTCTATTCGTCTGATATCTTCCATAGTATAACCGTGCCATTTATCCATCCAACAAAACACTTGTCTATGGAAATTTGTAAATATTCTTTTTTCTTGCTGTAAATAAAAATTGAGAAATTTACCACACTGTAGCTCATATAAATAAGAAGTTGTGGTATGAGTGCCGATGAGACAACTCTCCATCCAAGTCACAATGTGTAAAAAGTAAACAATTATAGGTCAAAGTAATACACACCGAACAGCAAGCTATAAAGGGCCCCAAAATGACTAGTGTAAAACAATTCAAACAGGAAAACCAACGGTCTAATCTATATAAAAAACGATGCCACTTCATGACAAAAATTCATTAAATATAAAAAACTTTTATTATCAAGTATAAAAAAAGAGGCAGAAATCAGCAAGAGAACAGTAAAAATCATACATTTGTTTGTAATTTGAAGAATAAACTGATGACACACAAATATATCCAGCCTGTTGTATGTAATTTTGATAATATCATGTAAATGTTGAAATTAAACTGGCAATAATGTGCCAATGCTAATACAACTTCATACCATATATAATTGACATACCACTAGTGTTTCCCCTTAAACTGACCTAATCACAAACCTATGCATTGTGGATGCCACAGTCGTTGGAAACAGCATGCCTTAGTTTCACCTCCATAACTTGGCAAGATGAGACAAAAACCAATAATACCATGTCAAAATTTGATAAATGACGTAAAGACAAACAAATTTCCAATAAACACTCCAAAGAAAACTAAAGATTGCAACATGAACTCCTACGAAAAAACTAGCCCTATTAAACATGTTAAATATTAGTTGATTCTCCAGATTTATTACTAAATTTTAAGGTGATCAGGCATAATGATGGCCTAAGATAAAATATATATCATAAACAACAATTGGAAAATTCTACAAAAATCATTAAAGCAATAAATGCAGGTCTTCTAACCATGTTGAGGCCATTTATGGCTTAGTATACACCTTGCAGTATGGCTTTTGCTCATTGTTGAATGCTATAAGGTGACCTATAGCTGCTAACATCTACTTCCTTTGGACTACGATTGCTAAATAAGCAAATGTTTTGTGTGATACTTGCACCCTTTTGTTGTCACTAGTAAAAATACAAAGAACCTATACTTGTCTACATAACAGGCTAAATAATATCTATTATACTGACTGTGTCACTAAATACTTATACAAAATATACTTACAGTTTGTATAAATTTTTCTACTCTGTTCTGTAAACCAAACCATTTAAATTTACAGGAAACCAATTTATAACAACACATCACAGGGTCAGCTTTTTCCTACAAAACAGAAAAAATAACTGAATAGCTCAATACAAAAAGGTTTATCATGGGAAATGAGAGTTAGGTTTTTTCTTTACCCCAAGTATTCACTTTAACTTTACTTTACACTATCTGTCATCACTTTCATTGTAGTATTATGTCTTAATCATTTTTTGACGATAACTGTTAACATGAAATTAAAAGCTTAGATTTAGTATTGATGATTGAATTTTTTTTTATCTGTTATGTTTTAACCCTTCCTTTGTTGCTGCATGATATATTTGTGCTATGACTGAGTTCTTTGTTGCTGCATGATATATTTGTGATCCAGTTTTAGTTTTGTGGTAGTGACTTTATTGAAAGCAAGACAGAACAGCTTCTGATACGAACCTTCCAAATCCCCCAAATAACCGGATGATAATTTAAAGGTCTTAGTATTGTTATAAACAGAAGATAATAGCTTCATTTTACAATTTCTGTAACAAAATCAGTGCTGCTCAATAATTGTTTCATGTTAATATGATACAGTGATGCAAAAATATTAAAGTACAAAGCACATTGGAGTTCATAATTGAGACACCTGGCTTTACAGTCATAAAAATTTGGAGTATAATTATCATACTCAGACTCAGAATTCAACCAATCAAAATACTTGATTTGGTTTTTCTAGCACAAATTTAGTAATCCAATCACTGAGTAAAGTTTTACGACCATAGGCCTTGTTTCAATTATATCCCCTAAACAATTTGCAAGGAGCAAAAACATTTCCTTATCAGCACTCACCTGCCAATTTCCTACTAAGGGACCTCTTTCGGTTTTATCTGATTTGTTCTTCGATGGATCCCATTCCAATTTGTAGTCCTGTTTATAGAAGAAAAAGTATTTTATACAACCTCATACAATATAAACATTACAGATTCAAACTTTCATAAACTATTGAATTCTTACTTGAAAACATTTACATACCAACATTAAATCTGCTTGTTTGTTAGGTAAACCTCAAACTATTTACTAGATATTGTATACGTAAAAACAAAATGGTCACAGTGGGTTTTCAGTCATCCTTTTTGTGACCCACCCCATGATTTGATTGGCTAACTATTACTATCATCAAAAAAAGGAGTTGTGGGGTATATATTATAGTTAGACAGAAACCCAGCAATATGAAAAATCCAAATCCAAATCTTTCCATAGGAAGTAAACAATGGTCATTTTGGTTTTATAGTCCAATTAGTTTTAACATGGCGAAACAAACTGACTGTGACGTCAGCAAATTTAAGCCATAGGAAAAATTGTGATTTCAGTCCCCCCTCCTCTATTTCAGGTTTACAAATTTATTGCACTAGTGCAGCCACACACAATATTTTACACATCTATAATAAAATACATACGTCATGTTTAATAGGATCATTGGCTATATCTATAGGTACAACTTTTCTAATTCTCATATCTTCTGGTCCTAAACCATGTACCTGAAATGAAAAAAAAACTTCAACATGAAAAATAAATTTTCTGGATCTGGTTTCTAAGAAACCAACTTAAAAAGTTTATAAGAAAGCAGGAGGTTTAACATTTGTACATATAACTATATTCACATTAAGATGTATTTTTTGTGCTCTGTATATATACTTAAATGTGTAAAAATAAAATTAGGTTTCCAATAGATACTTAATAGTCGGGATAAAATACAAGTTTTTTGGCTGGCCAATTTGGCAAGCACAAGTCCATACTTTCTTTTATTTTTGAATTATCATGTCCATAAGATTTTTTTTTACTGTAATCCATTAATAACAAATCTCAAGCATTTAACTTCTGTCTTTTTTCTAGCACACTTGTACTTTGACAAGTTAGATTATTACATTGGTACCAGTGGATTATCAGATTTATCCAATTAATATAATTTAAGTATCGAGATTGGATAAATCCGATAATCCACCAGTAATTATGTAAGAATCTCTAATGATTATCTAATAAAATTTCATAGTTGATAACAAAAGTCCCCTTTGAGTGCCTCCACATTTTCTGATGGGTTTGACAATTTAAGTGTGGAAGCAATCAATGGGGATTTTTGTTATCAAATATGAAACCAATTAACGTCCCGTAAACGGGCGTATAAAAAGGACCACTTTTAATCAAGAATTTTGCATTTAATGAATTATATATTCATATATTCATATGTAAAAGTAAACAACTTGAACATTGATTTCTGAAGGTGGAACTATTTACACTCAGTAAAAGTTTTGTAAAGTTGTCAATTTCTCTAACATGTGTTCATCAATCCAGAGAGCTGATATAGGTTATGACCTTTTAACTTAACCAATCATAAATACTGAGATCATCTGCAACTACACATTGACAATTTTTTTTTAGCAATGAGGTCCAGAGAGGGTTAAATTGCCAAAGAATTAGAGAAAAGAACTTATAGACATCTAATAATTTCTTACTTCAAAATATCTCTAGAAAAGTTCAGTGACATTACAGATGTAAGTAGATGTAAGTAACTTTTAAGATGATGCAAATTGTCTTATGTTTCTTGATATACTGACAAATGAATATCAAATGGTTGTTTTACAAAATGGTTTATATCTAGTGGTATATTGGATCACAGCACTGTAATCATAAGACAGAATCCTTTTGCACAGATAAATTACAGATCATCCATCTTTATTAAAAATAAAAATGCTGTTCCTTTTGCCCTAATATTCTTTTTTTTTTTACCTCCATGGATTGATTGATTGGTTTTTGGTGTTTTACCCCATTTTCAGCACTATTAGGTATTTCGCGGCGATCAGTTTTTATTGGTGGAGGAAGCTGGAGTGCCTGGACAGAACAATCAACGTTTGACAGGAAAACTGACAATCATATATAGATATAAGAAGATGTGGTATGAGTGCCAATGCGACAACTCTCCATCCAAGCCTATTAAGATTGGAGTTGAACACATCTGCTACATGCTGGGTTCAAACTCGCAAACTCAGTGTTGACAGGCTAGTGATACAGTAGTTGAACTACTTAGATCACTCAAACTGACAATCATAGCCTATTAAGATTGGAGTTGAACACATCTGCTACATGCTGGGTTCGAACTCGCAAACTCAGTGTTGACAGGCTAGTGATACAGTAGTTGAACTACTTAGATCACTCAGCCACCGAGGCCCCTTAATAATATATAGAAGATACCAGATATAAAATGTGATTTTGATTGTTGGTTGCTTAACGTCTTGTGATTTTGTCATTAGTGGACATTTTATTGAAGTTTGTAAGAGATACTACATAAAATCAATATCTTTCTCTTAAAGAAAGTAGTTTAATTTGACTACTTCTTATTACTTAAGGGTGTAAAAAGAGCAATGAATTTAAGCTTACTTGTCTGCTCTGTGGACCATGAAAATCAATATTACCTTTGTCTTCTACGTTTTGAAAAAGAAAAAAATAAATAATGTGGAGATATCAATGGTTAATCATACCACAGGTAACAAAACGAGGGCTAAAAAACCTGTTTTACCAGTTTGTTTCTCTTTTTTTCAATAAACTTTTTAAATATTATTGACTCTGGAGTATATAATTTTTCAACAGGTTACCTGCTCTGTGGTAGGACATTCTGGTTCTCGGTCAAGAGCAACTAAAAGAGGTAAAATCAAGCTTACCATCATTGCAATTGGGGAAAAAATAAACTTTTTATTTTTTATTTTGTTGTGTATAGAAAATATGAAAGAGTTAATTTTGTTTCCCAAACTGCATCAATTGGAAGATTGATTTTACTTCTTTTAGTTGCTCTTACTTAACAGAGTACCAAAATATCCTACCACAGAGTAGGTAACCTGTCGAATAAACAGCTGCGCCATGAGCGCATGATACGCCCGTCGTCTTGTGTGTGAATTTTTATGCAATAAGCATAAATAGTTTCTGACATACGGCATGCGAAAACCCCCTTTTTTTTTTTTACAAAAAACTCAATATCTCTAAAATAAAATTTTGAATCAAAACCAAAAAGTATACTGATCTTTAGATTAATATAACTAAGAAGTGTGTAAAATTTTAAGCAATAATCATAAATCGTTTTTGAGATATGGCGCAACATGTGAAAACCCCCCCTTTAAAAAAAAAAAAAAAATCAATATCTCAAAAATAAAATTTTGAATCAAAACCAAAAAGTATACAGATCTTTAGATTAATATAACTAAGAAGTGTGTAAAATTTTAAGCAATAATCATAAATCGTTTTTGAGATACGGCGCGACATGTGAAAAACCCCTCCCCCTTTTTTTTTACAAAATACTCAATAACTCAAAAATAAAATTTTGAATCATCACCAAAAAGTATACAGATCTTAAGGTTAATATAACTAAGAAGTGTGTAAAGTTTTAAGCAATAATCATAAACTGTTTTTGAGATACGGTGCGACATGTGAAAAACCCCTCCCCCTTTTTTAACAAAATACTCAATATCTCTAAAATAAAATTTTGAATCATCACCAAAAAGTATACAGATCTTAAGATTAATATAACTAAGAAGTGTGTAAAGTTTTAAGCAATAATCATAAATTGTTTTTGAGATACGGCGCGACATGTGAAAAAAAACACACACCTGTTTTAGTTACTAAGTCCTGTAACTCAAAAAGTTTTAATCTTATTTCACCAAAAAGTATACAGATCGTTTGACCATCATAAGAAACAACTATATTAAGTTTCATGAAATTTGGATAAGTCATTCTCAAGTTACGGTGCGACATGTTTACGCCGGACAGACAGACGGACAGACACCGGACATTTGTATACCATAATACGTCCCGTCAAAAATTGATGGGTGTATAAAAACTAGATTGAGATTCAAAAGTCAGAAGTATGAAAATAATCTGAGAATCAAGAATTCATGGTTAACCTAGCACCTAACAGGCAAACTTAATTTTTTAAGCATGAAGTACACAATCAGAAACTTAGCTGTAAGATAAGATCATATATTTTCTTTAAATACATGACCCTGTGTATGAACAATGACAACAAAATGAACCCCAATTATTTCGCTAAGGCCTCAGAAAATGTTTTGAGAAAAGACAGGGGCATAACCTTACATTTTCTTTATTTCCTTTATCATCCATGTGCATGGTTTCTATCTTTATATAAAAAGCATCTTTCATGTAATCTGGATTCTGAAAAAAAAAAAGAAGAAGAAAATTATGGTTTGAAAATTTGAAAATATGTACTAGACAGGTCATCCATAATTATCAACACTTTTAAATGTGTTGCTGTGATACCTCATTCTATAATAATAAAATGGTTTCCTAACATGTGGATTTACTGTAGAACACAAAAGAGTTCTAAACCAGTCTAACATCATAAATTTTCTATTCCTATTCTAAAATATCATTGACTTAATCAAAGAAATATAGATTCCACCACAGCATCAAGTGTTACGATACTTCTTCACTCAAGACAGTTAAATTTTAATATCTAAAGCGTGAGGCTTAAAATACAACTGTTGAGAGTGGAGAAATATCGTAATACATGAGATAAATTGGTGGAATCTGTTTCTCTAAAGAATTTTAGACGATATCTTAACAAGGTTTATTCTTTTTTTTCAAAGATTTGCAGAATGTTGTGTTCTTCTTATGTGACGTCATCAGGCATGGTTGCCTTTTTTGAGACGTCACAATAGGAAATTCAGAAGAAACCTAGAAAATTTGACGTCATAATTAAATTAAGACCAATCATTTGCCAAGAACAAAGTTTTCTCTACAGATAAGAAATAATTTTTCTCACACCAATTGAGAAATTTGAAAAAAGCATGAAAATTAGAGAACCAATAATTTAAAACTATATTCTCCAATGGCAGGCTGAATCATTTAAGATAATATTGAAACCAGACATGTAGTAATAATATCCTCTAAAATCCACAACTGGAGAATGGTAAAAGTAAAATCAATGAAAATCAAATCTTACATAAATCACATTCCTTTAAAATTTCAACATATTAAATCCAGGGATTTTTCCAAATCATTGACAAGAACAACATTTGGCCAAAAATTCTGTTTAACACAATGAATCAAATATTGCTTATACAGGCTCCTATATTATCATGTCAAAATTAAATAACTTGAGTTGATATCAAGCCATATCCAATTCTCACTTATGAAATCTATCACTATCTATGAAGAAAATTTGCAACAGAACTGACCTTTCTTATAAAAGATGGAGATTTGGTATGATTGCCACTGAGACAACTATCCACCAAAGTTTAAATTAAATGGATGTAAGCAATTATTATAGGCAACCGTATGACCTTCAACAACGAGAAAAATTGTCCTACACTTGCTTTGATATATATTAAATGTTGTTACTATGGTTACTTACTGTTATAATAGTTCTACAATAAGGATAGGCATTCCAAGCTTCTTCATGTATCTCCAGAGATCCTTTAGGGGCTATCAAACGTATAAATGCTGGAACTCGACTGAAAAAAAAAATAATAAATATCATTGACATTTCGACAATAGATATTTCATTACACATTTGTATGACATTCTAAAGGTGAAATAGTTTACTTATTGTCGTCTTCTTTTTAACCATTCACATGAAAGCTACACATATATGCTGAAATTACAAGAATCATATAAGAAGTTGGAGAGCTTTAAGGAGTTACCAAATAAAAATTGTAGGATGAAATTGAAAATAAGGAGGCATACATCTGTAGGTTTGTTACATTTTTCTTTACAAATGATTTGAAATACATTCCCACCATGTTTCTTCTTTTCCTATTGGAAATCTGATACCATTCCTAGTCGATGTACTTTCTCCATACTTATCTTACCTTGCTTGGAGGTAGATTTTATGTGTAAACATAAACAATGCAATCTAACTAAAATACAGATCATGCGACAACACTCTGATTTACTTTCTGTTCCGGTAATAATTACATCAGGCAATGAAACTTCAGCCTTCAAATATTGAAGGTGTTCATCATTTAAACAAAACCAGAGGATTTGTCAGATTCTTGTGAGCAGTGTGTGGACGTGAACCTGAACAATGCTATAAACTCATTCTTACCTTGATAAGTGGTAGATTTTGTGTGTAAACTGTCCAGTGGTATATGTTTTACCATTAGCCTCTAACTTTGACTTGGGCGCGTGATTAGTTTCATCAAAAGGTTCATTGACACGAACTTCAATACCTTCACCTCCGCCCGTTTCATTTTTACTTGCTTCAGCTACTGACCATAATTGAGCAACTTGATACTGTAACATAATACAGATAATTAATTCATTACATACATTTTATCACTCAGATTATTATTTTTCATACTCTGAAAAGGAAAATTGGTCAATTTTATTTCAAATACTTGATTATTTTGATAATTTAGTCACCGAATGTAAAAATAAAAGGTCTTAAATCCATGAACTATTTTGCCTCGGACAAAATTATCTGAAAATGATTAAAATTAATGTTAATAACACTTTCACAGTTTCACCAACTTTCTACCAACTCTTACCAAGTCAAGCATTTAAAAAATAATTCAAGACAGAGAATGACTTAAACATGTTAAATCAGCTGGACTTAAATAAATGATCTAAAAATCACAGGAGCTCCAGAAATTAATAAAATATTCTATAAATAACTTCATATGTCATGTATGTACTGCTTTGACAGCCATGAAGGAATGGGCATGTTTAGAAACAGGCACAAACAACAGCTCTGAGCAAAATGATTTTAATTTTGTCTCATCTTGACTTGTCGATAATTCAACCACTGTAGAAGTATTGATAGTTTTACTTGAAGTCAATATTGCTTTACAGAAATGAAAGGATAACATTTTCATGGTATTAATTACAAACTTGTACTTACCTCATCCACTGTCATAGGAAGTACCACACGACTAAAAGAGAAAGAATTGGAAAGCTGTAAATATATCTGTATGATAATCAGATATACATTGTATATTGTATGGGTAAGTTACTAGGGAACTACATGTACTTTAACCATGTAAACGTTTTCTTGTACAGAAAATAAAATGCTACGCAGGGCGCAGCTTGATACGACCGCAGAGGTCGAACCCTGAACAGTTGGGGCAAGTATGGACACAACATTCAAGCTTGATACAGCTTTGCATTTGGATCGTGATTAAATATTTGACACAGCATAGGTTTCTGACACAGAATGAATGTGGTCGAAGAACTTAAAAATTTTAAATTGGACATTCACCTATTATGGTCCAATATCCAAAATCTAAATACATCGTTAGATTCAGCATATCAAAGAACCCCAAGAATTCAATTTTTGATGAAATCAAACAAAGTTTAATTTTGGACCCCTGTGACCTCAATGTGGACAAAGTTGATAACGGGGCCCAAAAATCAAAATACATGGTTAGATTCAGCATATCAAAGAACCCCATATATTCAATTTTTGTTGAAATCAAACAAAGTTTAATTTTGGACCCCGATTTGGACCAACTTGAAAACTGGGCCCATAATCAAAAATCTAAATACATGTTTAGATTCAGCATATCAAAGAACCCTAAGAATTCAATTTTTGTTAAAATCAAACTAAGTTTAATTTTGGACCCTTTGGACCTTAATGTAGACCAATTTGAAAACGGAACCAAAAATTAAGAATCTAAATACACGGTTAGATTCGGCATATCAAAGAACCCCAATAATTCAATTTTTGATGAAATCAAACAAAGTTTAATTTTGGACCCTTTGGACCTCAATGTGGACCAATTTAAAAATGGGGCCCCAAATCCAAAAACTTAATACACGGTTAGATTCAGCATATTAAAGAACCCCAAGAATTCAAGAATAAAACCCCATTGAAATTGGTCAAGAAATAAGCAATTTATACGAAGTATCTTCTTTTGCACAATACTGTGCAATTGAATATTTCTTGCTATTGCGCAATACTGTACAATTGACAATTTCTTGCTATTGCGCAATATTGTGCTATTGGATATTTCTTGCTATTGCGCAATACTGTGCAATTGAAGATTTTTTGCTATTGCGCAATACTGTGCAATTGAAGATTTCTTGCTATTGTGCAATACTGTGCAATTGAAAATTTCTTGCTATTGCACAATACTTATTATATAATAATTTACACATCCTGTTTGGTGTGTATCTCCTACCATATCATTATTATTTGCTTTTAAATATAAATCAGAAATAACCAACTTAAAATGGAAAATTTTAAAAGAAAAAAAAAGGAAAAAAAGAAAAAAAATGAAAAAAAAAAAAAATCCCCCCCAAAATTTTTTGAACCCCCTTATGATTCATCACCCCCAAACTCAATCCCAGCCTTCCCTTTGTGGTATGGTACCTTGCAGTACAATTTCAGAGAGATCCATACACTTGAACACAAGTTATTGTCTGGAAACTAGAAAAATGTGTTTTTTGGCCCCTTTTAGGCCCCCAATTCCTAAAGGTTTTGGCAATTACCCCCAAACTCAATTCCAGCTTTCCCTTTGTGATATGGAACCTTGTAGTACAATTTCAGAAAGATCCATACACTTACACACAAGTAATTGTCCTGAAACTAGAAAAATGCTTGTTTTTTGCCCCTTTTTTGGCCCCTAATTCCTAAAATTTTGAGGCAATTACCCCCAAAATCAATCCCAGCATTCCTTTTGTGATATGGAACCTTGTGGTACAATGTCAGAGAGATCCATACACTAACACACAAGTTATGTCTGGAAGTTATAAAAATGCTTATTTTTGGCCCCTTTTTGGCCCCCAATTCCTTTACTGTTGGTACCATAACCCCCAAAATCAATCCCAACCTTCCTTTTGTGGTATTGAACCTTGTGGTAAAATTTCATAGAGATCCATTAACTTAAACTCAAGTTAGAGTGCGAAAACCAATGTGTCTTTGGACGACGCCGGACGACGCCTGACGACGACGACGACAACGACGACGACGCCAACGTCATACCAATATACAACCACAAATTTTTTTTTGCGGTCGTATAAAAATTGCATTTAAGGAAATTACTCTCTTCAACCACACATTTTACTCTGACTGATCATGCTGATCAAATAATTTATTTCAACAATAACATTTAATATGAAATACCAAAATGTTTGTTTTTCTCCTGAGAACTTTAAAAATAACAAGGAAAAATGATTTCTTCCATTCTTCAGTGACACGCAAAGAGGTTAGAAATTTTAATATGACATATCAAAATATTTTTTTTCTCCTGTGAACTTTAAAAATAACAAGGAAAAATGATTTCTTCCATTCTTCAGTGACACACACAGGGGTTAGTGTGGGTACAAAGTCCTGAACCTGTCTTTTTTTGGAGGAGGCTTTTCATTTTTGATTTACATGTATAAAAGTCAAGAACCTTTACACTAATGCTTTATACAGAACTTTTGATTTTAAAGGAGGACCTTTTCATTTGAAAATTCACATTTGTCCTGGACCTTTCATTATGTATAGCAAATTTGAACCCCTGATGCATCACAGAACCTACTGACTTGGTGAGAAAGGTCTACAGGAGGCAAGTATTGGCCACAGACCACAATTAAATTCCTCTATTAGTTCTTTATAATGTTTTGTTTCATTAAAAAAAATGCACCCTGCATTTTTGTCAAATCTTTTGTGTGTATAATGTATAGTACTAGTCCAAAAATATATCCAAAATTCAGAAAGATTGAACCAATCACTCTTACAAATTTAGCCAATACACATCCATACTCCTATGGACAAGTCAAGAGATGTTCCGAAAACTGTAAATATCACCTTTTTGCACCTGGCCTAATCACTCTTTCCATATCAAAATCAGTTAAAATACAACATCCAAAAGTTTATTTCACCTCTCTTCTTTCATTTCCACCCAATAAAAACTAAGAAATGAGTGAGGAAGGGAAAGAAAAAAAATTAAGAAAAAATACACTCTAATTAAAAGGAACTATATTCGTGGACAACGAAAAGTGGGGTCATTAATTGTGGTCTTGGGCCTATTACCTGTGAAACCCAACAACTTATAAATTTCCTTTCATATTTAATTCACGCTATAGCTATTATAATGTGGTTTCATGTATGTCAAGAAAAATGTCTGTCAATTTAAGGTTTCTATCAAAGTATCATACTGTATTTAATATAAAATCAATATTTAATAATGTTGGACATTAAAACTGCTTCTACAACTTCAAAGATGTTCTCTTGAATACAAAATAATACTTCAGATGAAAAATGAGAAGATAAAGAGTTGCTTTTCAATTTAGTGGGGAAGACATTTCAGGAAAATTTTTGACAACAGAATACGAGAATATGGGCCAGTTGCAGCTATATCTAGAATTACAAACCTCTTAGCACTATCTGTGTTCACTTGTGTATCATACTTGTATATAGATTTTTACCCTGTAGAAGGTTTCTGAGAAAGGGGTGCATATTATGTATGACTACATTGTTTTCTTGGTCTTTTTTCAGGTACGAAATCTGACCAAGTTGAAACCTGGTGAAGGAAGGAGGAAAATATTTTCACAAAATGTTTTAAATGTTAATTTTGCAAATTGTACCATTTTGTATCTGACCTGTCATGTTATATGCAAATAAAACACATAAAAAAGGCTTTGGTAATTATGTTATTCATGTAATTATAAATTAAATAAGTCCTGCTATTTGTAGCCTGGTACATTTTAGTTGGATTTGGTCACATCCAAATAAGAGATGAGAAGGCTTTTGCCAATGGCTAAATTAGGGTATTGCAGTTGACCACCATTTTCAAAAAAATATTTCTGTGTACAGTATCAGGTGATCAAGTCTCTTCTTTTTGACAATCATCCCTTTCAAATATATCTGTATTCTAAATTTTTGACGCAATTACATATATAACAGAACTTTTTATATGAGCATGTAGAATTTAGAACTATGCATTATTAATATTTAATGCACATGTAATTACTTTAATAACCTTTATAATACAATTTGTCTAATACATGTACCTATATTTCTATATTTGGCATATTTTGGATAATTAGGAATGTATTAACCCAAGGCTAACAAATCTATGAAGCATGTACAAGTTAACATTATATTACAGCGATATTAGACCATCTCCTCATGTTATAAGGCATAAGACTTGACCTATATAAAGGTTTATATAATAAGAGGAAGTTTATCAAACAAGTGGAATACAAAGTCATGAAAGTAGGTCAAGGAACCGCAGAGATAATCTAGACATGAAATGTACATGTACACATGTGTATACATACAGGATTTTGAAGGGTATTCAAAATCTGGTTTCAAATTCCCCTAACCCAAGAAAAAGGCACACTTAAGCTTTAAATAAGGCATTTTGTCAAAGCCTGTGTCTCACCTATGATTGCAGTTGTCAGTGTAAAAGGATAATTTTGATTGACAAAAACAAAGTCCAATTATCAGCAAAATACAGAACAAAATACAAAATAATCAAACTATTTCTTTAGATGCTATTTCTTGATAATGAAGAAGTTTCATATCATTAATGAAGGTTTATTGTAAAACTGTAATCCCAGACTGTATGTAATTGTTGACTGCAAAATGACTAAATCATGAAAACTTCTGTTATATACAGAAAAATAAAAATTTGTAAGGGTTCCGCGGAACCCAGTGTCTCGCCTACTTTTTCTGTTAATCGCAGGCTCAACAAAAATGAGGAAGTAAATCAATAAAAATATTCCTCTTGATACTATCTTTTGATTGTAAGAAGTTTCTGTCCAAGTTTGGTAAAAATCCAGGATAGTTTATGAATCTAATAAATGTTTAAAAACTTTATCTGCAGACTGAATGTAATGTTAACTTGAAGAAAACAAAATTTCCTTCTAGATACTAGCATTTGATCATAAACAAGCTTCTATTAAAGTTTGGTGCAAATCCAAAATAGTATAAGAAAGTTATTAAAGTTTAAAAAACTTTAACCACAGAGTGAATGTGTTGTTTCCTGACAGGAAATCTAAGTCCATTTAAAAGTAAAATACGGAAAAAATGGATTTATTATTTTACAAAATTTCCTTCTAGATACTAGCTTTTGATCATAAACAAGCTTCTGTCCAAGTTTGGTACAAATCCAAAATAGTATAAGAAAGTTATTAAAATTTTAAAAACTTTAACCACAGAGTGAATGTGTTGTTTCCTGGCAGAAAATCTAAGTCCATTTAAAAGTAAAATACGGAAAAAATGGATTTATTATTTTACAAAATTTCCTTCTGGATACTATCTTATGATCATAAACAAGCTTCTGTCCAAGTTTGGTAGAAACCCAGGATAGTTTAAGAAAGTTATTAAAATTTTAAAAACTTTAACCACAGAGTGAATGTAATATTTCCAGGCAGAAAAACTAAGTCCATTTATAAGTAAAATACGGAAAAAATGGAATTTTATTTTTACAAAATTTACTTCTGGATACTATCTTATGATCATAAACAAGCTTCTGTCCAAGTTTGGTAGAAATCCAAGGTAGTTTAAGAAAGTTATTAAAATTTCAAAAACTTTAACCACAGAGTGAATATTTGTGGACGCCGCCGCCGACTACGACGACGACGACACCGACGCCGACGGAATGTAGGATCGCTATGTCTCGCTTTTTCGACAAAAGTCGAAGGCTCGACAATAAAATGCTTCGCCGAGCGCAGCCTGATATGATACGACCACAGAGGTCGAACCCTGAACAGTTGGGGCAAGTTTGGACACAATATTCAAGCTTGATACGGTCTGAATTTGGATTGTGATCAAATTTTTGACATAATATAGGTTTCTGACACAAAATAAATGTGGTCAAAGATCTTAAAAATTTGAAATGGGACATTTAATTTACCTAGTATGGTCTGATATCCAAAATCTAACAACATGGTTAGATTCAGCATATAAAAAAACACCAAAATTTAATTTTAGTTGAAATCAAATAAAGTTTAATTCTGGACCCTTCAAACCTTAATATATAGACTAATTTGAAAACAGGGCCCAAAATAAAAAATCATATCATAGAGCCGCAATAATTCAGTTTTTGATGAAATCAAACAAAGTTTAATTTTGGACCATTTAGACCTCAATGTAGACCAATTTAAAAATGGGGCCCAATATCCAAAATAGTAATTCAAGGTTAGAACCCCCAAAAATTAAAGACTTAATATAATCCCATTGAAATTGGTTAAAAGATTTGTATTTATTTTCATTTGGAGATTTCTTGCTATTGCACAATACTGTGCTATTGTGCAATTCTCAGTTAATCTGTTATATAATAATATAATAATTTACACACCCTGTTTGGTGTGCATCTCCTGCCATATCAGTATTTGTTGCTTTTATATATAAATCAGAAATAATCAATGTAAAAAGGGAAATTTTTTTGGAAAAAAAAAAAAAATCCCCCGCAAAAATTTTTTGTGGAAAAAATTTGAATTTTTTTTTTCAAAAACTGAAGAAAAAAAATATGAACCCCCCCAAAAAATTTGAAAAAAAACCCCCCCCCCCACCAAATTTTGTTTGAAATTTTGAAGATTATTTTCTTTTCAGGAAAAATGTACAATTTCGGAGAGTTCCATAAACTTGAACCCAAGTTATTGTCTGGAAACTAGAAAAATGCTTGTTTTTGGTCCCTTTTTTGCCCCCAATTCCTGAACGTTTGGGGCAATTACCCCCAAACTCAATCCCAGCCTTTCCTTTGTGATATGGAACCTTGTGGTACAATTTCAGAGAGATCCATACAATACACACAAGTTATTGTCCGGAAACTACAAAAATGCTTGTTTTTGGCCCCCAATTCCTAAACTGTTGGTACCATACCCCCCCAAAATCATACCCAACCTTCCTTTTGTGGTATTGAACCTTCTGGTAAAATTTCATAGAGATCCATTCACTAAAACTGAAGTTACGGTCCAGAAACCAAATGTGTCTTCGAACAACGACGACCACGACATGATAGCATTATACAAACGCAAAAAAGTTGAATATGTTTTATATACCAACTTGAATTTTACTATAAAACACATGTACATAACCTTTCTTTTCAAAGAAAATCCTTTATTCTATAAAAATCTTCAGAAATGTAGTGCTATCCAATTATTGTCTTCCTGCACTATAATTCGCCGACATAGGTTTTTGAAAAATAGACCTTAATGATTTTTTTATTGAGGCAAAAAATAATATAATGTTCTGATTCTGCTTGTGATGGATATATATCAGCTGTATATATATTCTTTAACTTCCAAACTTTCAATAAAGTATGTTACATGCTACATGTAGGTCACATGCACATTTGCCCCATATTCTTATATTTTACTTTTATCAAATCTGTATTGTATTTTTTACTCTTATCCCATGAAAAAGATAGGCTTACAATTACTTACAGCACAAACTTTGCAAGGTGGATTCTTTTGCCAAACAATTTGAGAGAATAAGATATAAAATTTTCAACTACACAACAATGTTTTATTTTTGTCGAGCCTTCGACTTTTGTCGAAAAAGCGAGACATAGCGATCCTACATTCCGTCGGCTGTGTCCACAAACATTCACCCTGTGGTTAAAGTTTTTGAAATTTTAATAACTTTCTTAAACTATCCTGGATTTCTACCAAACTTGGACAGAAGCTTGTTTATGATCATAAGATAATATCCAAAAGTAAATTTTGTAAAAAAAAAATTCCCATTTTTTCCATATTTTACTTATAAATGGACTTAGTTTTTCTGCCAGGAAACATTACATTCACTTTGTGGTTAAAGTTTTTGAAATTTTAATAACTTTCTTAAGCTATCCTGGATTTCTACCAAACTTGGAAAGAAGCTTGTTTATGATCATAAGATAGTATCCAGAAGTAAATTTTGTAAAAAAAAATTCATTTTTTCAGTATTTTACTTATAAATGGACTTAGTTTTTCTGCCAGTTAACATTACATTCACTCTGTGGTTAAAGTTATGATCATGATATATCTGCTCAGATTTTATAATGGAATATATAAGAATTCCTCATTTTAGATGAAAAAAGTTCTCAAATAATGGTATCCGTTCACTCCCAATACACGTTTGCACCCTTTTTTTATTCAAATACCGTTTGAATTATAAGATATTTTTTAGATGTATAAATCAAAATATTTATATTTTCATTAATAGAAATTTGGGAATCTCAAAAATGAAATATTTTTGGGGGGATTTGAGGAATAAAATTGAGAATGGAAACAGGGAATGTGTCTAAGAGACAACAACTCAACCAAAGAGCCAGGGCTGGACATTAACGCTTGTCCGATACCAGAGGAAAAAAAGGTCGGACAAGTAAAAGCCATATCAAGCTTGTCCGACGGGACAAGTAAAATAATTCTGTAGAGACATAAATTAACTCCAACTTTGATGATCAAAGTAATAAACAAAAAACAAGAAAAGAAGATAAAAATAAATATTAATTTGACATGCATGTGTTTACTTGCCATCAATAATTTAAAACTGGTTCTTTGTCAGATACTTTATAACAGATGAAACGCATGCAACTATTCTCAAGATAAGGTAATAAGACAGTTCGGCACCGACAAGGAAAGAATCGACTCCGTTTTTTTCCCTGTGTTATTCTGTTGCTTTTATGATAATTATATGGTAAATTTTATTGAACAAAAATATTTTTAAAAATAAAAATGAAAAAATTATTGACCATAAAATTCATAAAATCATATTTGATCACATATAGACAAAACAATATTTAATTGTGTTTGAATAAAAATTTTAATATATTAAAAACAAAGCTGATTGTTAAGGCATTAATCATAATAATCAATATTTATCAACATAAAAGACCAGGATACAAACTAAATAAGTAGACTGACAGGCCTACCAGACTGTGCCTGATGTGCAGAGTCTGATGAGACTTTGACCGCATTGATAAAAACTAGAACCCATGTCCTGTGACTAGACATGACTAGATTCAGTTGTTTTCGACTCATATTTTTGAAAAGGATATTAAGAAATAAATCAATCTAAAATGCAAAAAAGGATAATATGAAAGGTTTTTTTGGACAAGTTACAATTCCATTCGGACAAGTAAGTTTTGGTATGTACTTGTCCTATTGGGCAAGTTGAAAAAAAAGTTATTGTAGAGGCCTGAGAGCAGAAAACAGCTCTAGCCCACCAATGGGTCTTCAACACAGCGAGAAAATTCCACACCCGGAGGCGGCCTTTAGCTGGCCCCTAAACAAAAATGTATACTGGTTCAGAGAAAATGGATGTCACACTCCAAAGACTGTATGGACCATCGGACAAACTAATTGACTTTTAACTTAGATTACATCTTATCTTCCTCTTGCCTCTAATCAAGCACCTTTTAGATTTTTAAACAAGTAAATGATATGTATGTGTGGGATTTTTTAACCTATTTATTGACCCTGCTTTATCATGTTTATACACTTCAATTAGTCATTCTTTGAACTTTTGTTGTTGACATATCAACATTTTCTAGTTTTATTAAAAGCTGTTACAGTTATCTGTGTTAAAAAGATACAATAGAAAACTATGGACTGAATGGGATTAACATGTTATTGATTTTAGATCAGGAGTTGATCAGTACCGTAGTGATTGACATAATCTGGTCTTGATCTCCGTCACCGTTTGTGTTACCATACAAAAAATAACTAAAAAAACTCATGCAACTTCCAACACCTATAGTAAACATCAAACTTACTACTCGCTAATGTTTGGGGACGTAGGAGGCATATTTTAACGTATTTTTATAGCCGGTCTTTCAGAAATGTGTTTCCCTGGGTGGACCGAATGACGTCATGTGCGGACAGCTTTTTCGTTCTGCAGTGAAGTCATAAGAATTTCCGGATGCTGGAACTATTCGAGTTACACAGAATTTCTTAAATAAAAACATTACATTATTTATTAAAAAAATAAGTATCAATAAACTGAAAATGTTGTATTTTTCCTTACTATATTTATGGAATTATAATCAGCTGCTCAAAGTTCACTATAGGTCAGAGGTCAGATTTAGAAACAGCATCAGATAAAGATGACATTATTTGAGACGATCTGTTTGATGTCAGCAATATTTGCAGCTGTTTACATCTACATAACCAAAAATTCTAACAGAAAATCAGTTGAAGATTTCCCCATCAGGTTTTCTAATGATAAAAACAAGGTAAAAAAAAGAAAAAGGCTCAGAAGGGGAGACAATTTTCAGCTATTTTTTTTCTAAAAAAACACTTTTTGTTTTAAACATTAAACATGTTAAACATATACTAATGTGTAGTGCATTACATTTTTTAATATCAATATATGTAAATTAAAAAAAATCCGCAAGGGTTTTATAAATGAAGTTTAATATTTATATAAATGTTTACTTTGTAAGATGTCATCTTATATTCATTTAAACTTGCTAATTCAAACATTATTAATATTTAAACTTGATGAGGTGTAGGCCCTATACTTTTTTTTATAGATAGAACTGCACTCAACACTAGGGACTATATTAAAGATAACACAAATCAAAGGGTTAATGCACAGTAATTACGATCTCTGACCTATTGTGAACAAAAGAAAAAAAAGTAAAAAGAAATATAAGCTTGGATACAAATTAAATTATGAATATTTATTGAATAACATCTGTGTGGTTTAAATTTAATTTAGAATTCTTTTGACATTTCTAAATTGATAGCTTTTTAGTCATGTTTCCTATGATTGAACTAGTTAAAATTGTTTTGAAAAATTTTAATCATTTGCCAGTTAAACCTACTGTCTAACCCTTAGTTTTATCAGCATGTTTACTGGCAGATACTTTGTTTTTTTTTTGCCTTATAGTAGTAGGATTGATGTTTGGTTATATTCTTTTTAACCCCCTTTACTGACGAATAAAAATTCACCTACATGAGGGGGTGCAAAATGTTTTTTTTGCCAGAATATCAAGAACTATAAGAGATGACACATTCCAAAATAAATATCACAAGGACCATATGCACTATGGTTTTGCATATGCATGATTATGAAGATCAAATTTCTAAATTGTAGAGTCCAATAGAAATTTTCTGATGAGAATTAAGCAAAAAAGTGTTACGTCATCAAGAGTGGCATCTTCATGGTCTTTAAAAATATTGCTTATTCTGTAAAATTTCAAGTTATTTTATACATGTTTAAAATAATTTGAAATAGCAATTATATAAGGAACAAAGGTAATTGTTTTAGGGTACAAACTAGCAGTATAAATAACTTCAATTCTTAATTTAATCACAGATTCAGATACTCATCTCTTTATGTTTTCTAGAATGAAGAAAAGGAACACTATGATGTAGCTATAGTGGGAGCAGGACCAGCAGGGTCAACATGTGCTTATTTTCTGGGTAAGTTAATAATTGGATCAATTTAGACAATGCTGTACTTTTAAATAATTAAATGTTTGCCTGGCCACTAAACAAAAATGTGTACTAGTTCAATGAAAATGGACACTGAATTACCTAGTGCCTTATTTTCTTTTAAGGAAAAAGAAATAGATGTATTGAAAACACTTTAAAGTACTATTTTTATGCCCCCGCTGTAGCGGAGGGGGCATTAAGTTTAACCCTTGTCCGTCTGTACGTCCCAAAATTGGTTTCCGTTCTCTAACTTGAGTTTGCCTCAACCAAATGTTATGAAACTTATACACAATGCTAATTTCCACAAAACACAGATCAAGTTTGAATTTTGGTGGCATCACTTTAACCGTTCTAAAGTTATGCTCCTTTATAAATGGAAAAATTGCAAAATTTTTAGTTTCTGTTCTCTAACTTAAGTTTGCCTCAACCAAATTTTATGAAACATATACACAATGCTTATTACCACAAAATAAAGATCAAGTTTGAATTTTGGTTGGGTCACTTTAATCATTATCGAGTTATGCCCCTTTATAAATCGAAAAAATTGCAAAATTTTTAGTTTCCGTTCTCTAACTTAAATTTGCCCCAACCAAACATAATGAAACCTATACACAATACTTATCACCTTAAAACTCAGATCAAGTACAAATTTGGGTAGTGTCACTTTTATCGTTCTTGAGTTATGTCCCTTTATAATGTTGTATGCAAGCAGGGGCATCATCTGTGTCCATGGGGACACATTCTCCATTTATTTTTTATTAAAGCACAGAAAGGATGGAAAGTGCTGTTACTGGAGAAAAAGAAATTTCCTAGAGATAAATACTGTGGAGATGTTGTGTGTAGAACTGCTATAGAAATATTGATAGAGATGGGAGTTTATCAACATTTGATCAAAGAGAACAAGGCACATGTTGTATGTATTCACCAGTATAATTATAGGTAGCAAGGAACCAGTCACAATATTTACACAGTTGGCTTTTTTATTATGTATAAAAGGGGTAAACATCAGTCACAAACCAACCCAGGGACACAAAAACATCTGGAGGTCAACATACAGTCTTCAACAACAAACAATTGTCTATACAGTATGTCAAGCTCTCTAAGAGAGGCGGTAAATATAACTTCAGAAGGGTAAGCAGATCCTGCTCCTGCTCTAAATCACCCCAACTCTTTATTGTACTTAAATGAATTTGTGATTTTCAATTGTTTCTAGCATGTCTTATTAATCAAAATTTATTATGTTTTTCTTCTCAGGTAGAGGGTGGGGGTTTATGTAGTCCTGGAGGATTAAGCTATATTGGAGGAAGAAAAACAAAATTTGGAGAAATACCAGCAGCCATTGCTTGTAAAAGAATCTTATTAGATGAGAGTATTGCCATGGCAGCAAAAAGGTACAGATGTTTTAAAAAGCATGTACTATGTTTCAAATTGAAAAATAAGCAGTCATTGCATTTATACAATTTATAATATATTGTTTAATGTTACATCTCTTTTTTGGAAACATAATCGTGCAAACTGTTTATTTATATAGTACACACACATATACACAGATATAAATCTGAAAATTTAGATTAGATTTTAAATTTTTTGAACTGAAAGATTTTTTTTCCCACAGCAAAATTCTTAGTTTTTAAGTTGCTTACATAATGATATAGTAGATACTGTAAATTTAGAAATTATTGCGATGTTTTTATTAATGCAAAATATGCAACAGTACAAGGTTAACAATAATAATAACAAGCATGCCTAATTTCAGTAGAGTGGGGCGCACATATTTGCCGTTTTATGATTTTGAGGTGTAGAAACTTCAAAGGATTGCTGAAATGGAAGAAATATGCCGGTAAATTATATTTTTATAACAAATATGTTTTTTTTTTAAACTTAGAAAAAATTTCTGCACTTACCGCAAAGGACCGAAAAACGGACAACGATTTTCGTCCAATTTCCTGAATGAAAAAAAAGATTTCAAAGAAGTATTTCTTAGTAATTCTTTGACTGATTGCCCTAAATTTCAGTTCTTTACACTCTGCTATTCATCTATAATGAAATTGATTTGATAAATATTGTTTAAAGCTGCAGTTATTTGGTTTTAAATAGATGTGTAAAAACAGCGAATATGTGTCCACCTATGACAAAACATCAGGAAATTTCAAACAGCCTTTAATCTAACTTTTCAGATGAATTTTTTCAGAGAAACACGTTTTCAAACTAAGAATATTTTGCTTTTGATGTTATCTTCATATAGAAATATCAGTATACTTCAAAAACTTAAAGGTCTGAACATAAACTGCAGAAAACATGGAAAATTATGGCAAAAATGAGCACCCCACTCTAGTGATTTTCTTTTTTTGAAATCGCATAATTAGATCTCAAATTTTAGCATTAATCATATAACATTATAATCATGTTTGCTTATTGCATGAAATATATACACTACAAAAAAATTGTATTAAAAAGTTTTTAGATATTCAACACCCTACATTAAAATATTTTAAATTATATTCTTTGATATTTCAAATTTTATACTTTTCCAAATAGAAAAAAAATGTATTTTTAAGGATGGGGGCAGATTTAAAAGAGAACTGGCCAGTGACAGAAACTAAATTTGACGAAGATACTGGACTATGGACTGTATACAAATACGGTACAACAGACACATTAACCTCCAGGGTAACTAAATGTTATGAATAGAAGCAGGCATGGGGTAAACATGAATGATAAAGCAAACCAGAGACACAAAAAAAACCATGACATCTAGTGGTCATTAAAAATAGACAAGTATTTAAACAATATGTCAAGCTCTCAAACATCTCAGCTCTAAATTATACATATATTTCATCCAAAAACACTAAGTTGTTAAGAAAATTATTTATTTATGTGATTTTTTGAAGAATGGACAAAGATGTGAGATAAATTATTGCGATTTCAGGAAAATCTGCATATAGATATATGAATCAGAAATCAAAATGTGAGATCTTATAATTGCAATACTCACCAAGTTGCATTAACTGCAGTAATAAAAACCTTGCACTAATTTCTGAATTTACTGTACTTGTATTTAAAATGTATATTAAGAATACAAGCTTTGGATTTTAAAATACAGTGAAACCTGCCTTTATCAAACACCTTTCAGTACCAAAAATTTTCATAAAAATTTAAACTGTTTTTATTGGTTTTTATACAACCGCAAAAATGAAAAATTTTTTGGTCGTATATTGGTATGACGTTGGCGTCGTCGTCGTCGTCCGGCGTCGTCCGAAGACACATTGGTTTTCGCACTCAAACTTTAGTTTAAGTGAATGGATCTCCGTGAAATTTTACCATAAGGTTCAATACCACAAAAGGAAGGTTGGGATTGATTTTGGGGGTTATGGTACCAACAGTTAAGGAATTAGGGGCCAAAAAGGGGCCAAAAATAAGCATTTTTGTAACTTCCAGACATAACTTGTGTGTTAGTGTATGGATATCTCTGACATTGTACCACAAGGTTCCATATCACAAAGGGAATGCTGGGATTGATTTTGGGGGTAATTGCCTCAAAATTTTAGGAATTAGGGGCCAAAAAAGGGGCAAAAAACAAGCATTTTTCTAGTTTCATGATAATAACTTGTGTGTAAGTGTATGGATCTTTCTGAAATTGAACTACAAGGTTCCATATCACAAAGGGAAAGCTGGAATTGAGTTTGGGGGTAATTGCCCAAAACGTTTAGGAATAAGGGACCAAAAAGGGGCAAAAAATAGCATTTTTCTAGTTTCCAGACAATTACTTGTGTTCAAGTGTATGGATCTCTCTGAAATTGTACTGCAAGGTACCATACCACAAAGGGAAGGCTGGGATTGATTTTGGGGGTAATTGCCTCAAAATTTTAGGAATTAGGGGCCAAAAAGGAGAAAAAAACAAGCATTTTTCTAGTTTCAGGACAATAACTTGTGTTCAAGTGTATGGATCTCTCTGAAATTATTTTATATATAATATTATTCAGTATTGTGCAAAAGAAGATACTTTGTATAAATTGTTTAATTCTTGACCAATTTCAATGGGGTTTTATTCTTGAATTCTTGGGGTTCTTTAATATGCTGAATCTAACCGTGTATTAAGTTTTCGGAATTGGGGCCCCGTTTTTAAATTGGTCCACATTGAGGTCCAAAGGGTCCAAAATTAAACTTTGTTTGATTTCATCAAAAATTGAATTATTGGGGTTCTTTGATATGCCAAATCTAACCGTGTATTTAGATTCTTAATTTTTGGTTCCGTTTTCAAATTGGTCTACATTAAGGTCCAAAGGGTCCAAAATTAAACTTAGTTTGATTTTAACAAAATTTGAATTCTTAGGGTTCTTTGATATGCTGAATCTAAACATGTATTTAGATTTTTGATTATGGACCCAGTTTTCAAGTTGGTCCAAATCGGGGTCCAAAATTAAACTTTGTTTGATTTCAACAAAAATTGAATATATGGGGTTCTTTGATATGCCGAATCTAACCATGTATTTAGATTTTTTATTTTTGGGCCCCGTTATCAACTTTGTCCACATTGAGGTCAAAAGGGTCCTAAATTAAACTTTGTTTGATTTCATCAAAAATTGAATTCTTGGGGTTCTTTGATATGCTGAATCTAACCATGTATTTAGATTTTGGATATTGGACCATAATAGGTGAATGTCCAGTTTAAAATTTTTAAGTTCTTAGACCACATTCATTCTGTGTCAGTAACCTATGCTGTGTCAAATATTTAATCACAATCCAAATTCAGAGCTGTATCAAGCTTGAATGTTGTGTCCATACTTGCCCTAACTGTTCAGGGTTCGACCTCTGCGGTCGTATCAAGCTGCGCCCTGCGGAGCATTTTATTTTTGTTTGTCACAAATGAGGTCACTTAAAATTATGCTGTAATAATCCATGCTTCTATTATCTTTTATGAAGGTGTTGGTATGTTCTGATGGTGCCCCTTCAAGACTTGCCACAAAATTAGGTTTAGTGACACGCCCACCAGATAGCACATGTTCCAGAACATATGTAGAAGGTGGTACACATAAATTTGATGCTGATGGTGTAGTATTTTATAATAAAGAATTATTGCCAGGTAATTCACAGACTCCTCAGGAAACTTTCCTTAAAATCCTAATAGGCCAAAATATTTAGTATTTTTGGGAGTTTCCACTTAATTCTATTTTAAATGTTTACGTTTCATACATGCAGTTTAAAACTAAAATGTAGCTTACCTGATCTATAGGTTATCATATGTCCATATGACCTATTGTCATCACTTTTCATCTGTTGTATATTCTTCCTTCTGTCACCCTTCCTTTGTTAGATAATTTACATTTGATCAAATTACATTTTCTACATGGCAAGCTAAACAGATTTCTTTGCTACTCTTACTATAAGTTTCATTCATAGTTGAGCTTTGCTCATTATAAATTTTACCAGGATAAAATCTGATATTTGGAAGGTTTTCTGTCAGACTAAAGAATATCTAAATTATTTTCATTTAATATTCATTATTATTTGTTTTTTTTTCCATTATGCCACTCTAAAGTTTCTATTTCATAACTTATTATGAGATATTAAGATATGCCCGCCTCTGGTTGCAGGATTTTCTCGCTGCTTTGAAGACCCATTGGTGGCCTTGGGTTGTTTTCTGCTCGTTTGGATGAGTTGTTGTGTCTTTGAAACATTTTCCATTTCCATTCTCTATTCTTTTACTCCTTTTAATTGTTTTTCTTTATATTTTTGTCTCTATAGGTTACTCAGCATTATTTAGACATCCTAATGATATATTGAATTACTGTGTATATGTCATTCCTGGAAATCCTAAAGCAGTTCCTGAAAAGATAGACTATTGGCATAATTGGCTAATGAAAAAAGACCCAAACATTAGCAGGGCACTTGGGGATAACTTCAAAATGGAAAAAATGAAAACAGGTCAGTTGTACTACTTGATATTTTCATTGGTGTGTATGTAAACAAATATTAAAAATAAGTTGCCTTTCAAATTTGTATGTAAAAAAACAGTAAGATGTTTATATGTTTTGTATTTGGAGGCTTTGTAATAATTTCATCTTTAGATATATCTTTTATAGCATTTTTGGCAAATCTATAGGTTTTAAAGAGAAACTGAATCACATAATCTATATTTTATAGCCAGTTTAAGACTAGGTGGAGAAAAACGTACATATGATGACCATGTTTTAGTAGTAGGTGATGCTGCAGGAATGATAGACCCGATGACAGGTAATATACCAATAAATACAATTGCAATTACTGATATAAAAATAAGGAGATGTGGTACCATATAGTTGGCTATAAGAGACCCTGACTTGAAAAATATGAAACAATTCAATTGAGAAAACTAACGCCCTAATTTATAACAAAACAATTTATGAAAAATAAATATGACAGACATGAACCTGAAATTATTTTTAAACTTTGTGTTGAGGCTTACTGACAAGGGATATTCCAAAGGCATGTGTTGATGTCAAATATGCACTGAATTAGTCTTAACTTTGATAGTAAAGCAGCATCTGTCACAAAGTATCAGTAGGTTCTTCTGACTTACATTTGTCCCCACTGACTTATACATTTACTAAGTCAAACATCAGATTGATTGATTGTTGGTGTTTTATGCCACTTTTCAGCCAGTTTTTATAGGTGGAGGAAGCTGGAGTACCCTGACAGAGCCACAACGGTTGGCAGGAAAACTGGCAATCCTGTTCAATTAAGATAGGAGTCAAACACATCTGCAACAAGTGGAGTTCGAATTCACAACCTCCGGTTAGTGATCACTGTAGATGAACTATTTTGACCACTCGGCCACCAAGGCCTCAAGTTATACATCTGAGTTAACATTTAAGATACTAAGTGACCTATAATCATATTAGTAGGTGTTCTATTAGAAGTAGAGCAGCCTCCTGCAAAAAGTAAAGTTGCAAGAAGTCAAAATTTAGTGTACATTTTAAGGAGTTTAAGAGGATAAAAGTTTCAGTTTTATAATTGACTGCTCCATAGGGGTAAAAAAATGTAAAAGGCAACAAAGAAAACTTGATTCCATGTACATATCATGTGTGTAGTAAATGTGATAATGTGATTTACTAGAAAAAAAAGTGACATGAGCCATGAAAATTAAAAAGTTATGAAACCTGGAAGTAAAAACTACTTTTGTCTACTTTCTGATTGCTGTTTATACTAGTTCATGCCACTTCCAGTTAACCCAGTAAACATGATATCTTTCCACTTTCCTGGTCTGATGTCCCAAAAAAGAAGCAAACTTTATATTACCTTTAGATAGCTGTTTCAAATTCAGTGTAAACTTTTAATCTAACATTAAAACATTGAGTTCAGAAAAAAAATCAGAAACAATTAGCTATTACCTATGTTTTGACACACACCGACAACATTCACTAATGTATGAGTACAATGCTTTTGATGGCTGATTCACAAAGTTTTAGAGTAGTATTTATTGAATAACTTTTTGTACAGGTGAAGGAATACACCATGCCATGGAGGGAGGTAAAATAGCAGCCATTTTTCTGGATGAAGCATTGAATCATGGGAATTATGATGCAGAATGTATGAAGATTTTCCATCAGCGATGGATGTCTCAATTTGGAGATGATTTTAAATGGTAATAGTTATTCTGAGCATCTCCTAGTGCTGTTCAAATTGTAGTACAATGTATAAATGTATCATTTTCTTTAAATGTTTTTTTTTTATTTTAGTCATTTTCTTCAATTTTGTTTCATACAAATATAGGCTTCGCAAATTGTTCAAGGTACTTAGTTAATAGCTTTATATCAAATCCAGCAAGTTTTTTTCCAACTTAAGCAACATTCTAAAATTTCAAAAAGGACTCATAAAATTTGAGAAGATTATGTAAACAACTGTGATCTGCTATTGTAAACACTCTTACTTTGTTATTTCAACATTCCGATTTGGTCATTTCAGACAAATTTGGTAAATTAACAAACAATGAATGTTGCAGCTGTCTCAAACAATGTTGTCTTTTGATTGTTACATCTTATCATGTAACTTTCCTTACATGTCTGTGGTATTCTGTTACGTAATGTACATATTTCCCCATACTTCTTATAATATGTGTTTTTTCTTTAGATCTAGGGTATTCTGTCTGTCCAATACTGGAACTTCTTATTAGTTTTTTTATGTAAAAATAAGTTGTTGTATGATTGCCAATGAGACAACTATTCACCAGAGACCAAATGATGTAAATGTAAGTAACTATAGGTCACTGTATGGCCTTCAACAATGAGCAAAACATGTACAGCATAGCAAGCTATAAAAGGCTCAGACATGAACAAATTTATTACAATTCGAGAAACGAGAAAACCAACAGCCTGTACAAAACAATGAAATGAAAATAAAAAAATATGATATACAGCAATAAACGACTACCACTGATTTACAGGTGACTTTTCCCTTCAGGTCTATGGTATTCAGTCAGATGATGTACAAATTCCCCATACTCCTTGATGCATCTACAGCTGCCCTGCAAAGAAAGGGAGATAAATTTGTTGCCAAATGGGCTGATATAATGACAGGTAATTATTACTTTAGTCAATGATATCCAACTAATGGTACAATTCTCTCTATATTTTTGAAATTTGAAATTTTCACTGAAAAGTATCTCAACAAATATTACTTTTAATTCTCACAATTTTGATCTTTCTGGCATTTCCAACTGAATGAAAGTGTACATATCAATATAATAAATCAGTTAAATTTACATGTGTACATATTATTGACAAGTCATTATTTACAAAAAATGTATTTGCTGATTTGGATGTTGTTGTTGTATTTTTATACGACCGCAAAAAAATTTTTGTGGTCGTATATTGGTATGACGTTGGCGTCGTCGTCGTCCGGCGTCGTCGATGTCGTCGTCGTCGGACGTCTTCCGGCGTCGTCTGAAGACACATTGGTTTTCGCACTCTAACTTTAGTTTAAGTGAATGGATCTTTATGAAATTTTACCACAAGGTTCAATACCACAAAAGGAAGGTTGGGATTGATTTTGGGGGTTATGGTAATAACAGTAAAGGAATTAGGGGCCAAAAAGGGGCCAAAAATAAGCATTTTTGTAACTTCCAGACATAACTTGTGTGTTAGTGTATGGATCTCTCTGACATTGTACCACAAGGTTCCATATCACTAAAGGAATGCTGGGATTGATTTTGGGGGTAATAATCTAAATTTTAGGAATTAGGGGCCAAAAAAGGGGCAAAAAACAAGCATTTTTCTAGTTTCATGACAATAACTTGTGTGTAAGTGTATGGATCTTTCTGAAATTGTACTACAAGGTTCCATATCACAAAGGGAAAGCTGGGTTTGAGTTTGGGGGTAATTGCCCTAAACGTTTAGGAATTTGGGGCCAAAAAGGGGCCAAAAAACACATTTTTTTCTAGTTTCCAGACAATAACTTGTGTTCAAGTGTATGGATCTCTCTGAAATTGTACTGCAAGGTACCATACCACAAAGGGAAGGCTGGGATTGAGTTTGGGGGTAATGAATCATAATGGGGGTTCAAAAAATTTTGGGGGGGGATTTATTTTTTTTTCCTTTTTTTTCTTTTTTTCCTTTTTTGTTTCTTTTAAAATTTTCCATTTTAAGTTGGTTATTTCTGATTTATATTTAAAATCAAATAATAATGATATGGTAGGAGATACACACCAAACAGGATGTGTAAATTATTATATAATAAGTATTGTGCAATAGCAAGAAATTTTCAATTGCACAGTATTGCACAATAGCAAGAAATCTTCAATTGCACAGTATTGCGCAATAGCAAGAAATCTTCAATTGCACAGTATTGCGCAATAGCAAGAAATATCCAATAGCACAATATTGCGCAATAGCAAGAAATTGTCAATTGTACAGTATTGCGCAATAGCAAGAAATATTTAATAGCACAGGATTGTGCAAAAGAAGATACTTCCTATAAATTGCTTATTTCTTGACCAATTTCAATGGGGTTTTATTCTTGATTTCATGGGGTTCTTTAATATGCTGAATCTAACCGTGTATTTAGTTTTTGGATTTTGGGCCCCGTTTTTAAATTGGTCCACATTGAGGTCCAAAGGGTCCAAAATTAAACTTTGTTTGATTTCATCAAAAATTGAATTATTGGGGTTCTTTGATATGCCGAATCTAACTGTGTATTTAGATTCTTTTGGTTCCGTTTTCAAATTGGTCTACATTAAGGTCCAAAGGGTCCAAAATTAAACTTAGTTTGATTTTAACAAAAATTGAATTCTTAGGGTTCTTTGATATGCTGAATCTAAACATGTATTTAGATTTTTGATTATGGGCCCAGTTTTCAAGTTGGTCCAAATCGGGGTCCAAAATTAAACTTTGTTTGATTTCAACAAAAATTGAATATATGGGGTTCTTTGATATGCTGAATCTAACCATGTATTTAGATTTTTGATTTTTTGGCCCCGTTATCAACTTTGTCCACATTGAGGTCAAAAGGGTCCAAAATTAAACTTTGTTTGATTTCATCAAAAATTGAATTATTGGGGTTCTTTGATATGCCGAATCTAACCGTGTATTTAGATTCTTAATTTTTGGTTCCGTTTTCAAATTGGTCTACATTAAGGTCCAAAGGGTCCAAAATTAAACTTAGTTTGATTTTAACAAAAATTGAATTCTTAGGGTTCTTTGATATGCTGAATCTAAACATGTATTTAGATTTTTGATTATGGGCCCAGTTTTCAAGTTGGTCCAAATCAGGGTCCAAAATTAAACTTTGTTTGATTTCAACAAAAATTGAATATATGGGGTTCTTTGATATGCTGAATCTAACCATGTATTTAGATTTTTGATTTTTTGGCCCCGTTATCAACTTTGTCCACATTGAGGTCAAAAGGGTCCAAAATTAAACTTTGTTTGATTTCATCAAAAATTGAATTCTTGGGGTTCCTTGATATGCTGAATCTAACCATGTATTTAGATTTTGGATATTGGACCATAATAGGTGAATGTCCAATTTAAAATTTTTAAGTTCTTAGACCACATTCAATCTGTGTTAGAAACCTATGCTGTGTCAAATATTTAATCACAATCCAAATCCAAAGCTGTATCAAGCTTGAATGTTGTGTCCATACTTCCCCCAACTGTTCAGGGTTCAACCTCTGCGATCGTATCAAGCTGCACCCTGCGGAGCATTTTATTTTGTTGTTGCTTTTACCATCAACATCTGAAGGAATTTAAAAACAGTTATCACATGGTCAAAAAGTCAAGGTCACAACAGCAACTGATAGATAAAATTTGGTTTCTGAATTGATCTTTTGAACCATGTCTAACCTTAAAATATATAGACAGACTGAAATTTCTAGATACTGTCTCTTAAGCCATAAATCAAATCTTTACCAATCTTTGGTAGGACCCCTTTTGATATTGTGGCCAATGTGTTGAAAAGTAGAACAAAGCAGCAATTTATAGAATGAAATTTTGTTTAATTTTTGGTTTTCGGATATCTTTTGAACCATTTATTCATCCATTTGTTACAACAGAAAGTTGATAATGTTTCATGGGAAGAGAAAAATTTTGGGTAAAGTTTGATTACCAGACAAAAAAAATCCTTTGACCATGACATCATGTCCTAGCATACTTGCATGCATCATGAAATTCACAGCAGCTCTAAATACACTGATATTTGGCTTAAATTTAGGTTTTTATGATATTTCAGGAATTTTCGTTTCTGGATATCTCATTTCCCTAAACCCTTATGTCAGCAATTACAATGTACCACCATTTGACATAAATTCTCTCTTAATTTTGATTACTGATTCCATTTAATGATTTCTCTTAGCTGAATTTCTATGTAAGCATCTAAATTCTTATGTACTTATACATGTTTATCTTTACCATATGTCTCATTAAATCATTTTAAGAAACAATTACATAATTTAATTTTTCAGGCCGAGTTCCAAAGATTCACATGTTAAAACCAGAATTCTCATTTACAGTTATATATGAATTGGTTCGATTAATATTGCAGCGACTCAAAGGATCTAACGGCAAACAGAAGAAAGCAGAATAACTTGGACAACAATTAACAATATGATGAAAAATTTCAATCAGTATTATGAACATTTTTTTAGTTTTTATTGTTTAAGATTGTTATGAACCTTTTGTCCATTATTGCCAATGAAAAGTACTCAGAGTACTGGTATACTTTAATTTTTATATACATTTTATTTATTTATTACGTGCCTTAAAAGGAACAAAACATTGTTGAATTTAATTGTAATAATGTTGAGATATTTTGTTTCTTTACAGAGATGTTATAGAATAACATTGTTTTTGCATTCCATGTATGAATTTCATGTTGCCTGGTCAATACTTTTACATTGTAAATCCTATTTTATGTTATTTGATTGGTCGATATGATTCAGAGATGTTAAAGAATTACACTGTTTTTGCATTCCATGTAAGTCCTAAGTCAGGAACCTGATGTTCAGTGGTTGTCGTTTGTTGATGTGGTTCATTAGTGTTTCTCGTTTCTCGTTTTTTAAATAGATTAGACCATTGGTTTTCCTGTTTGAATGGTTTTTCACTAGTCATTTTTGGCGCCCTTTATAGCTTGCTGTTCGGTGTGAGCCAAGGCTCCTTGTTGAAGGCCGTACTTTGACCTATAATGGTTTACTTTTACAAATTGTGACTTGGATGGAGAGTTGTCTCATTGGCACTCATACCACATCTTCTTATATCTATATAATTTGTATGTTGCCTGGTCAATACTTTCACATTGTAAATCCTATTTTATGTTATTTGATTGTATTGGTCGATATGATTCAGAAATGTGATAGAATAGTATTGTTTTTGCAATTCATGTATAATTTGTATGTTGCCTGGTCAATACTTTTACATTGGAAATCCTATTTTATGTTATTTGATTGGTCGATGTGATTCAGAGATGTTAAAGAATTACATTGTTTTTGCAATTCATGTATAATTTGTATGTTGCCTGGTCAATACTTTTACATTGTACATCCTATTTATGTTATTTTGATTGGTCAATGCGATCAGAAATGTTATAGAATAACATGGTTTTTGCATTCCATGTTTAATTTGTGTGTTGCTTGGTCAATACGTTTAAATTGAAAATATATTTTTATATTATTTTGTCTGGTGAACATTAAAAGTTCTGTTATTTATGTTATTATGTCTTGTTAATACAATTGAATCTATTTTATGTTAATATGTCTGGTGAATATGAATAATTCTCTTCTATGTAATTTTTTTTTTTTAAATCTATTTTTTTTAATACTATAATATAGTTTCAACTTATGCATAGGAATGAAAAGAGATATGGAGAATACATCAAGGAGACAGCAATCAGACAATACAAAAAAACTAGAAATAACATCATGAGAACGTACTAGAGGTTAATCTAGAAATAGAATGCTAAAATGATCTAGATACTCCTCTCAAACTTTAGCTAATTTAGTGTCATAAACAGTGTATATGGCAGTTTAAAAGGATTGCATCTTGAAATAAATTGCTTCGCCGAGCGCAGCTGGATACGACCGCAGAGGTCCAACCCTGAACAGTTGGGGCAAAAATGGACGCAATATTTGCACTTGATACAGGTCTGAATTTTGATTGTACACATGTAATTAAATATTTGACACATAAAAGGTTTCTGACACAGAATAACTGCTTTTGTGCAATACACTATGCTGTTGCGTATTAAAACCCCCCCCCCCCCCCTCCACACACACACACACACACACTTTTTTTTTGCCAAAAAAAAATAATATATGAAGAATTTTTCATTTTCATTTCTGAAATCTGAAATGAGAAAAAATTGACCCCCCACAATTTCTTTTTACCCCCCCCCCCTTTTTTTCCCCAAAAATTTTCTTTCCCTCAAGATATGGTCATAATCTCAATTCAAATTTCCAATGCAGTTTGCAACCATAATTACCCATTTAAATTTACCATAGTGCTAACTTAATCTATTTTATAATAGAATTTAAAATATGGTGTCAAATCTTTCATATGGATTTTTTTGTAAAAAAAAAAAGATGCAACATTTGCAGATATTTTTACTGGTCTTCCTTTATAAATATGCATTTCATTAAACATAATTTAAAAGCAGTGTAAGGGAGGTAATCAAAACGTTGTATTTGGATTACCTCCCTTACACTGCTTTTTAATTGTCTTAATTGTTCATTAACCATTACTTTATACATAATTAAAAAACAGTGTAAGGGAGGTAATTCAAATGATGTATTTGAATTACCTCCCTTACACTGCTTTAAATTATGTTTTGTACTAAAGTATTTGTCCGTTAACCAGGACACCCTTGTTTTTTCCCCTTTTTTGCCCCTAATTCCTAAATGGTTTGAGCCATAACCCCCCAAAAACAAATCCTAACCATCCCTTTGTGGTATGGAAACTTGTGGTATAATTTCAGAGAGATCCATACACCGTTCCACAAGTTATTGTCTGGAAACTAGAAAAATGCTTATTTTTGGCCCCTAATTCCTTTACTGTTGGTACCATAACCCCCAAAATCAATCCCAACCTTCCTTTTGTGGTATTAAACCTTATGGTAAAATTTCATAGAGATCCATTCACTTAAACTAAAGTTATTGTGCGAAAACCAATGTGTCTTCGGACGACGACGACGCCAACGTCATACCAATATACGACTGCAAAAATTTTATGCGGTCGTATAAAACATTTGAAAAAAAAGGCAATTCAGATGAGATATTTAAAATATGCCAATGGAGTAAATAGAACTCCTAAAATAAAACATAGGAAATCTGAAAGTTGGTACATTGCCCATTGATAAATAACAAATATGAACAAATAGTTAAGTTGCAGCTGCACCAAACTATGTTTATGCCATTACATGAGGAAGTACTGAATGAGGCATAATTTCTATAATCTTACAGGACAGAAATGTACAAAGTCAATGAAATATGAAAAGAGAAGCAAGATGCTGATAATTTTCCTCACTGAAATGCGCCTCTACGTACATAATCATACATCTTAATACAAGATCAGAAATATAAAGCAAGTAAAGCTAACAAAGCAGGGTAAAATGACCTTCTTTTACCCAGGTTATATTTCAACTCAAGTGTCAGTAAAGTGAAGGTTTTCGTTGAATGACGTTCTGACAGATGATTCAACATCTTGGTACTCAAATTATTTACCATGGAAATTTTGACCATTAGTCAAATTGGTGTGGAAATTATAGCAAACTTAAACATGTTTTTCTTGAAGTTGGCTGAGTCACTACATTGCTCTAAGACTACCATGCAAGTCAAGTTGATCTATTTATAGTCAATAAGATGTGAACATTGGTTTAGATTGAACCCAAGTTTAATGTAATGTGAAAAGTAAGTAAAAAAGGCACAAGATACCAAATGGACAAAAAGACAAACAACAGTCTACATAGCAGTACACAAAAAAACTTAAATCTGAGCAACACATATCCTACCAAAAAACTGGAGTTGTTGTCAGGTACTCTGGAAGGATAAACAGATCCAGCTCCAGTATTGGCACCTGTCATGTTGCTTATGGCAGTCTTTGCGCTCAACCACAGGCCCACCAGCCCAGGCTTGTAAAAATGCTGTCGGGCCTGTAAAAATCATCTCTACAAGCCAATAGAATCTTAACTAAAATTTAGCTTCAGGCCTGTAGATTTAAAAGTTAATCGTGAAGATTGTTATGGTAAGTAAATAACCCAGTGATAAGTTACATTTAGTGATGTCACACTTGAGGAATCAATTACATAATTGTTGCGTGGATCCAGACACTATGAAAGAGTATTATGCAAGTTAAGATAGTTGAAAATTTTTCAATACCTTAGAAATGAACCTTAATGTTTTATTATAAATTAATAAATTTATTATATAATATAAATTAAAAAATTACAACTAGAGGCTCTAAAGAGCCTGTGTCGCTCACCTTGGTCTAGGTGCATATTCAAAAAAAGAAACTCCAACATTGTAGACGATTATAGAATTCATGACAAAAATCTCTGTTTTGTTGATCTTGGATTGCTGATAATTTATTCTGTTTAGTTTCTCTCTATCTTCATTAGTTTTTGCTCAATACACAAAAGAGGGTATAAAATATTCATTTAAGTTTGAGCCAAGTTTGGATAAATTTGGCCCAGTAGTTTCAGAGGAGAAGATTTTTGTAAAAGTTAACAACGACAGAGGACACCAAGTGATGAGAAAAGCTCACTTGGCCCTTCATGCCAGGTGAGCTAAAAATGTGCAACATCACTGATTTTTGCTTGTATTATTTCTGATTAGATGATTATTTACTATTTTCTGAAAACATACTTAATAACTAATAACTTTAAAAATGCCTGTACAATTTTAAGGTTAGGTCACTATCATATCAGCATCGTTTAGTTTGAGCAACGGCAAGAAAATACACTTTCAGTGGTATATTAAATGAGTTTGTCGATTTCTGGCGCTGGCCCTCCAACACACTAGGTTAAAGTAGTCCCAAGTTAAATTAACATTGATACATGCAGTAATTTACGTGCATCTACTAAATATGTACAGGTCATTAAAGATGGCATATTTTGGTATTAATATTGATTCATTCATAGGGTCTTTCCATCAGAAATAAACACATTTTATTTTAAAACAAGTTGTTGGCATGATACAGGTTATGTTCTACTCATATATTTTATGATGGTATGATACTAAACCCCTAACGGGAGGGATTGTGCCTGATTTTCATATGATGAAGACATCTTTCAATCAGTTTAACTGAGGTCTGGAGCTGGCGTCTCAGTAACTGCTAGTAGTCCTTTGTTAATTTATGTATCATTGTCATTTTGCTTAGTTTCTTTTGTTACCTATTCTGACATCGGACTCTGACTTCTTTTGAACTGAGCGTATTGCTGTGTGTTTGTTTACTCTACATTGGCTAGAGGTATAGGGGGAGGGTTGAGATCTCACAAAACATGTTTAACCCCGCTGCATTTTTGGGCCTGTCCCAAGTCAGGAGCCCATGGCCTTTGTAAGTTAAGTGTTTTTTAATTTTAGTTCATTTGATATGTTTTGGAGTTTAGTGTGGGGTTCATTTTCATTGAACTAGTACACATTTTTGTTTATGGGCCAGCTGAAGCCCGCCTCTGGGTGCGGGATTTTCTCGCTGTGTTGAAGACCCATTGGTGGCCTTCGGCTGTTTTCTGCTCTTTGGTCGGGTTGTTGTCTCTTTGACACATTCCCCATTTCCATTCTCAATTTTACATAATGATTCAATTACCAAAATCCCTAAAATAAATTACGAAATATCACTTTCTTTTTGGAATTGAAAGTTGCGTACATCATTACTTTTTTTAACCAGATTTCTGTAGGAAAATATAGGTTATTAATTTGGTGATGTACAGCGGGCTGTCAGTAGGGGAGCTGGCTGCCAAATAGTGTCTGTGCATTTTAATACCTGAAAATGCTTTGATGAAATCTTTTCAAATTTAGATATGTTGTTTCCTGTGCCTAAAGGAAGGTTAAGTTCGATTTTCACGATTTAAGCTTTTATCGTCGTTGATTTGCAGACCTTTAAATAGCGAAAAAGTGATACTTAGGAGTGTTGTCCATGCAATAATTTGAAAATGGTTTGACAAAATCTATTCAAATTAAGATATGTTGTTTCCTGTGATTAAATGAATTTAATGATTTTAGCTTTTATCATTGTTGAGTTGTAGAACTTGAAGTAGAGAAAGGCGATTGATTTTGGCCTTTTCATTTCTGAACCCTTCAAAAATTCATTCATTTTATTACTTGATCCTGTTTTAGGGTCCAGATTTGCAAATATCATTTTCATGGAGGAAAATCTGGTTTGCTGTCAATCTGACAAAAGATATATACTTTCCATAAACATTCAATTATTTTTTCTGTCAGAATTGTGCTTTATTAACAGTATTTGATCAAATTCAATCTTATCGATGTCAGGCTCCGCCATGTTGGGATGTAGGCAACTTAAGTTACAGACAGCCTCTTTCCCCAAGTGGCAAGTTGACAGCTGCAGGAGGACTATGTCACCCTATAAAGACACATTATTTTAACTTCAAGCTGATGAGTCTTTGCTCTTGCTTCTTTATGCCAGGTGCTAAGCAGAGAAGCAGCAAATACCAGTTTTAAAAATTCTATGGTTTGACCCAGCCAGTGATTGAATCAACGACCTCCTGCACTCAAAGAAGGCACCCTACCACCAGATCACCTATGTCTATAAGAGATTTCTACTGTCTACATGAATGGAAACATAATATATATATAGTAAGTATACAGATGTCCAGTTAATATATCATAAGTCTGGATTAAAACAATCAAACATGAGAGGAAAACACCATCTGGATTATATGGAATTTTCAAGGTCAAACGATTCCAAAGCCACAGTTTATTGAGACATCACTATTGTATTCCTATGTGAATGATTTCAATTACGAATGAATATAAAGAAAATAAATGTGGAATGTATTCATGGGACACAGATGATGCCCCCGCTTGCATTTATTATAAAGGGACATAACTCAAGAAAGGTAAAAGTGACACTACCCAAAATTCATATTTTATCTGAGTTTTGTGGTAATAACCATTGTGTATAAGTTTCATAACAATTGGTTGAGGCAAACTTAGGATACATAACGGAAACAAAAATTCAGCATTTTTTCCATTTGTAAAGGGGCACAACTCTAGAAAGGTGAAAGTGATGCCACCCAATTTCAAATTTGACCTGTGTTTTATGGTAAAAAGCATTGTGTATGAGTTTCATAACATTTGTTTGAGGCAAACTAAAGTTGGAGAATGGAAACCAATTCCGGGACGTACAGACGGTCAAGGGTAAAACTTACTGCCCCTTCGGCTACAGCTGGACATTAAAAATATTTCAGTCATAGAATTTTCTGAGCACCCTGTATTTTCCTTACTTTAAAACAATATTCTCTTTGCTAAAACTTTTGTTTGGTATGCCATCATTCATGATTTTTTTTATCTCAATTACTACTCCACATCTTTATTTTTTCATTTATCTACATCTAGCATAAAGAGATAATTCTTGTATATTAATAACAATCCATTGAGTGTGATATAAATAAGTGATACCACAAAAAGGTTTGTCAAATACATCAATTAAAATATCATGTGATATGAATATCATATTTTTACATTTCTTTGGTTAGGTCAATGATAATTAACGTATGTCACAGCAGACTCCCTTTGACCTAAGCTACATGTGTTTACTTCCAGTTTTGGTGATGCTGTCTGCATTATCACTTACTCAATCAATCTTGGACCATACAATTAAGATGGGAGACTGTGTGCATTTATGCAATAGAACAAAGGGAGTCATAATTGTCAAAACATAAACATCTCTCAGCACAAGTCTCTTGAAAGTATGTGCCTTAGCTGAAGATTGGCCGCACAAAGAGAATTTAAACCATAAGACAAAAACGTTTAACAATTCATGAAAATTGGACATCAATTGATATCAACTTTCATTATTTGATTTCAATATTACACAAACTTTGCAAAGGCTTGTCACTCGTTATGAAACATTTAAGTATAAATTGGGCCAGAAAAACATAACACAAGAAAAATATTTCTAATATTTCTGTAAGAAATAATTTAGTGATATATCAGTTACATTTCATTATAACATTCTCACAGATCGTAAAGAAAGTTCACCATTACAATACTGGCCGGCAATATAGTCTGTTCTTTAAATTAGTTCAATAAACATAACTTCAATCAAATACACAAGCTATCTTTAAGTTAGTTTAATAAACACAACGTCAATAAAATACACAAACTATTACATAAATCAGACGAACTAAATTACCAGACCATACTGTAATTGATTCAATTAAAACATATTGCACATTTTTATCAAGCACTTTTGTGTATTATTTCTATATGGTTGTGCTACTGCAAGAATTATTAATGATATTTTACAGTATAAACGTTTAATATCTGATAAGCATAATAAGTTTGGAGAATCACCTCATTATTGATAATCAGTATTTTGTTAGTTTTAATTTCCAATAAAATGCTCCGCAGGGCGCAGCTTCATACGACCGCAGAGGTCGAACCCTGAACAGTTGGGGCAAGTATGGACACAACATTCAAGCTTGATACAGCTCTGAATTTGGATTGTGATTAAATATTTGACACAGCATAGGTTTCTGACACAGAATGAATGTGGTCTAAGAACTTAAAAATTTTAAATTGGACATTCAACTATTATGGTCCAATATCCAAAATCTAAATACATGGTTAGATTCAGCATATCAAAGAACCCCAAGAATTCAATTTTTGATGAAATCAAACAAAGTTTAATTTTGGACCCTTTTGACCTCAATGTGGACAAAGTTGATAATGGGGCCCAAAAATCAAAAATCTAAATACATGGTTAGATTCAGCATATCAAAGAACCCCATATTTTCAATTTTTGTTGAAATCAAACAAAGTTTAATTTTGGACCCCGATTTGGACCAACTTGAAAACTGGGCCCATAATCAAAAATCTAAATACATGTTTAGATTCAGCATATCAAAGAACCCTAAGAATTCAATTTTTGTTAAAATCAAACTAAGTTTAATTTTGGACCCTTTGGACCTTAATGTAGACCAATTTGAAAACAGAACCAAAAATTAAGAATCTAAATACACGGTTAGATTCGGCATATCAAAGAACCCCAATAATTCAATTTTTGATGAAATCAAACAAAGTTTAATTTTGGACCCTTTGGACCTCAATGTGGACCAATTTAAAAACGGGGCCCAAAATCCAAAAACTAAATACACGGTTAGAATCAGCATATTAAAGAACCCCAAGTATTCAAGAATAAAACCCCATTGAAATTGGTCAAGAAATAGGCAATTTATACGAAGTATCTTCTTTTGTACAATACTGTGCAATTGAATATTTCTTGCTATTGCGCAATACTGTACAATTGACAATTTCTTGCTATTGCGCAATATTGTGCTATTGGATATTTCTTGCTATTGCACAATACTGTGCAATTGAAGATTTCTTGCTATTGCGCAATACTGTGCAATTGAAGATTTCTTGCTATTGTGCAATACTGTGCAATTGAAAATTTCTTGCTATTGCACAATACTTATTTTATAATAATTTACACATCCTGTTTGGTGTGTATCTCCTACCATATCGTTATTATTTGCTTTTAAATATAAAACAGAAATAACCAACTTAAAATGGAAAATTTTAAAAGAAAAAAAAAACGGAAAAAAAAAAAAATCCCCCCCCCCCAAATTTTTTGAACCCCCTTATGATTCATCACCCCCAAACTCAATCCCAGCCTTCCCTTTGTGGTATGGTACCTTGCAGTACAATTTCAGAGAGATCCATACACTTGAACACAAGTTATTGTCTGGAAACTAGAAAAATGCTTATTTTTGGCCCCTTTTTGGCCCCAAATTCCTAAACGTTTTGGGCAATTACCCCCAAAATCAATCCCAGCATTCCCTGTGTGATATGGAACCTTGTGGTACAATTTCAGAGAGATCCATACACTTGAACACAAGTTATTGTCTGGAAACTAGAAAAATGCTTATTTTTGGCCCCTTATTCCTAAACGTTTTGGGCAATTACCCCCAAACTCAATTCCAGCTTTCCCTTTGTGATATGGAACCTTGTAGTACAATTTCAGAAAGATCCATACACTTACACACAAGTTATTGTCATGAAACTAAAAAAATGCTTGTTTTTTGCCCCTAATTCCTAATATTTTGAGGCAATTACCCCCAAAATTAATCCCAGTATTCCCTGTGTGACATGGAACCTTGTGGTACAATGTCAGAGAGATCCATACACCAACACACAAGTTATGTCTGGAAGTTACAAAAATGCTTATTTTTGGCCCCTAATTCCTTAACTGTTGGTACCATAACCCCCAAAATCAATCCCAACCTTCCTTTTGTGGTATTGAACCTTATGGTAAAATTTCATAGAGATCCATTTACTTAAACTAAAGTTAGAGTGCGAAAACCAATGTGTCTTCGGACGATGCCGGACGACGCCAACGCCAGATGACGACGACGCCAACGTCATACCAATATACGACCGCAAAAATTTTTTGCGGTCGTATAAAAATACATCAAGATTTCTCTTTTAAATCAAAATTAAAATTTTTTATCAAAACAAGAAATTTGATTTCCCCACTCTAACATATTTTAATTCTCTGGTTTTACCAAAAAAAATGAATGATTATACATTTGAGCAAGTACAATTCTTTGTACCATTAGAAAACAGAATTTTTTTCAAATTAATCACAACTTAAAAATAACCCTAAAATATTTATCAACTACAATCTCTTTTTAATTAGTTTTTCTAATTTTCTTATACGACTAGACTCTTGATCAGGAGCTGATGTCACTTGTGTCTGATCATTAGCACTACCCAGTATAGATGATATAGGTATTCTTGCTCTGTATATCTCTAATAAATTACTCTGTTCACTTCTTCTTAACCCCTACAATATAGATAATAAATTCTTATTAAGAAATCTACATGTTGACACTGCATTTACTCTGTAAAATTTTTTATCCTTGAAATATTGAAAATGTTATAGAAACGGTAAGTCTACAAAGGTATGCCGCATGTGCCCACTCTATGAATTTCACAAGTAGATGAAGCTTTGTTAACTTTTAAACTATATTTTACAAAACTCAGCAAATGAAAATATATAAATATTAGAACCAGTAAATTTTAGAACCTCGATATGGTTTGTGTGAATGTTAGATGTAGAAGTGAATAAAATTACTATAATTGTCTATCTTGGTAAACTTGTTTTGTTGGTTTGCTGTCTTCATTTTCCCAAAATCTTATTTTTACTAATATATATTTTCATATATAACTGTTGTATAAAAATTATTTGATTAATTTTCCAGCATTGCAATCAATCTGACATACGTCTTATCTTTGGAGTGTTTACAGATTTATAAGGTATCACATCACAAAGACAAGTCATTTTGTACAGATGCTTGTCTATTGATGAGTACAGTATGTGGAACGTCTTGATGTCTTTTTTTGACATTAGGTTGCTGTCTTGTTGACATATACCCTTGTACTCATATTTATAACTGACAAAGAATCTGGGGGTAACCTCAGCAAATTACCAAGAGGTAAATCTCTTTTTTTTGCCAGCACCTTACAAACTGAAAAATTTTGATGCTGGGTATAAACTATAGACTTCGGTTAGTACATTTTAAACTGAAATGTTTTGATACACTTTAAGGGTACATAGATTGACTGATAGTAATTATCAGTTGATTGATTGTTGATTGTTTAACATCTAGAGGCAATTTTTCATGCATATTTCAGCCTGACAGAATCAATAAATGTAAAAGTGATGTGCGGATACTGTAAATTCAGAAATTATTGAATGCATTTATTATTGCGGATTTGGCAGAATGGACTAAAATGTGAGATTAATTATTGCGATTTCAGGTAAATCGGCATACAGTTATATGTATCAGATATAAGAATGTGAGTTCTTATCATTGTGATACTCATTCAGTTGTATAATTTGCATTATAAAAACCTTGCAATAATTTCTGAATTTACAGTACTACAAACAATATTTCGTAACTAATGTATAGTCAAATTTGTATATAAAGGTGACCCTTGGGACTAGAGAAAACTGGCCTTGTACGAAAGGTGACCCTTGGGACTAGAGAAAACTGGCCTTGTACGAAAGGTGACCCTTGGGACTAGAGAAAACTGGCCTTGTAAGAAAGGTAACCATTGGGACTAGAGAAAACTGGCCTTGTACGAAAGGTAACCATTGGGACTAGAGAAAACTGGCCTTGTAAGAAAGGTGACCCTTGGGACTAGAGAAAACTGGCCTTGTAAGAAAGGTGACCCTTGGGACAAGAGAAAACTGGCCTTGTAAGAAAGGTGACCATTGGGACTAGAGAAAACTAGCCTTGTAAGAAATGTGACCCTTGGGACTAGAGAAAACTGGCCTTGTAAGAAAGGTGACCCTTGGGACTAGAGAAAACTGGCCTTGTAAGAAAGGTAACCATTGGGACTAGAGAAAACTGGCCTTGTAAGAAAGGTAACCATTGGGACTAGAGAAAACTGGCCTTGTACGAAAGGTTACCATTGGGACTAGAGAAAACTGGCCTTGTAAGAAAGGTGACCCTTGGGACTAGAGAAAACTGGCCTTGTAAGAAAGGTGACCCTTGGGACTAGAGAAAACTGGCCTTGTAAGAAAGGTGACCCTTGGGACTAGAGAAAACTGGCCTTGTAAGAAAAGTGACCGTTGGGACTAGAGAAAACTGGCCTTGTAAGAAAGGTAACCATTGGGACTAGAGAAAACTGGCCTTGTAAGAAAGGTAACCATTGGGACTAGAGAAAACTGGCCTTGTAAGAAAGGTAACCATTGGGACTAGAGAAAACTGGCCTTGTACGAAAGGTAACCATTGGGACTAGAGAAAACTGGCCTTGTAAGAAAGGTAACCATTGGGACTAGAGAAAACTGGCCTTGTACGAAAGGTAACCATTGGGACTAGAGAAAACTGGCCTTGTAAGAAAGGTGACCCTTGGGACTAGAGAAAACCGGCCTTGTAAGAAAAGTGACCCTTGGGACAAGAGAAAACTGGCCTTGTAAGAAAGGTGACCCTTGGGACTAGAGAAAACTGGCCTTGTAAGAAAGGTGACCCTTGGGACTAGAGAAAACTGGCCTTGTAAGAAAGGTGACCCTTGGGACTAGAGAAAACTGGCCTTGTAAGAAAGGTAACCATTGGGACTAGAGAAAACTGGCCTTGTACGAAAGGTGACCCTTGGGACTAGAGAAAACTGGCCTTGTAAGAAAGGTAACCATTGGGACTAGAGAAAACTGGCCTTGTACGAAAGGTAACCATTGGGACTAGAGAAAACTGGCCTTGTAAGAAAGGTGACCCTTGGGACTAGAGAAAACTGGACTTGTAAGAAAGGTAACCATTGGGACTAGAGAAAACTGGCCTTGTAAGAAAGGTAACCATTGGGACTAGAGAAAACTGGCCTTGTAAGAAAGGTGACCCTTGGGACTAGAGAAAACTGGACTTGTAAGAAAGGTAACCATTGGGACTAGAGAAAACTGGCCTTGTAAGAAAGGTAACCATTGGGACTAGAGAAAACTGGCCTTGTACGAAAGGTGACCCTTGGGACTAGAGAAAACTGGCCTTGTAAGGGTAAACTATATTTTACAAAACTCAGCAAATGAAAATATATAAATATTAGAACCAGTAAATTTTAGAACCTCGATATGGTTTGTGTGAATGTTAGATGTAGAAGTGAATAAAATTACTATAATTGTCTATCTTGGTAAACTTGTTTTGTTGGTTTGCTGTCTTCATTTTCCCAAAATCTTATTTTTACTAATATATATTTTCATATATAACTGTTGTATAAAAATTATTTGATTAATTTTCCAGCATTGCAATCAATCTGACATACATCTTATCTTTGGAGTGTTTACAGATTTATAAGGTATCACATCACAAAGACAAGTCATTTTGTACAGATGCTTGTCTATTGATGAGTACAGTATGTGGAACGTCTTGATGTCTTTTTTTGACATTAGGTTGCTGTCTTGTTGACATATACCCTTGTACTCATATTTATAACTGACAAAGAATCTGGGGGTAACCTCAGCAAATTACCAAGAGGTAAATCTCTTTTTTTTGCCAGCACCTTACAAACTGAAAAATTTTGATGCTGGGTATAAACTATAGACTTCGGTTAGTACATTTTAAACTGAAATGTTTTGATACACTTTAAGGGTACATAGATTGACTGATAGTAATTATCAGTTGATTGATTGTTGATTGTTTAACATCTAGAGGCAATTTTTCATGCATATTTCAGCCTGACAGAATCAATAAATGTAAAAGTGATGTGCGGATACTGTAAATTCAGAAATTATTGAATGCATTTATTATTGCGGATTTGGCAGAATGGACTAAAATGTGAGATTAATTATTGCGATTTCAGGTAAATCGGCATACAGTTATATGTATCAGATATAAGAATGTGAGTTCTTATCATTGTGATACTCATTCAGTTGCATAATTTGCATTATAAAAACCTTGCAATAATTTCTGAATTTACAGTACTACAAACAATATTTCGTAACTAATGTATAGTCAAATTTGTATATAAAGGTGACCCTTGGGACTAGAGAAAACTGGCCTTGTACGAAAGGTGACCCTTGGGACTAGAGAAAACTGGCCTTGTACAAGGTGACCCTTGGGACTAGAGAAAACTGGCCTTGTAAGAAAGGTAACCATTGGGACTAGAGAAAACTGGCCTTGTACGAAAGGTAACCATTGGGACTAGAGAAAACTGGCCTTGTAAGAAAGGTGACCCTTGGGACTAGAGAAAACTGGCCTTGTAAGAAAGGTGACCCTTGGGACTAGAGAAAACTGGCCTTGTAAGAAAGGTGACCCTTGGGACTAGAGAAAACTGGCCTTGTAAGAAAGGTAACCATTGGAACTAGAGAAAACTGGCCTTGTAAGAAAGGTAACCATTGGGACTAGAGAAAACTGGCCTTGTACGAAAGGTAACCATTGGGACTAGAGAAAACTGGCCTTGTAAGAAAGGTGACCCTTGGGACTAGAGAAAACTGGCCTTGTAAGAAGGGTGACCCTTTGGACAAGAGAAAACTGGCCTTGTAAGAAAGGTAACCATTGGGACTAGAGAAAACTGGCCTTGTAAGAAAGGTGACCCTTGGGACTAGAGAAAACTGGCCTTGTAAGAAAGGTGGCCTTTGAATTGAGGTTCAAAGTACATAAGTATTACTACAGTTGGACAGGAAGAGGGTTACCTGAGAAGACAGGTGTTCGTCTAATAAAGATGACCTTTATACCAGGTTTGACTACTATTCATTGATTGTTAGAATTATAAAACTGGGAAAAATACACATTGTTGCTCATAGAAAAATAATTTATATTGACATTACATTTCCTCTCACCTTCATTTCTAAAACTTTCTGGAATTCATTAATATCTGAATCACTCAATAATCTAATGTAATTATCTACAAAACCTTGTGGCTGTTCATGTGGTGACATCACAACCTATAATATATAATATCATATTGTAAGGTATATAAAGGTATAATGTGGTGACATCACAACCTATAATATATAATATCATATTGTAAGGGATATAAAGGTATAATGTGGTGACATCACAACCTATAATATATAATATCATATTGTAAGGGATATAAAGGTATAATGTGGTGACATCACAACCTATAATATATAATATCATATTGTAAGGGATATAAAGGTATAATGTGGTGACATCACAACCTATAATATATAATATCATATTGTAAGGGATATAAAGGTATAATGTGGTGACATCACAACCTATAATATATAATATCATATTGTAAGGGATATAAAGGTATAATGTGGTGACATCACAACCTATAATATATAATATCATATTGTAAGGGATATAAAGGTATAATGTGGTGACATCACAACCTATAATATATATCATATTGTAAAGGATATAAAGGTATATATAAAATAAAATGCTTCACTGAGCGCAGCCTGATACGACCGCAGTGGTCGAACCCTGAACAGTTGGGGCAAATTTGGACACAATATTCAAGCTTGATACTGTCTGAATTTGGATTGTGATCAAATTTTTGACATACTATAGGTTTCTGACACAAAATAAATGTGGTCAAGGATCTTATAAATCCATTGTGCAATACTGTGCAATTGAAGATTTCTTCTTGAAACTTTTCAAAAGTTCAAAATTTTAAAAATTTTATAAAAAATAAATATGAATCCCTTACAAAAATTGGGAAACCCCCCCCCCCCCCCCAACTTTTTGAAACCCCCTTGGAGCAATAACCCCAAAACTCAATCCCAGCCTTTCCTTTGTAGTATGGAACCTTGTAGTATAATTTCAGAGAGATCCATACACTTACACACAAGTTATTGTCTGGAAAATAGAAAAATGCTTGTTTTTGGCCCTTTTTTGGCCCCTATTTCCTACATGTTTGGGGCAATCAACCCCAAACTCAATCCCAGCCTTCCCTTTGTTATATGGAACCTTGTGGTACAATGTCAGAGAGATCCATATACTTACACACAAGTTATTGTCTGGAAACTAGAAAAATGCTTGTTTTGGCCCCTTTTTGGCCCTTAATTCCTAAACTGTTGGCCCCCATAACCCCTAAAATGAATCCCAACCTTCTACTTGTGGTATTAAACATTGTGGTACAATTTCAGAGCAATCAAAATACTAATACACAAGTTATTATCCTGAAACTAGAAAAATGCTTGTTTTGGGCCCCTTTTTGGGCCCCTAATTCCTAAACTATTAAGACCATCATCCCCAAAATCAATCCCAACCTTCCTTTTGTGGTATTGAACCTTTAAAAAAATTTCATAGAGATCCATTCACTTAAACTAAAGTTATTGTCCGGAAACCAATGTGTCTTCTGATGACGACGCAGACATCATACCATTATACGATCCCAAAAATTTTTTGCGGTCATATAACCAGGTAACTTCATCTCATATTTGTGTTAATACCAATAATAACAATAATAGTACCAATTTTACTTCATCAGTCTGTACAAAGTATGGCTTTCTTTAATTATTTTTTGTTTGATGTTTTTTCGTTTGTTTCATGTCATTATCACATTATAATACTGTTATCTGTTTCATTATCATGACTGTTGCTGTGCTGTGCAGTTGACTCCATGTAATGTTTTTTTTTAAATTTCACTGAAACATTTGCACCTCCTTATTTTGGACAGAATAAAAAATCTGATCTTTGAGTGCAGTAAATATTTATTCAATTTTAAGACTTCAACTATGAATTATTTGGCAGGTATCACAATATCAAAACTTTAACCTTATGACAACCTAAGGTTAACCTTTTGTTATTGTAGGCTTCAATTTTTATGCATACTTTAGCATGTTTAGTTTTCTGAGTTTTTTTAAAAGAGTCACTGTGTAAGTTTTTCACTACTAATTGAGAATATATATAATCCATGAATCATAGGCAAAAGTGAAGTAACTCACTTCAAAATTTCATATTATGGTAATAGAATGCATTCCACTAAATTCATCCTTTTTGGCCAATGTCTCTCAATTTGTATATAAGGATTAAACAGGATTGACAACCATTTACATAACATCTTAATCTTGTGTTGCAATGAGGGATGCATCAAGTAAGTAGGAGGAAATTTTGAAGCTATGTTGGTTATAAAGTGGTCAGGTTTTCGAGGTAATATTTAAAATTTATTTTTCCTTTCTTATTTGGTAATGAATTGATAGAAATTTATTTTATATCAAAGTTCTAAAATATAAAATATGGAAAATATTATAGTCATACCGAGAAAATTTGTTTAATATTGAGTTTTAGGAACCCATACTGATTTACATATTTCACATGAAACTGAGAAATTTATTAAAACTTACCTTCAGAATCATTTCTGCTTTTGTCATACCTTTAACAACAATCTTAGTATAACTGAAAATAATTAATTTAATGCATTTTATACAATGTCCTTTAATTGAAACAAAATACCCATCAAAACTAATCAAAGTTCTATAATTTTAAGATACAGCTTTAAATAATATTCATTTTTTTTAACGTATTATTTGTATTTTGTCTCTCCATTTTTTGGTGTATTTTTCCAGTTTCTGTTATTTTCAAAATTCATATATATATTCAGTTTCCATTATTTGTGTTGCATTTAATCTTTCCACTAATATATGATAGTTATAATGTTTACCTTGCTGGTGCTTTTCTTATAACCTGGGAACCTAGTGACGGAAGATCTAATAAAACTGTTTTTAGGGAATGAGTATCTAGTAATAACTGAAAATAGACAAGTATTATCCATGATATACATACCCGGTAACATGAATATAAATTATATATATATATTAACTAGGGTCATCTGTGCTGGTGATGTACTTAGCAAACGGTACTGGAACAAAACTGGAAAGTATCTTTTTTTCGTCAAGTAAGAAGGATATTTCTCTCATTGATTGATAGTACATGTATGCTAAATATATATTGATAAAACAGAGGATAGCAATTTGTTTAAGGATGTACTTAGGTGATATTAAAAAAATCCAGAATTTAAAATTGATACTATAAATCAGAACAGCATTAGTTAAGGACCAAAATAAGCTAAAAATATTGATAGGTTATGGAGCTCTTTTTCGAGATATTTAATTTTTAAATAAAATGCTCCGTGGGGCGCAGAGGTCGAACCCTAAACAGTTGGGGCAAGTATGGACACAACATTTAAGCTTGATACAGCACTGAATTTGGATTGTAATTAAATATTTGACACAGCATAGGTTTCTGACACAGAATGAATGTGGTCTAAGAACTTAAAAAAATTTTAATTTACCTATTCAAACCATATCATTATTATTTGCTTTTATATATAAATCAGAAATAACCAATTTAAAATGGAAAATTTTAAAGAAAAAAAAGGAAAAAAAAAATCCCCCCCCCCCCAATTTTTTGAACCCCCTTATGATTCATCACCCCCAAACTCAATCCCAGCCTTCCCTTTGTGGTATGATACCTTGCAGTACAATTTCAGAGAGATCCATACACTTGAACACAAGTTATTGTCTGCAAACTAGAAAAATGCTTGTTTTTTGGCCCCAAATTCCTAAACGTTTAGGGCAATTACCCCCAAACTCAAACCCAGCTTTCCATTTGTGATATGGAACCTTGTAGTACAATTTCATAAAGATCAATACACTTACACACAAGTTATTGTCCTGAAACTAGAAAAATGCTTGTTTTTTTGCCCCTTTATGGCCCCTAATTCCTAAAATTTTGAGGCAATTACCCCCAAAATCAATCCCAGCCTTCCCTTTGTGATATGGAACCTTGTGGTACAATGTCAGAGAGATCCATACACTAACACACAAGTTATGTCTGGAAGTTACAAAAATGCTTATTTTTGGCCCCTTTTTGGCCCCTAATTCCTTAACTGTTGGTACCATAACCCCCAAAATCAATCCCCACCTTCCTTATGTGGTATTGAACCTTATGGTAAAATTTCATAGAGATCCATTCACTTAAACTAAAGTTAGAGTGCGAAAACCAATGTGTCTTCGGACGACTACGACGACGACGCCAACGCCAACGTCATACCAATATACGACCACAAATTTTTTTTGCGGTCGTATAAAAATGGAGGGAAAAGGCTGACTCAGACTTTTACCTAATATTTGCATTGGTATTATTTGGGTCTCAAATCGAAAGAAAAGAAATCTAGAATCTGCTTAAATTTTGGTAAATGACCTTTTATGGGCTATTGAAATCTTATATGAAAAGAAAAATGGGTGTTATGGGGCAAAATATTTTACCCTGTATTGTAGGAAAAAAACCGAGGAGTCCGAACATCTGACACAAATTCTTAAACCTCCCCTAAGCACATCCTTGCAGAAGAAGAAATGTTTACTTTTGTCAAGCTTTTTTTATTTGATTATTACATTATTTGATCAAGATCTGTTTTAAATATATCAGGTGTTTGAACCTTTCTAAAAAATGATCAGTAAGAACTTAACAAAATCTAGTAAAGCAATTTCACTTTAATAGTATAAAAATGATCAGTAAGAACTTATCAAAATCTAGTAAAGCAATGTCACTTTAATAGTATAAAAATGATCAGTAAGAACTTAACAAAATCTAGTAAAGCAATGTCACTTTAATAGTATAAAAATGATCAGTAAGAACTTAACAAAATCTAGTAAAGCAATGTCACTTTAATAGTATAAAATTGATCAGTAGGAACTTAACAAAATCTAGTAAAGCAATGTCACTTTAATAGTATAAAAATGATCAGTAAGAACTTAACAAAATCTAGTAAAGCAATGTCACTTTAATAGTATAAAAATGATCAGTAAGAACTTAACAAAATCTACTAAAGCAATGTCACTTTAATAGTATAAAAATAAGGAAATGTGGTATGACTGACAATAAGACAACTATCCCCCAGAGTTCAAATGAAGTGGATGTAAGCAATTATAGACAACCGTATGGCCTTCAATAATGAGAAAAATCCCTACCATATAGTCAGCTGTAATAAGCCCCGACATGAAAAATGTGAAACAATTAAAACGAGAGAAAACTAACTCTCTAATTTATAACAAAACAATTCATGATAAACAAATGTCAGACATGAACCAAAAACAACCACTAAACTACAGGCTCCTGACTTGGGACAGGCACATACAGAATGTGGCTGGGTTAAAAATTTTGTGAGCTGTTTCACCTGAGTTATATTGAATTTTACATAAACCATTTATATCAATTACTAATGAATATATTAATTCAACTGTAGTCAATGCTCCAGGCTGTCTGTATCTTACTGCAAGCTGATGAAATAACTGTTTGGGACCATCCTGCAACTTTTGAAGAAGAGACACAGTGATAAAATCAAAAGATTGATAACACAGTGGACAAAACAAGACTGATCTAATCCCGAAAAAACCAGACCAAAATATAAGTGTATGTGTAAACAATAGAGAACACTGAAAATTAAAGCATGAGCTTTACAAACTCCCATGAATACAAAGATTGATATCAGATGTTTCAGAAGGGTAAGCTCAAGTCTGTGTCAAGACAGAAATGTTATGCTATGGTCATCTCAGAAAAAATCCTCAAAAAAACTTGTGATATTATTGTATACCAGACCTACCTGTTCAGCTGCCACTGTGTTGATAGATTTACATCGGAATAAGTTGTTGATGAATTTTGGAATGAATGTACTGAAAAAGAGATAAAACAACTTATTTCTTATGCAACAAAAATACTGCAATCTGATTGGTTAATTACCCCGGTGTAAATAACACCCCACCCTTGTTCACCCCGGGATAAATAAAATTTTGCCAAAAAATAAAAAAAAATAAAATATTTGCCAAAATAAAAAAAGAAAATAAAATGTCAAAAAAAAAAAAAAAAAAATATAAAAAATAAATAAATTTGAGGACAAAAATTTGTAAAAAATTAAAAAAAAAAATTAAAAAAATTTGTCCCCCCCGAAAAATCAAAAGAACAAATTTTTTTTTCTGAATTTCCCACAAATAAAGAAAAAAAGTATTTGACAATACGCAGCAACATCAACTTTAAAAAAATGTTACACTGGAAATTTTTCAATTTTACATCCCGGTTTAAAAATAAGTAAAGGAATTGTTCATAAGAAATAAATTCGTTATCTTGGTGTAATCAGGGGTGTAAAGAATTTTACACCGTTGTTGAAAATTCATACACCCATTCGGCTGCGCCTCAGGGTGTATGAATTTTCAACAACGGTGTAAAATTCTGTACACCCCTGATTACACCAAGATAACTAATAATATAAGGTACATGTAATGGTTATGTATAACATACTTTAAACACAAATAATAAGGTGCACAATTTCAGGTTTTTTAGACCCAAATAACTAGGTAACAATTCTATGTTATCATTTTTACATTATATAATATTCAGGATCTTCACAGGGAATATATGGGCTTATATTTCCTGTCAGTTATTTTTAGAGGACACTGGTAGGGAATATGAGCCCATACTTACCTATCTTTTGATTTATAAAGGTCAATGCTTTCACACTGAAACAAATAAAAGAACATTGTGTCTGAGGACACAAGCGGGGGGTTTGAGGACATGAATGCCCCTGCTCAAGCTTTGCAATTTTCCAAATCAAAAAGGGGCATAACTCTAGAACGGTAAATGACTTACAACCCAAATGCAAAATCTGTCTGCATGTTGTGGTTCTTAGCATTGTGTATGAGTTTCATAAAATGTGGATGAGGAAAACTTAAGTTGAGAGTGCAGAAACTTCAAGTTTGCAATTTTCCAAGTTAAAAAGGGCATAACTCTAGAACAGTAAGTGACTCACTGCCCAAATTCGAACTCTGTCTGCTAGTTTTGGTTCTTTGCATTGTGAATGAGTTTCTTAAAATTTTGATGAGGCAAATCTTAAGTTAGAGTGTGGCAACGAAAATGGGATGGATGGTAGGACAGATGGAAAGACAGACAGACAGAAGGACGGAAAGACGGATGGACGGTCAAGGGTATCACTTAATGTCCCCGTTGCCTACAGCGGGGCATAAAAAGTATACACATATAAGGAAATAAAATACCCATTTTAAAAAGCTTTTTAATAAGAAGGAACAAAAGTTACAGAGCTTCTTTCCTGTTTCATGGCGAGTACAAATAAATTCTGAATTTTCTATCAATGCAAAGATATTTTAGATGATTATACTTACTTAACAAATTTTAGACAGAACTGAGTGAAGAATTTTCTAGATGAAGCTAAGTTATCTCGGATGATTGGTATATTTTGTTTGAGATGTGTAGTCACAGCAGACACATATCCACTCTGGTCACCAACAGCTTCAACTGATGACCAAGACATCTGAAAAACAAGTATATCTAACAATTTTGATCCTTGGGAACCCAATGCTGATGGGTAAGGGTTCCGTGTTTTGTTTTGGTTAGGATTTAGGTGATGATAAGGTTAAAGCAAGTATTAGCTTTATGGTAGTCACAGCAACAGTAAAACCTTATTCAATAAAAATCAGCTATCCTGTTACTATTTTAGGTTGTGAACAGGATACAAATGTTAATTAAAAGTCCATGACAAAGATTATTTTCATACCATCACCTTTTTTCATGACTAACGCAGCTGATTCACATGATTAATTCTCTTACCATGGCTGTCAGAGCTTGTACACATTTTATGTGCCTATATATATATATATATATATATATGTGTACTGTTGATATTTTCCGTGTAATTGCATTGTCATCTCATATATTATGTATACTCCATATACTCTTGTATGAGGTTATTTACTAAACATTTACTTAACTAGTGGCTGACACAATAACATTTTGATAGCTGTAAGAGACTGTTTACTAAGTATTATCCTTACTCATGGCTGTATATTAATATTATCAGGGTACCTTATCGTTAAAAGTGTAGCAGTAAGGTCATTGTTAATAGCTTTAGTGCAATAAATATATTATCAAGTGTTAAAAAAAAGATGCTCTTAATTGAGTGTTTACCTTACTCATGGCTGTAAGAGCAGGCTCACAAGCTGTTTCCAAATCCTGTACAAGTAACTGTATACAACTTGATATCACACTGAAATAAAATAAACAATATTGTAAACATTTGTTACTAAAATTCATTTGTATAGCAAAGATTAATGTATCTATCAAAGGGAGACAACTCTAATTTAATTTCATGGATCTAGAGAATTGCCATTTCTAAAAATTTAAGGGTTACTACTATAGACCAATGATATGATAAGTATATGATGTCATTTAACAATCAATCCTTATTGTAACATCAGAGATGCACAGGAAAATGCAAGAATGTGAAAGTTATCTACAATCCCAGTGAATATGACTTAATATGTATAACCTACAATGATATAACATTTTGTTGAGGCAAAACTTAAAATTGAGAATGGAAACGAAAAATTCAGCAATTTTTCCATTTGTAAAAGGGCATAACTCTAGAAAGGTAAAAGTGATGCCAACCAAATTCAAACTTGATCTGTGTTTTGTGGTAATAAGCATTGTGTATAAGTTTCCTAACATTTGGTAGAGGCAAACTTAAGTTAGAGAATGGAAACCAATTTTGGGACATATGGACGGAAGTACAGACGGACAAGGGTAAAACTTAATGCCCCCTCCGCCTCTGTTTTCTATTTATATGTAATAATTGGACATGGTAATTTCCGAAATTCATTATGGTGTCAATCTCCTTAAAGATAGTTGTGACATGTCAATTGTGGTTTTGACAGAAATCAGTAGCCAATGAAAAAGGAGTTCATAAAAATTATACAAGAACTAGAAATTAATGTTAAAGTAGTTATTTATTGTGTGTTATAAACAGTCAAAGCTTTCCCATAGCAATATCTTTTTTAACAGGGGATATATGTTATCTTGTTTTATTTATATAAAGATAATGTTAGGAACAAACAGTCTGTATTTGTTTTAAGTAGCATACTTATGGAATGTATCTTGTTCTGGATTCAGGTCAATCTGACTGGTTAGACCCGGATCTACTTTCTCTTTCAGTTTCTCCTCCAGCTGTTGTGTAGTTTCCATACAATATTCGGCTGTACATAAGATACTACAAATTCTACATTGTTCTTCCTCTGTAAACTTAGTTATCTCCCCTTCCTTGAGTATACTTTGTAATATTCCAGAGGCTGAACTGTTCCCCTCTTTACTTTGTCTGAATGAGATGAAGACACAAAATAGACTTGAATATTGGTAAAATTCATGTACTACAAATGCTTAAAACCAAATGAAAATCATTTTAGTTTACAGAAATTGTGTCCTCAATACTTTGGCTAATGGAAATGCCAGATAAAAAAATATAGCCACAATTTATTAGTCCATTAAATCTGATCTTGATTTTGCAATACAATTAAAACGTTTGTCTCGATAATTAAGTCTATCATCATATCATTTATTAAACAGTACACAACAATGCTGTCTGCTTATTTTACTTGAATATGATTTTTGTATTTTTTGGCTTTCAAAATAATATGAGGCAGGCGTTACCTGTGAAAGGGGACGAAGTCCGAATCAATTACTTTTTTTTAAATTCTAACATATTTTAATGTTCAAAAAGAAACAGAAATACCGTTACGTTACTGATGTTGGTTCTGTTGTTAGGGATTTTAGATGTGACGTCATTTTAGTCATTACGTCGTTTTCAATGTAAACAAAGAGACGCTATCATCAGGTAACGTTTTTGTTTTCATATCAAGAGAATAATTAAAATGAAATTGTTATTGTGCTCATTCCTATATATTTGACTGAAAAATATATTATACCCAAAGTCTCACGACAAATGAGACCGGAAGAAAGAAAGAGATTTCTGCGCAAATGCGGGAAAATAAAAAAGTTAGAAAAAAAAAGTTAACGATTTTGAGTTCATTAGTACATTGGAAATTATTTTTTTATTTTTTTTTTTATTGATTTTTCTACTGTTATAGGACGGTTGGTTGTGTTGAAGAAAAAAAAATTACATATCTTACTTTGGTAAAGAATTAAGCAGAACTCTGTTGGAATATTCTTTGAGGTATTTTTGGAATGTTCGTGTTAGGTCTATCATTGGTTGTCCATTACTCAGCTGAGAACACTGCACCATACATTTCTTATAAAATACAAACAAATCAGCACAGCTAGGTAATACATTACTGCTATCCTCTGATTCCATGCGAGGTGTTCCAAACTGTCGGAGGTCTTCTAAAAATCTGTTTACTAATTCTGACAGATTCCTATAGTTCAAAGAATATGACTTTAAATGAAGACAGATATACATATTGTCACTGAATTATCTTGTTTTATTTATATGAAATCGTAATTAAAATTAATTTAGAAAATTTATGAGAAGGAGTATGAAGCGTTGTATTTCAAACTTCATGCTTAAAATTTCATCTAAATGAAGTCTGAATAAAACTTTATGTATAAAATTACATCTATGTGAAGTGTTAAAGTAATGTAATTTAAAATTATGGTTAAAAATAAAACTGGTATGCCTTTACAGCAGGGCCTAATCTAGGATTTTGGAGATGGAGGAGTGAAATTCCATTACTGTTTCAGTTGCGTTATATTGTGTTTTGTGCTTATCTATGACAAAATCTTGATTTCACTTGTCATTCGTCATTTTTGTTTACCTGTGCGACATGTAAATCACAAGTTGTCTCCCTTATACCAAATTTGATAGGGACTTGACTTGGCTATAAAGTCAGTCAAAATTTTTTACCAACTCAAATTGTCATTTCACTGACAAGGTTATAACCTGCTTTACTAAATATAATTTGGTATTGCAATTATCCTTAATTATCATATTACCTATCTTGTGAATCAATATAGATGTCTAGATGTGTCTCAAAACATTGGGATATAATACCACCAAAAGGGGAGGATGTATTCTTTTCACTATCCTGTAAAATACAAGTTAAAAAACATTCAAGTACAGTAATGCTAAGATGTTTCTTGATCTTAAAATTAAGTATAAGATGCTTTAAAAAAAAAACTGCTAGAAACTGCTATTTCAAGGAAAACACGCCGATATACAATAATTTTCAAGCGTTTCATATACCATGTTTTTAAGATCTGTCCATTTTACCATATAATTTAACACCAATGTTAGAAAAACTAATTATACCATATTTTTTACCTTAAAAATCTGTCCATTCTATCAATGTTTAAAGATCTGTTGTTTTTTACATTATTTTTTTTTCAATTAAATGTACAGTTGTATTCATTTTACTTCAATTAAAAAAAGAATGTGAAATTCAGTTTGTTTTACTGCACTTTTTTGAAATTTAAAACAAAGTTAACTCCACTTGACCACAATTTTTCAATAAACCTAAATTGTGTATATGAAATATATAACAATATTTCGATAAAACAAACCTTGTTGTCATCCGATTGTGTTTTCTCTTCATTCTCCATATCACTTTCAAATGGATTAGAAGATTCTTCCTCAAATGGATTGGTTGTTGGCGGAGCAACACTCACTGATTTCTTCCCCTGTTTATCAATATAAAGTTGGTGAATACCTTGCCATGGAAAATATATTACTGAACCATTTTTGTTCTTACAATGATGATATAATATGAAATCTACTGGAAAATTCATCATTCTTTAATTTGATTGAAAGTTTAAACACAAAACATGTTTTTGTGGCTGTCCAAAAAGTCAGGATGTTTTTGACAATTATTTAACTCTGGTTACAATATAAGGCAGGGGGAGGGAAAGGTTGTGACACTTTAAACTTAATTTATGACAATCTAAACTTGTTTAACTCCACAACTTTTTTTGCCTGAACCAAGACCGGTTATGACGACCAGATATATGTTGTGGTTGCATGGCTTCAAAAACGGTCATATATTCCGGACTTGACTGAAATTTATATAAAAAGTCCGGCTGCTCTCAGCCTCAGACGGTCAAATATCATAGTTTTGCCACTTTTTGTTATTCAAGGCATTTTCATAAAACGGTCATTTCACTTTTTTTTACCAACTATCGATCGGTCACACAGTGGCATTATTGTTTATAATTGTGGCAATCTATTTCACAAAGATATTTCTGTCATATTTGGGTTTAATTAAACAGATGCAGCATATTTCATACTTTGAAGTGTCTCAGTTAGTCTAATCCTCTGGGTACATAAATGCACGGCTTGGTACATCAATAAAAAGTAGAAAAAACATTTGTTCTTTTATTTAAAAAACAACAAGCTGTCAAACAATTATCCCTTCAATAAGTAATATTGAAGCCATAAATCATTCACTGATTACAGGTCATTACCTTTGATGAGAGACCTTTGCTTGTCTTAATCAATAGAATTGATGATGCATAACAATGGACATAAAGGTGATCAGGTAAACGAGGTCAAACATGTAAGCGTGTATGGAACAACATCCTATTTAATTACGCTTTGTAGATATTATTGTAAATGAGCATTCAGTTTAAAAAACGTATCAGATTTTAAAATAATTCTTCAAATAAGAATATTTATAAATGAATTCGAATTTGTATGATATTCATTATTATATTTAAAAACACTGTACATCGTGTTAAATACTGGGGTACGCTAAAGGGTATTCAAAGTTATTTTCTTACATTTCAGCGGGTTGCATCTAATTAATTTAGTCTAAAAGATTGAAATTATAAGAAATACGTTAATAAATATGATTTGATGAAAAATTTGATAAGGTTTTAAACGAATAATCGTCAGAACCACGTTGTTTGAACTAGTACACGTGTGCGCATGTGTCTATTGTGCGCTGGTGGGAAATTTAATTATGCATCCTAATTCTTCAATAATGCTAAAATTATCATTAATACCTTTATCTAACATTCATTTCGAGTATTTTCTTTAAGAAATAACTTGAAAAGGCTACTTAACTCAATCGTAAACGTACACGGATATAACGTATCCGTCTCTTATCCGTGATTTACCATTGTCAAGTCAACATCCGGCATTAGGAAAATGTGATTTTAAAAATGAAAGTAAAGTTTTTGACAACGTTATTTTGCACAAATAAACAGTCTAAAGCAGTATTAGGCAGAATTAGTACGCCGATGTTGCACAATTCGAATGCTGCACTTTCAATTTAACACTTTACATCAGAACATCGAATTTATATCAAAATCAAGTTTAATATCGTTTTAATGTCAATCAATGAATCATTGGTTATATGATGGCCAACTGATTATCATAATTGCCTAATTAATAAGTCCTAAGGGATTGAAAATCGGGATAAGATATGAAATGTCCGGCTGGCTCAAAAAATTTTTGGAAGCCCTGTGTGGTTGTTTGCCTTATTTTTTTTAGGAGATGATTTTTATTGATATATGCGTTCTGTTGTACTGTCCAATATTTTGGTAATCCTGTTATCTTTTTAATGTATTGTCTTTTTTTAAAGACCATAGCTTGGCCTAAATGTCTTGATATTTTGTGTGGTTGGATTGCAGTCATATAGTGTTGGGGTATATTTCAATGAGTCAGCACAGTATGTCCGACATTGGGAAAAATTCCATGCTTAAAAGGTCTAATAAAAATTCTATGTAACCAATTTATGCCCATATGTAACTCAACATTATAAAATACCAAACAAAATATCATATATTTCCTTAATATTGATGCTGAGCAATATGAAGCAAAACAGGATACATGTACAGACAAAACGAAGGGAGGGACACATAGACAAATGGCAAGACAAGGTCATTGCACTGTTCCATCCATACTGAGTTGGTGAATAATATTAAAACCTACACAGTTAAAACTATTGATTATAATAAAAGTGAACATTTTACCTGAAACTCTTGCAATGTAACACCAGTAAACCTTTTGGCCAGTAAGGTTTCAAAATTTGTCGTTCTTTGTATGGCAAACAATAATAGCTTTACATCTATCTCAACTTTCCTCTTTGTCATAATCTTTGAAAGCTCTTTTCTGGAAATAAATATAAATTAAATTTTTTTTTGAATTGGTCTGAGTTTCAAACTGTAACTCATGTATCATGCTTGATAAAACCAAATAACAGACAATGGTAGAGTTGAGACAAGGCCTGATATCAAGAAAAACATGAATATTTAATATAATGTAGAATTTTTTTATCTCTCTCTTTAAATACGCTAAAAAAGTCTTACCAGCATTTCAATTTCCTAGTACATTTTGTATTAGCTTTCACGAAAAAAAAAAAAATTTGACTTACAAGCCTGAAATCAGTCTTTCGTATAATTTCTTTTACATTTAAAAGGCTTGTGAGTCCTCTGTTCAGGTGAATCCTATTGGCCTGACATAATTTTTACTGGCCTGACCCAAAGGGCTTGTGGTTAATTGTGTAATTCTTATAAAGGAATTACATTGATCATGTGTAGCACTTGTATAAAACATTACCTGGTTAAATCACAAAATTCAACACAGATTCTTTCACTGACTTCCCAGTCTGATGGAAACAAATGACCAAATTTTTCTTCGAAGTCCACCAATGTTCTCTTTATCCATGCATATCTTCTGTCTATCTTATCCAACCAAGCCACCTATATTAACATTAAAACTATGTTATCGTCTTTAATCAATTTAGCTACTAATGTATAATATAAAATTCCTCCATTTTTTTTTTGAATACTTTCATGAAGTCTTCAGTTAAATGAAATACATATTATCATACTTTGGCTGGTTACTATAGGAACACATAAAGAGATGAAAATCAGTTATATTCATGTTTTTCTATAAGAAATTTATTCAAGTTAGTGGTTTTATTTTGTATTTGATTGACTTTTGTGTTTATAACAGATCTTTCTATTTTCTGTAAAGTTTACTCATGCAAACTTAGTGCAATGGCAGCTATGATAATTATTTATCAACTTTGCTCCCAATGGCTCACTGGTTTCAGAAGCGAAAATTTTGAAAAATGTTAAATGAGTTTGATGCCAATTGATGAAAAAAGCAGTCTAGTTAAAAATACCTACATCTTGGTTTTCTCCAAATAGCACAAGGTATTCTGAAAGCTGAAGTTTGACAAACCAGTTCAGGAGATCTTTCTTCACTCTTGGGTCTAACACACTAACTACAAGGCAGGCTTCCTTTAACTGTCTCTGATTTCCTGGACCATACTGCAATAAAGGGGATGTGGTCACTAAAGTAATTTGGTTTGAATATTCGTTCAACTATATCTAAACAAGAGTCATTTTAAAGTTGGAAATTACATATTTCATAACATAAGACAAAAGGGTTGATAAGAAAACTAGTCTTCAAAATGTGTTTCAATTTCATATATCAATATTTTTTGCAAAAATACACCAGAAAATTAAAAATATGTGGTGACCATTTTAAGTTGTTGAAATTTTTAAACATATGTAATAAAACAGAACTATAATTTATATGAATCAAAGCATCATGGATATTGTGATTCAGTCAATATTGTAGCTAGTCTGACATATTTTCTGACCATACTTTCAATAACTATTTTGTTATCTTAATTTCCATAATCTCACTGTAAAATTTCTATTCTATTGCCAAAAGATGGAGAATTTTGCAATATTGATGCAATCTTTTTTTAGAAACATTTGAAATTCAATGATTTTGACAAGAATGTTAAGGGAAATCTTAAAATGTGTAGCATATTTTGTATATGCCATTAATAATAATTGGCCTAATAATTTCCAGAAAGAGGGATTGAAATGCATTTTCTCTACAACAACAAAAATGAATAACTAACTTTTATCTAAATTGGTGTTCATTCTTCATTAAGGAAAAAATACATTTCATGTACATGATGTATTCAAATATACATGTACAAATACCTAATGCTGAGATAATTCCAATTGCTCTTAAATAACAATATTATGGGGAATATACAAATAAATTTATTGCATAAAATGCTCAGGTAAGAGTTATGCAATTGTGTTTATTGCTTCAACCAAATTACTGATAATTGTAACTTAAATAGACCTTAATTATTAATTTATGCCAGATGATTATGACATTGATTTTACAACTATTGAGGTCAAGATTTTGTGTATTCAGTTAAATGTGTAATAAATTGAATACACAAATTCTTGACCTCAATACCAGTGTATGATTATCAATGATGTGGTCAATTAAGACTGCATTTGAGTGGAGTTGAATCAAATTAATACTTACACCTTTGTGTGTAATTGTTTGAAAATCGTTCACCCAACCTTTTCTTAATTTATGGACAAATAACATATTAAAAGTTGGCCGTTGATGATTAAAATGGTGTATAAAGTTTCTGCAAGTCATAGAAACACATAATTATTTTCATGACATGTCTTCAACTTAGAATTTTGCACCATCTCCAAATACGGAGTGATCACATAGATCCAGCATGGCTGAATCAAAAATCAGCAGGTATATTTCACATTAACAGTTTTTTTTTTCATTTTATCTGTCTAAATGAGGATGTTATATACATATGTTTGAAATTATTGTAACATATCCAGTGCACATTTTTCCTCTGTAAAATAAGTAGTTAGATCCATTAGCTGAAAAGCTTATTCAGGAATTAAATAAGGCTGGTCAGTCTAAAAAAAACTTATTTCTGAAAACATTTACTACACAAATTTTAAATTTTAGATACAATAAATATACCTTAGCTCCAGCTCCCTGAAATGCCTCTTCAAAATCTGCTTGTATTTGTGTTCCTAGTTCACCTTGTATTTGTTTTACTCTGTAAATACAAATCAGGAGTTACCTTATAAATAAAATGAGATCTGGGGTATGCATCAATTAGACAGCAACCCAACAATACAAAAAACACATTCTTCAATATTAGACAAGGGTCTAAGCAATAAATGATGCTGTAAATATTGCATTCATGTAAACTGACTCAATTTTAGTGACCTCCAATTGACTAGATTATATAAAAAGACATTGAAAACAAGGATTCATTCATTCTAATATACCTATAAATATCTGATTTAACTTTTGATGAACTAAAATAAGTGTATCAAGTTCTTTATTTATCAATCTTAACAAATCATTTCAAGAAACCAAAACGTGTAAAAGGTTGCTATGGATTGGTTTTGCTCATTGTTGCAGGTTGTATGGTGACCTATAGTTGCTAACTTCTACATTGTTTGGTCTCTGGTGGAGAGTTGTCTCATTAGCAATTATACCACATCTTCTTATTTTAATATGAGATGCACAAACAGAGGAATAAAATATGATTCATTTCTAGGCAAGTCAGGCCAACCACTTTAAAACTAAGACTTCCTTCTACTTTGCTAAATCCAAGTCAACAGAGACCAGTCTTCTTCTTGCTGACTGTTACCTTGTGAGCTAGCAAGTTAAAATTAAGCTCAAACTGAATATATATATATATACAGAAGCAGGGGTTCAATTCCTGCTGAGGGAGGAACAAAAATTAGCTAACACAAATTTGCAGATCTAACATTGTTGGACTAAATTTGAGATGAAGTATATACAAGTGTTAGCCCTGTATAACCATGGGTTTTCCAATGGAGAATGTCTGTCATAAAGTTGTCAGATGTTTAGAAATACATACATAAATACATATATTCAAATTATATTAATATGTTCTCTAGATGATGTAACTTTCCCTTGAACCAGCTTTATGTACAATGTAAAAAATATCTTAAACTTTCATGATGAATTACCTGTCTGACAGTTGTTTGATTTGAGGAATAGACATGTATCTGTCAAAATGTTCCTGAACGTTGAGAACACCTTGTAACAGATTAGCTACTTCCCCATATTGTCTTCTCTTGGTTAGTGACCTGTAATTAATGTATATAAAAATCATTATATATTGATATCACTTTTTTTTTACAACAACAGTAATATTCATTATGCTCGGAGTTTAAATATTTCTTTGGAAGTTATAGATAAGCTGCATTCTTTACAGTTTTGATTTCTCCACTCATTATACAACACTACCATATGAAATAATTTAACATACATTTCCTATTTCATAAGAAGGCAATTTTATTTTTTACAGAGTTTGTCTTTAGTGCCGTGTGGAGACAGTTATTTGTCTACTTGTGAAAGTAACTAACAAAAACAAATCCTTTGCGCAAATTTGTTGATTTACAGTAATGCAATGTTGAGGATATAGAAAACATAAATCTGTCAAAATAGTACATTGATTGATTGATTAATTTTTAGCACGATTGACTATTTGGTGGTGGTCAATTTTTAAAGGTGGAAGAAGCTGGAGTGGCCGGAGAACCATAGACTTTGGCAAAAAAACTGACAATCCTAGTCAATTTAGATTGGAGTCTTACACACCTGCCACATGTTGGGTTCTAACTCACAACCTTAGTGCTGACAGGCTTGTGATACAGTAGTTGTACTGCTTTGACCACTCAGCGACGGAGGCTCCCAAAATAGTACTATAATATTAACTATAACAAATATTGGAGATGAGACAGACTTACGTTAAAGAATCCACACCTCCTACTAACATATGTAAATGATTAAGTGTTGTTATTGATGAGGTCAAATTTTTCTTTGCATGGTCTAGTTGTTTGATATCCCTTGTAATTTCTTTAACCTAAAAAAATCCAACACAAAACAGTAAATTGGTATAAAAATGTTAAAAGATATAACCAGAAGAAACCCTAAGGCCAACACAGATTTTTTTCTTCCGCAAATGGTCATAATGCACTTCTTTGAAAGGACATTCATTTAAGGATGAAAATGATAAAGTTAAATCTGTAGTATGCATGGAAGCATGTGGTCAAAATTTTACTTAAGAACGAGTTTCGTTTCATTTTCTCTAGAGTATTACTTTATCACTTCCATAAGCGACTTCAAATTATGGAAATATGGGAGTTTCTTGCAAATGTGAAACAAGTGAAAAATTTTCATTTCAGGTACACTAAGTAAAAAAGTAAAGCAATAAATATTTTAATTAAAAAACTTTAAATTAAAAATTTCCAAAGTTGCAGAAATAAAGTTAGGTAAAAATTGCAGTTTTCATTATAGTTTTATTTTCATTTACAATACTTGCTTTATTGTTATGTATAGTTAAGAGTTAAAGTTTATTTTTGAAATATAAAATCAAAAATATTTGTGATTTTTTTTTCACTCAGTATAGTTATAAGTTTGTGTTATCAACTCCTTGTAAAGAATAATTAAAAAATAAACAATCCGCACCATTTCTTCTGACTTTTCAGCTTTATCTTTGATATCTTTTATTTTGGCAAACAATTCCTGTATTGCTTTCTGTGCCTCTTCTAATGACTGTCTCCCACTTTCTCCAACATTGGTCTGACCTCTTACAACTGAACGGATGTCATCATCTAGGCTCCTAAAACATGGTAAAAGAAATTATTTGTTTCATTGGTCTGGCCACTTACAATGGAATGTATGTCATCATCAAGGCTCCTAAAACATGGTAAAAGAAAGTATTTGTTTAGCAAAAAACTGACCTTGTACTGACAGTCAAAATAAATACATCAAGACAAGGATAAGCCTTGTTGACATCCTTCTTTGACCATATAATGCCATAAGTTGATATACATATACATGTACATACATAAACTTTGGACAGGGAAACTGCTTATTCATAAGATAACAAGCATTCTGTGAGTATTGCATGGCAATACATAGTCCTCTACCGGTTACAAATTCATTGTAATGGAATGAATATTTTAACTTGATCTATAACTACATAAAAATATCAAGTCAAAATCTTCAAGCATGACAAAAAAAACTGTTGAAAACTGATTGTTTAAGTGAATTTTCTATGTCTAAAGACCATAACTCTGCACAAAATTATCAGACTGGAAAAAAATTCCAACCTAATCTGTAACTTGTCATGATAAAACTATATACTAATTATCAAATCAATATCTTCAAGAATGACAAACAAACCTACCACTAAATTCTTCAAACAATTTACCAAAGAAAAGGAAAAAAATCCAAAATGTCATTTTGTCTTTTAAGTCTTTTAAAAAATGAGTTATTTCCCTTTGAACAGAAATCTACTAATTAATAAGTATTTCATCAAAAATTTAATTCCAGGGAAAGGGCTTTAACTGAACAAAGAGAAAAGCAAAAATCGTGAAAATTGAACTTGACCTGTAACTTGTCATGATAAATCAATAAACCAAATATCAAATCAATATCTTCAAGCTTGAAGAAAAAAAGTCTGGAAAACTGATTTGCCAGACTGACAGATGGACAGACAGACAGACAGACTGAGTGCAAACCTAAAGTCCCCTTCGACTTCGTCGGTAGGGGACTTATAATCTGTTAATTGAAGTTTAAAGATGAATACAGTCTAAACCTTGGATCTGACCTACTTATCCATATTATGTGTGCTGTAGTTATTTTCCAAATAAGATCTGTTCATTATTTAAGCTTTCTACAATGCAAAGTTTGGGAGCTTAATTTCTGCACAGTCTCTTTCTGCTACTTAATTACTCATTTATCTATAAATATTTATGAAGCAGTACAAAATTTTTTGAGAGCACTGCAGTTTTCTCCTGAGGACCATACATTCATTTTTATTTAGCAGGGTTTTACCATATTTCTTTTCGAAACTTCATATAATTAAGTATCTCCAGACTTTTTGATAACATAAAAGGAAATGCATATATACATCAATAAGACAGCAACCAAACACACATGTAAAAAGAAGTACAAGAATGTGTCCATAGTACATGGATGCCCCACTCACACTATCATTTTTTATGTTCAGTGGACTGTGAAATTGGGGTCAAAACTCTAACTTGGCATTAAAATTAGAAAGATCATATCATAGGGAACATGTGTACTAAGTTTCAAGTTGATTGGACTTCAACTTCATCAAAAACTACCTTGACCAAAAACTTTAACCTGAAGCGGGACAGACGGACGGACAAATGGACGCACAGACCGAAAAACATAATGCCCCTAAGTGGGGCATAAAAAACATAAAACTTCTGATGTTAAGTCATTTTATACTGTGTGTGAATCATGTTGTTGGTTTCCTTAGTTCTGCAATATGCCCTTTTGTTATCAGTGCAATAATCTCTCAAAACCATCTATTATTATATTTTTTTAATTGTTTTGACCAAATTTTTTTAAAGTATTTATTTCATTTTTCAGCTACCAATAAAAAAAACTCTAGATTAGATTTACAAATGTATATGACAGTATTTAGAAAAAAAATGTTTAAAGATTTAAGAAATATCTTTTCTGTTTTTGTATTGTATACCTGATTTTATATCTTATCTTGCCAACAACATCATCAATATTAGCCAGGGACTGCTCAGTTGGAAACAGCGTGTTGATGTAGTCTATTGGATTAAAATCTGCCCTGTCTAATGGATCATCACTTGGCAATACCTACAAAACAATACAGGCTTGCAATTATGTATTGTAATGATAATCAACAACAGGCTGTAATCTGATAAAAGTTTTCATAAATTGTTCTGCATGTACAAATAGGACAAAATGCCAAATCAAATATAGATAGCTAAACATGCTAAATTGGATTAACTAGAGGTATCAAAAACATAATACATGTATATTGCTAATTTCTACAGGCCTACAATATCATCTCTGTCCCAGGACGTCATGACACTCAAGTCTGTGGCCCTTTCTCCAGCCTCAGTCTGTGTCATGTGACGTCATGACATTAAACTCTATGACTAATGGACAGTCAATAGAATGTGGCAGGTAAAAGTGTCAACCCGCTGATTTAACTTTTGACTGACGTGCATTAAACAACATAACACAATATCAGAACAAACTGTTTAAATTATTTGAAAAGGGTCAAACTCGTCAGATAGGCACTAAGCACAAAAATCAACTAACAAAAAGACACAAAACACTGATTTATTACTTACATTTGTATCATTAGTCCTCAAATCAATTTAACCATTTACCCTTCCAGGCTTTGTAACTTATTTCACAAACCCCCCAAGAAAGTGTTTATACATGTAAAAATGAGAGAAAACAAAAAAATAGTTTTTATAATATCATTGTTTTCTTTACGCCAAGTGGCAAATATGGTATGCATGATATGTTCTGAGTGAGGAAAAGAACAAATTTAAAATAAATACAATAGATAGGTCCTGCAATAGGGTTCCACAGGATTACGACTGGAATTTTGAGCACCACTGGAAAATGAGGGTAAATAGGCCACTTCACCGTTATTGCAGCCATACTGAATAGGGGGCAGATTTTTTGGATGGAAGTTGAAACAGTAAGAAAGTACAGAAAATCCTATGCATGTTTCCAAGCAACAGTTCTGTTGTAATGATGTTTTCTCGTGTTTTTCAAAGCATTTTCACCTCCAATATGAAAATCTGCCCCCTATTCAATATGGCTGCAATAAATGTAACCGTGAAAGGGCCTATTGGATAAGGACAGAAATATAGCCCTGCAACAGACCACATATGGACCCCTCAAAGAGTTTAAGCATGGATTCTTAACATGCACCCAGAGGGGGTAACAATCTCTGTATCAGACATCAGATTTAACGTCCCTATTCAGACTTGACGTATATGTAGCTGTGAATTAAATATACATCACAAAGGTGCACATTAAATTTTGACATCATAATGGAAAATGTCTGAAGCCACAAAAGAAAAGTGATTGTTGTATGACGTAAACAGTTCAAGGGTGCAGATTCTAGGGTCAAGTGGCGCAGATTCCAAAATAGCGATAGGTCTATATGGCAAGGGTTTTACTGCGGCTGGGAAGAATCCCAAGGGATGAACATATTTTTATACCCCAGTCAACACATGGGGCTTTTTACATTGTAACTATTTTCACTATCATTGTCACATTGACATTGTATCAAACCATTTTTTTCTACTAAAAGATGTTTCCACAAAATGAAACAAGACAGAATTCTGTTACGTTGCTGTCACACCTGATCTATAGCTTCCTGAACTTCTGGTAAAAATATTTGAGGAATGGATGCTTTCAGTAAATCTTCATATATAAAATCTTCATCATCAGCTACAGCAGCCATCCCACAGGATTGTGATTTGTCAACAAACTTAAGGGAAGCAACTGTTATTCTACTTCCGTTGAATTGTATGAATATAGACAATCTAATTTTTATAGAATTGATCAGTAAATTTTATCCTTTTCAATGTATTTATGCATCATATATTTATTTTGACGACTGCCAATTAATGTTTATTTTGCAAAATTCCTAAACCGCATATTTGAAGCAATCGAGTGAAGAATTATTTTATTTGCGTACCAAATAAAAGAAAACCGGAAAGATGTTGTACGGTCACTAAAACACGTGTATTGCAATAGAAAAAGTAAAAATGGGGAAAAGGAAAAACGGATTTAACTGGAAAGCAAGGCAACATAATGAAACAGTTGTAGATCGATCAGGCGAAAAGAAAGTAAGCTACTATAAAATTTAGTAGACTATAAAACAAAGGAGGCTTCTCATGACAGGTTTCACATACACTTAACTTAGTCTTAAGTTAATACTGTCTTTAAGTCAAGACTCTTTCCTGTAAACTGTTTACCTTTATAAATGACAATTGCTAGAAATACAGGTCTCTACTTTACACAATGTACTCATCTTGTTTATTGAGGTATATATTTGGAAAGTCATATATATCATTGCCTTCTTGGTCATGTACTAAACTCGTAAAGAATATAAATCATTTAAGTTATGAAGATAGATTACGCTCATTGGGATTGCCAACCTTGGAATATCGTAGGGATAGAAATGATATGATACAAGTATATAAAGCATTGCATGGTATAGATGATATAAACTGGATGAGCCTATTTACTTTAGCACCATCTAAATTATAATACTGGAGGTCACTCATTAAAACTCTTTAAGAAACTGTGTAAGACGACACATAGACTAAATACTTTTTCAATTAGAGTAGTGGATCAGTGGAATAACCTGTCAGATTTAACAGTGACGGCAAAAACTTTGAATAACTTTAAGTCGGCGTTAAATGGCGAGAATTGGAACCCATACAGATTTATATGTTCATGTTAATTGTTAAGCTGCGCACACCTAAATAAGTTCTATTTTTATAAGTATAATATATATAGATATATTATTATGCGATTATTATGAGAGGAGAAATTGCATTACGACAATCCAAGATGAGGGGTCAGTAGAAGCCTTTGGCTTATTTCAAGGACCCGAAGATAAAGGTATAAAGGTATGTTAGTTGCAGGGCTCATGCTGCCAGTACCAGACAACTGGGGCGAAGAAGTTGCTTTCCTGTTGATCACTTGGCCTATCCCAACCGTCAAAAGTGATATCTTCAGTCAGGGGACTTATTGAAATAAGTGATTTTTAAATCACTTATTTAAGTAGCAAATTCGAAGTTTTGTCACAAATTGTGATTTTGTAGTTTTACCAAAATTTTAAACACATAGCTTTAGATAATATCTTTTCATTAGTAAAATTGAAAAAAATGAACTTTTTTGCCTCTTTTAAGCACCAAGGTTTATGCCTTTGATGCAATCATTTAGCTGCAAATTCTATTTTACTTGAAAAAAATGCTATAAAAATGGCTTTACATAATGAACTGATACTTTCTCAACAGATTTTTCCCAGCAGTGGGAGTATTTTTCCTGTAAAATTCAAGGTTTCATCTTATAGATTATGTAATAAAATTCTACTGTTCACGATCAAAATTTCACTGTTCGGGGGTGTTGAAATTTGTGGGGGTTATTAAAATAATGATACTTAAAGAAGTGATTTTTTGGAAGGAAATTGAGGTATGATACTTGAACAAGTGATTTTTATGTCATTATCCTAGATTTAGTACAAGGTCATCACCTGACATGACCCGGTCATCCTATCAACACAGATGTTGGTTCTGATAATTTTAGCAACATAATTTGTTCCTGGATCATTAGTATTCTATATTTAAAGCTACAATAAAATTAAATCACTTAGTCTAGTGATTAATTTGTACTACTTAAATAGGTGATTATTAAAGAAAGACAACTCATCCAACCTTTATGTACATAATGTTACTTGAATCAGTGATTTAGAAAATCACTCATTTAAGTAAGTCCCCTGACTGATCTACTTGCACAGGTGCTTTCTCAACAGTTACTTTCAGTCCCATTCGTCATTTGCAATCAATTTTTAAGATGTATGGGTGAACGAGCACTTCTCTTTTAAGTCTCATAACTTCTCTCTCATAGTTTCTCAAAGAGAAGTCACTTCTCCCTATGATTCTGAAATAGTCACAGTGAGCCCTGGGTTGAAGCATGAACAGACAAATCTTTAAATAAGTAAATATTTGATTATGTTTGTGCAGTGGAAGCCCTTTTTGTCGAGCCTTCGACTTTAGTCGAAAAAGCGAGACATAGCGATCCTACATTCCGTCGGCGTCGTCGGCGGCGGCGTCCACAAATATTCACTCTGTTGTTAAAGTTTTTGAAATTTTAATAACTTTCTTAAACTATCCTGGATTTCTACCAAACTTGGACAGAAGCTTGTTTATGATCATAAGATACCGGTAGTATCCAGAAGTAAATTTTGTAAAAATAAATTCCATTTTTTCCGTATTTTACTTATAAATGGACTTAGTTTTTCTGCCAGGAAATATTACATTCACTCTGTGGTTAAAGTTTTTAAAAATTTAATAACTTTCTTAAACTATCCTGGGTTTGTACCAAACTTGGACAGAAGCTTGTTTATGATCAAATGATAGTATCTAGAAGGAAATTTTGTTTTCTTCCAGTTAACATTACATTCAGTCTGCAGTTAAAGTTTTTAAACATTTATTAGATTCATAAACTATCCTGGATTTTTACCAAACTTGGACAGAAGCTTCTTACAATCAAAAGATAGTATCAAGAGGAATATTTTCATTGATTTACTTCCTCATTTTTGTTTAGCCTGCGATTAACAGAAAAAGTAGGCGAGACACTGGGTTCCGCGGAACCTTTACGAATTTTCTGGTTTTATCTTCATCAGGAACGCTCAAATCCAAATATTTGAAAGCCACAGATATAAAAGAGCAATACACATGAAGGGCCATATGACTGAAAGGGACCTAAAAATTAGCCATATCATCGCACTTCAACTTGAGAGACTTCACTTGGAACATTAGTTTCCTAATAATTTCGTAATTTGTCAACAGATAATTTACAAACACTGAACATGCTGAAACACATGAAACAGTTAGCATGGTTAGTAACCTGCTTTACATAACTTAAAGCATTTCTTTCACAATTCTGTCAAAATGTTTAACTTTAACTCAAATGTAAATTCAGGAAAATATAGAACTTGAATTCAAATATGGAAAATATAGAACTTGAATTCAAATATGGAAAATACAGAACTTGAATGAAGTTATTCAAAAACTCTAAATAAGCATAAATTTGGAAGTTGTAGTCATTTTATTTTTATCTCTACCTTAAAAATTGGCCATTGTTGGTTTTATTTTAGATAAAACTTGATCCAGAAATAGAAACATCAAACAAAGAGGATGAAAGCAATATATTGGTTCTTCCTTCAGAGAAACGTAAATCAAAAACTGTCATCCAGACAACTAAGAAAGTTAAACAGCTGTCAAAAAAAGAAAGAAAAAGATTGCAACAGGTACTGGAGAGAAAGAAGAAGAAAGCTCATGTAAGTCACATACAGATAAGATATTTTATTAACCTACAATGTATCATATAAATAAGAAGATATGAGTGCCAATGAGATAACTCTCCATCCAAGTCACAATGTGTAAAAAGTAAACAGTTATAGGTTAAAGTATGGCCTTCAACACGGAGCCTTGGCTCACACTGTACATCAAGCTATAATGGGCCCCAAAATGACTAGTGTAAAACAATTCAAACAGGAAAACCAACAGTCTAATCTATGTAAAAAACGAGAAACACTTATGAACCACATCAACAAACGACAACCACTGAACAACAGGCTTCTGACTTAGGACAGGTGCATACAAACGCAGCGGGTTTAAATGTTTAAACAGGCGCCAACCTTCACCCTAACCTGAAACAATAGTGTAACATTACAACATACATGACAAAATAAGACACACTATAAAATATTAATTGAAATGGCTTAACTCGATCAAAAAGATATATAAACAAAAACAAGTAAACATACACTGAATGAATAAATTTGATCTATGACACAATGTAAATACTAGATTATTTAAAAACCAATTGTTCAGAGAACAATTAAAGTTCTTTCCACATCAATTTTCTTAATAATTGATAAGAAGCTACTCCTGGTTTACTCAAAGTTACTTTTGGCTTCCAATCATAGGTTTCTTTATACTGATTCAATAAATATTTGGTTTCTATATACTTTTGCCTGAAATAAGGCAGATAATTGCCAACTTCCGGTTAAGAAAATGTCACGTCCGGTCTCATATGATAGCTGTATTAACACTGATTCCAAATATATATAGTTTGTTTATACTTATGCCTATAAAGGAGATAATTTGCTTCTTCCAGTTATAGAATGTCACTACCGGTCTCAAATGATAGGTTTATGTATGCTCATTCAAAAAATATATGGTTTCGAGGTACTTTTCCATGAAATAAGTACAAAAATGACTACTTCCAGTTCACTCAAGGTCACTTCCGGTTGACATTTTTGAAGGTCATATGCCATCCAACATTTTGCAAAAGACCTTATGGATTTATCATGTACCAATCTTTAGTCATAATCATTGACCTTAAAATAAAACATTTCAGGGGCTATAACTCCTGTAAGATGACATTGAATTATTTCCGACCAAATTTATCATATCTTCATCACTATGAAGCCAATATTTTGCACTAGTTCTTTTTACTTTAAAAGTGTCAGAGAAAATGCACCAACAAGCAAAAGTCAAAATTGAGAACATGACCTTGACCTTTGACCTTGACCTCATTTTCTAAGTTAGGACCCAAGGACCTCAAATAAAAAGACTCTAGGTTTATACGGCTTACAGTTTATGAGTTACAAAATCATAACGACAAATTTATTTGGTAAAGGTAGATAACTCCTATAAGATTTCACCGACTCGTTTCGATCAAAATCAGCCAAAAATTCCTGAAGATGTAACGATCAAATATGAAAAAGAATTTTGTCGTTATCTTTTTTGGTTACAGAGGAGTACATTCACAAGAAAAACAGTGTTTGGGGAGATAACTCTTACAATAAAAAAGTTTCGGCTTAACAAGATGAGTTTTAAAAGCACAATAACTGTTCGATATAATATCCAAAATATCTAAGCGACATCTTGCGAAACAACTTTATACATTGTACCGCAAGAAAAGGTTTGGCGGAAGAAGAAAAAAAAAAAGTTATAATAATAATAATCAGAACAAATACAATAGGTCTTTCCACAGAAAAGTGGATAGACCTAATAAATACATGTAGTAACTGAAAAATGTGAAATGGAGATGTTGGGTATATCTCAATAAGCAGCAACCCAATGACAAAAAACACAAAGTTGGCATACACTGTGTACAAGTGGATACATGTCTACATGTCACAGTCTGAATTATTTAATAGACTCTCAAAAACAAGATCTTAAATCAATTCTAGATTTTATAAATGAAAAAAAAAGCAATAAGGTAACAATGAACAACCACTGAATTGAGTGATTAGGTTCCTGACTTGGGACAGGCACATATATGACATTCAATGAATTATAAAAAAACCAATTTCATTGATTAAAGCAAAGTTATAGTTCAGAGATAACACATTGTATTTCTTCTCCAAAAATGAATGTCACAAAGTAAAATATCATTTAACCATATGATCTTTTTAAAATATTAATTAGTGTTTAGCTAGCGTAGTGTAATCTATTCCATATATTAGGTCTGTTGCCATTAGTCATTTGTAAACTTTCTTAAAATTTCTTTAGTTTGAATTATTGCCTACAGCTGATGATGATTTTTCCCTTCAAATTATTCATATTGGGAAAATTGTTGATTAAATTTAATCGTTAACTTTGCTTTATTAACGATAAAATCCTAACATGCATTTCTCCACAGAGAGCTGAATTGTTAGACTCTCTATCTAAAGTGCAGGCCAGTAATGAAGAACTTAAACAGTTTGCCAGTGTAGCAGAGATGCAGACAGGAAAGTTCAAAAGGTAAGTTAACTGGTTCTAAATTTGTAAATTTACTGTACCAATGCACATAAATAGAAAATTATTGACTTTGATCTTTAGAATTATTAAAGCTAAAGTTTATCTTTTTCATATGTTAAGAAGTCCCTTTGAAGTAATATATGAACAAACAGACTGCTCATCTATATAGAAGTTTGAAAATCAATTATACATGTTATATGGTCATAAGATTTCATCTTTCTCCAAATTACTTCAAATATCTTAATGTACTATCTTCTGTCTATTTTGTCTTGGCAAAAACTACTTTTTATCACAATATTTTTAAGAAATTGAAATAAGTTTTTACATTCACAGGAAGGAGATTAAGAACAAATGTGATTTGTTGAATGGTTAAGGATGTTCGCTACTCTTGTTTTTGAATTTTTGCCAGATATTCGGAATCCTCTAGTTTTATTCATGTAGTGCCATTAAAAATTTTGCCCGCTAACCCCATTCTTTTCTTTTCATAATTTTATGACATATATAGTTTAAAAAGTCATATCTGAAAATCTTATAAAATTCTTGTTATTAGTCCCCTACCGACGAAGTCGAAGGGGACTTTAGGTTTGCACTCCGTCCGTCTGTCCGTCCGTCCGTCTGTCCATCCGTCAGTCCGGCAAATCAGCTTTCCACACTTTTTTTCTTCGTTCTTGAAGATATTGATTTGATATTTGGTATATAGTTTTATCATGAAAAGTTTAGATCAAGTTCAAATTTTGTTCCGGTCTGATGATTTAGTCCAGAGTTATCATGGTCCATATCTAATGTTAGAGAACTACATTTTGTTTGTTAAACCATATTTCTGTACAAAGAGAGATAATTCATTTTTTTAAAGACATTCTTTGGTTAATTGTTTGAAGTGTTTTTTATTTTGTATAAACTAATTTTCTGAATGCTATATAATAAAAAAAAAATTATGAAGTGAAATCTTTTAATTAGATAATAATCTATTTTTATTAAGTCTCCCAAACGAAGTTTGGGAAGACTTATTGTTTTTGCTCAGTTCTTATTATTATTATTATTATTCTTCTTCTTCTTCTTCTTCTTCCGCCGCTTTTAAATTTGAACTTGTCCGCACCCGTTCTCCAAAACCGCTTGTCGGATTAACCTAGGGTTTCACAATATGTTAGACTAACATGTCTAGTGGTGCAATCAGGGTTTTGTTTTTGAAATGGGGTTTATAAAGGGGTACTTCGAGGGGCAAAAAGAAAAGAGGGTTTTACTATAGAACCCTATGGGATTTTATTTTTTTAAATTTTCAAATGATTATAAATTGAAAACTGTTCGTGATAGACACAAACTTTTTAATTGAAAATGTTCTAAATGATAAAGCCCATTAAATGAAATACAGGGTTAGTCCCCAGGGGTCACCCCCACCCCCTGCCATTTAAGAAAGTTCTAATACCTTGTAAGTGGTCAAGATCCCCACCCCTAAACCATATATATTCTGGTTTGTCATGCTAAGATGGTTTGAATGATATACAGGGTTAGTCCCCAGGGGTCATCCCGACCCCCTGCCATTTGAGAAAGTTCTAATATCTTGTAAATGGTCGAGATCCCCACCCCTAAACCATATATATTCTGGTTTGTCATGATAAAGCACATCAAATGTTATACAGGGTAAGTCCCCAGGGGTCACCCCCACCCCCTGCCATTTAAGAAAGTTCTAATATCTTCTAAGTGGTCAAGATCCCCACCCCTAAACCATATATATTCTGGTTTGTCATGCGAAGATGGTTTGAATGATATACAGGGTAAGTCCTCAGGGGTCATCCCGACCCCCTGCCATTTGAGAAAGTTCTAATATCTTGTAAATGGTCGAGATCCCCACCCCTAAACCATATATATTCTGGTTTGTCATGATAAAGCACATCAAATGTTATACAGGGTTGGTTCCCAGCGGTCACCCCCACCCCTTGCCATTTGAGAAAGTTCTAATATCTTGTAAATGGTCCAGATCCCCACCCCTAAACCATATATATTCTGGTTTGTCATGATAAAGCACATCAAATGAAATACAGGGTTAGTCTCCAGGGGTCACCCCCATCCCCTGCCATTTAAGAAAGTTCTAATATCTTCTAAGTGGTCAAGATCCCCACCCCTAAACCATATATATTCTGGTTTGTCATGATAAAACACATCAAATGTTATACAGGGTTGGTCCCCAGCGGTCACCCCCACCCCTTGCCATTTGAGAAAGTTCTAATATCTTGTAAATGGTCGAGATCCCCACCCCTAAACCATATATATTCTGGTTTGTCATGATAAAGCACATCAAATGAAATACAGGGTTAGTCTCCAGGGGTCACCCCCATCCCCTGCCATTTAAGAAAGTTCTTATATCTTCTAAGTGGTCAAGATCCCCACCCCTAAACCATATATATTCTGGTTTGTCATGCTGAGATGGTTTGAATGATATACAGGGTAAGTCCCCAGGGGTCATCCCGACCCCCTGCCATTTGAGAAAGTTCTAATATCTTGTAAATGGTCGAGATCCCCACCCCTAAACCATATATATTCTGGTTTGTCATGATAAAGCACATCAAATGTTATACAGGGTTAGTCCCCAGCGGTCACCCCCACCCCTTGCCATTTGAGAAAGTTCTAATATCTTGTAAATGGTCGAGATCCCCACCCCTAAACCATATATATTCTGGTTTGTCATGATAAAGCACATCAAATGAAATACAGGGTTAGTCTCCAGGGGTCACCCCCATCCCCTGCCATTTAAGAAAGTTCTAATATCTTCTAAGTGGTCAAGATCCCCACCCCTAAACCATATATATTCTGGTTTGTCATGATAAAGCACATCAAATGTTATACAGGGTTGGTCCCCAGCGGTCACCCCCACCCCTTGCCATTTGAGAAAGTTCTAATATCTTGTAAATGGTCGAGATCCCCACCCCTAAACCATATATATTCTGGTTTGTCATGATAAAGCACATCAAATGAAATACAGGGTTAGTCTCCAGGGGTCACCCCCATCCCCTGCCATTTAAGAAAGTTCTAATATCTTCTAAGTGGTCAAGATCCCCACCCCTAAACCATATATATTCTGGTTTGTCATGCTGAGATGGTTTGAATGATATACAGGGTAAGTCCCCAGGGGTCATCCCGACCCCCTGCCATTTGAGAAAGTTCTAATATCTTGTAAATGGTCAAGATCCCCACCCCTAAACCATATATATTCTGGTTTGTCATGATAAAGCACATCAAATGTTATACAGGGTTAGTCCCCAGCGGTCACCCCCACCCCTTGCCATTTGAGAAAGTTCTAATATCTTGTAAATGGTCGAGATCCCCACCCCTAAACCATATATATTCTGGTTTGTCATGATAAAGCACATCAAATGAAATACAGGGTTAGTCTCCAGGGGTCACCCCCACCCCCTGCCATTTAAGAAAGTTCTAATATCTTCTAAGTGGTCAAGATCCCCACCCCTTAACCATATATATTCTGGTTTGTCATGCTGAGATGGTTTGAATGATATACAGGGTAAGTCCCCAGGGGTCATCCCGACCCCCTGCCATTTGAGAAAGTTCTAATATCTTGTAAATGGTCGAGATCCCCACCCCTAAACCATATATATTCTGGTTTGTCATGATAAAGCACATCAAATGTTATACAGGGTTGGTCCCCAGCGGCGACCCCCACCCCTTGCCATTTGAGAAAGTTCTAATATCTTGTAAATGGTCGAGATCCCCACCCCTAAACCATATATATTCTGGTTTGTCATGATAAAGCACATCAAATGAAATACAGGGTTAGTCTCCAGGGGTCACCCCCATCCCCTGCCATTTAAGAAAGTTCTAATATCTTCTAAGTGGTCAAGATCCCCACCCCTAAACCATATATATTCTGGTTTGTCATGATAAAGCACATCAAATGTTATACAGGGTTGGTCCCCAGCGGTCACCCCCACCCCTTGCCATTTGAGAAAGTTCTAATATCTTGTAAATGGTCGAGATCCCCACCCCTAAACCATATATATTCTGGTTTGTCATGATAAAGCACATCAAATGAAATACAGGGTTAGTCTCCAGGGGTCACCCCCATCCCCTGCCATTTAAGAAAGTTCTAATATCTTCTAAGTGGTCAAGATCCCCACCCCTAAACCATATATATTCTGGTTTGTCATGCTGAGATGGTTTGAATGATATACAGGGTAAGTCCCCAGGGGTCATCCCGACCCCCTGCCATTTGAGAAAGTTCTAATATCTTGTAAATGGTCGAGATCCCCACCCCTAAACCATATATATTCTGGTTTGTCATGATAAAGCACATCAAATGTTATACAGGGTTAGTCCCCAGCGGTCACCCCCACCCCTTGCCATTTGAGAAAGTTCTAATATCTTGTAAATGGTCGAGATCCCCACCCCTAAACCATATATATTCTGGTTTGTCATGATAAAGCACATCAAATGAAATACAGGGTTAGTCTCATGGGGTCACCCCCACCCCCTGCCATTTAAGAAAGTTCTAATATCTTCTAAGTGGTCAAGATCCCCACCCCTTAACCATATATATTCTGGTTTGTCATGCTGAGATGGTTTGAATGATATACAGGGTAAGTCCCCAGGGGTCATCCCGACCCCCTGCCATTTGAGAAAGTTCTAATATCTTGTAAATGGTCGAGATCCCCACCCCTAAACCATATATATTCTGGTTTGTCATGATAATTCACATCAAATGTTATACAGGGTTAGTCCCCAGCGGTCACCCCCACCCCCTGCCATTTAAGAAAGTTCTAATATCTTCTAAGTGGTCAAGATCCCCACCCCTAAACCATATATATTCTGGTTTGTCATGCGCAGATGGTTTGAATGATAGACAGGGTTAGTCCCCAGGGGTCATCCCGACCCCCTGCCATTTGAGAAAGTTCTAATATCTTGTAAATGGTTGAGATCCCCACCCCTAAACCATATATATTCCTATTTGTCATGTCTCGAACATTTGATTGACGTATACGGTCAGTCCCCAGGGGTTCCCCCCACCCCCAATGTTCTTATATCTTGTAAATGGTTGAGATCGCCACCCCTAAACCATATATATTCCTGTTCGTCATGTAATGAACATTTGAATGACGAATAGGGCCAGTCCCCAGGGGTTTCTCCCCACCCCCAATATTCTAGTATCTTGTAAATGGTTGAGATCCCCACCCCTAAACCACATATATTCTGGTTTGTCATGCCAAGATGATTTGAATGATATACAAGGTTAGTCCCCGGGCATCACTAATGCATATAACTTTACTGGACCAAACCAATTTTCACTGGACGTTGCCCAATGTCAGGCGACCCTGGGAATTACGAATTATGGGAGCTTCGTTTGGGAGACTTCGTAACAGCATCCTGTTACAATCATTTCTTGTTAAGGTATATATTTCATTACATTACATTGTGTATAGATAAAAGTTGTTGACATTTTATAGATAAGTTACAAATCTATAGTAGTTTGTGACAAATGAAAGAAAAAATATTTGGAACTATTACATGTATTAATTATATTTGATTATAACTTGAAAATAAATATACATTGTATTACATCATATCTAATTTTAGAGAACTATTAATCACATCTAATGTTAGAGTGTTTTCCACACTTTTTTTCATCATGCTTGAAGATATTGATTGATAATTGGTATATAGTTTTATCATGACAAGTTACAGATCAAGTTCAAATTTTTGTTTTGGTCTGATAATTTTGTGCAGAGTTATGGTCCTTGGACTTGAAAAGTTCACTCATATAATCAGTTTTCCACACTGTTTTTAGTAATGCTTGAAGATATTGACTTGATATTTTGTTTTTGTTTACACCATGACAAGTTATAGAACAAGATAGCATTTTGTTCCAGTACAATGAATTTTTACCCGGTAGGGGACTATGTATTGCCATGCAATACTCTCAGAATGCTTGTTTTTTCATACTTTTTGAAAGAAAAAAGGTGCCAATGTTAAATGTATGAAAAATTTAGAGAGAATCAATCCCGTCAAATTTTCAGTGGTTTATATCTCGTAAACAAGCACACAGACCTTCCATTATTTTCTGCTGATTTAGTTCCTTTATTTATATACTACCAATTTATAACAGTCTTTTAAAAAGCTTGTTATTTTGAAACAGAGTAGCGAACATCATCATGATCATTAAAACATTTTTTCTGATACAGGTTTTCTATTTTCTACGGTCATCACTAATCAGACCAAAGTTATATTTTATGGCAAAATTTTGAATATGTAAAAGTTCTTCATATAAATCTTTTTCATTATTGTTATATATATACTAAATATTAATGTCTATAGAAAAAAGCAAGGTACAGAAACATTTCTCATGTCTATAAAAATATCAACTTATATTCATTGCTATTCATGTAAGAAATTCTTGGATTTATTTTGAAATGCAGAAAGCTGAATGAAAAGAAAAAGGATGCTGGTGAAATAAACAGTGTTGCTAAAGGAAAAAAAAAGTCAACAGAAGTTAGAATTGATGAGTCAGATGATGGTAATGAGTCTGATAGTTCTGTTCATACATCAGATATGTCGACTGATGAAGATAGTGATCCTGATGACCAAAGTCAAGTTCAAGGTCAAACAGAGGATAGTGGATGTGATACTTATGACAAAAAAACTGTTCATATGGAAACAGAGACTAATGCAAAAATACAAAATAAAATGCAAGCTGGAGCCTCAAAATTAGCAGAAAAGCCAGTATTGAAAGATGAAAGTGCATGTAATAAAGAGAAAATGGACAAGAAGCCAGCTGTTAATATACCTGTACAGAGATTACCTGGGATGCAGGTATTGTGATATATTTCTCTAATGCTTAGCTGATTTATACTATCCCCAACTGTTGACTTTTATAATAAACATGGTTCACATTATCTCAGTTCTTCATTAGTCAAAATTCAATATGATGTAAAGTTTTCTTGTTTTTATTCTATTTTGCTATTGTGTTGTCATGAAAAAAGGTCAGGATGTATAATTACTTCATATAGAAACAACTAACAAATCTGTTTGCAGATCAATGAAGAAGACAGATAGAGTTTGCCTACATATCTCCTAAAACTATTTGACAACCAGATTCTACAATAATTCTCTACTCTTGGCAGTTAAATTTTGAATATTTAAAGCGCAAAGCAAGCCTCACATTTGAAATTTTTAAATTGTACTTTCTCAAGTTGAGAAATTTTGTATCACAATTCTTTCAGTGGTAGAATCTTTACATTTATAAACCTAACTTCCAATTAGTCGGACAGTTTAGAAAATTTGTCAGTTCAAGGAAATCATTTTTCATAATGGTTTTCTCCTGAATGAGAAGATTTATAAAAAGTATATTTTTTGAATTTTTTTTGGGAATCAATAGGAGAATTTAGATAGAAAATATAAAAAAAATCTCAATACTTATCTACCTAGTAAAAACTAAAACCTATCTTGCTGTATTGTTTTGTCTCTCTGTCATAAAATTTACCGTGAAAAATGTGAATTCTGTGTGTAAGCATCAAATTGATTGCTCGTTGAATTCAAAGAACTGAAAAATACAAATGTATTTGAGTTCTGTTACTTTAAACATTGTTGAATATTTCACCAAAATGATTGAGAACATTCACTAGAAGTTTAAAATTTTACAGGAATCAAGACTGAAATTACCAATCTTGTCAGAGGAACAGTTTGTCATGGAAACCATTAATGAAAACATGGTTACAATAATATGTGGTGAGACAGGATCAGGAAAGACAACTCAGGTTCCACAATTTCTGTACGAAGCTGGATATGCACAGTAAGCATTTTTGTTATACCTGCACTCTGGGAGTGAGGGCTATATTGCAATTACCTTGTCAATCCATCAACCCTTCATTCTGTATGTCAAACAAATATTTTTGTCACATTTTTCTTCGAAATTTCCTAACAGAATGACTGCATATTTTGTAATCAGCTTGACAGTGATGAGTTGTTAAGTGTGTACATTTTCAAGTTCTGTTAGATGCATATATCCTATTTGCCAATACTTTGAATTTTCAGTATGTTGAATGAACTTGAATAAATTTTGTTACACATTTCTCCAATACTACTGAACAGAATGACTTCAAATTTGGTCAGCAGTTATGTTTCCAGAAATGTTCATTAAATGCTATGAATTCAGTATTTACATTACATCTGAGTTTATCATCCACTGAATGAAATAAATAAACTGTTTTCTAGTAATTTTTGTTGAGTTCAGTCATAGTGAAGTTCTAGATCTTGAAAATGGTGCATTACGTTTTGATTTTCTACTACTGGTAAGTATGCTCTTTTTTATTTACACTAACATGTCCTTTTGTTGAAATTTTTAATTTTCGACCAGAAATTATTAAGTCTATGATTACAGGCACTGACGTGTAATAGAATTTTATAGCATTTACATCATTGATAATATAATAACAATGACTTCAGACTTTGAAATTAAAACCAAACCTTACCAATGAGCAGAGAATAAAATCTAAATGAGTTAAAAATGAACATAAAATAATGAATGTATAGTTTCTTCTCTTATTCGTTAAAATTTTTCATCAATAACTACTTTGACATCTAAATAAAAGTGAGTTGGTGCCACTGTGAGAGAGTGGTCAAGGAAGTTGATGATCAACAAAAAATATGTTTTTTTATTGAATGTATTGTTGGGTCCCTGTCTCATTGGTGTTTACCTTTCATCACTTTTTGTTTATATATCAATGCAACAACATATGTTTGTGCTTCAGATTTCTGAATTTTTGTTTTGTTACAGCACTAATGGTATTATAGCTGTGACAGAACCCAGAAGAGTGGCAGCCATTAGTATGTCTAACAGAGTGGCAAAAGAGTTAAATCTATCTGAGAGGTATGTAAGTCACATGTTAGTAGAAAGTCTAATTTCTGTAACAAAAGTCTATGAATAAGTTTCAAGAGAGATACATATCTGAAATGGGTACTATATTAATGGAAGAAATACAGATTTTATCACTACATAATAGAATGAATACATTAGGTGAGAGCAGGTCTAGTAATCGCTTGACTCTGTTAACTACTCTGTTTCATCAGCCTGAATCACAAAGAGGTACACATAGTTTGTGTTATTCGTTACTTCAATTGTTTTCCTTCAAAATTATCCAAACTTTGCATACTAATAACACAGATTAAACATATATACATTGTATTTTGGACTGATTAGAAGGATTTTTTCTCAGGTTCTCATCTGTGGAACCACATAAATTAAACATATATACATTGTATTTTGGACTGATTTGAATGAATTTTTCTCGGTTTTCCAATCTATGGAACTTTGCCATTTTTGTCACTGCATGCTATAGAGCGTGCATAGTGTGTGTCAGTCATTAATCCAACCGTTTTCAGTTTACATTATTCAATCTTGGCGTAGTAATTGCACAGATTGAAGATGTATATCTCCTGTATTCTGGAGAGTTTTTGGTTAGTGTTGTCCGTTGTCTGTTGTACTGTTTTATTAGTTATTCCTTGTATCCATTTTATGTATTATAAATATAAAAATAAGGAGATGTGGTATTGTTGCCAATGAGACAACTATCCACCAAAGTTCAAATAAAGTTTGTTTGGCTTCTATAACAACCTTAAATGTTTGTTACTTGATAGAAATCTTCCTACATTATTTTCTGGTTTAAAAATTTGCATATATTCAAGCAATGTTGAAATCTAAAAATATTTATGCAGTATTCTTACCGTCAGCAGGAGACACCAACAAAAAGGTCTTTCCAAACAACCAGGTTTATTGTGGTCTTTAATGTCTCATTGATGAACATCACTAATAACATTTATGACACTATTTTACAGAGAAGTATCATACCAAATTAGATACGAAGGCAATGTGACACCAGACACAAAAATCAAGTTTATGACTGATGGTGTTCTTCTGAAAGAAGTCCAAAAGGTCTGTACACTGAACACACTTGACAAACTGTCAGACCTTATTTCAAGATGCTAATTTTATCAACTGAATGAATATTAAAAAGAAACAAAACATTACAATATTTATAATAATTATACCCCACGCAACGAGTTGTGGAGGGTATAATGTTTTTGACCCGTCCGTCCGTCCGTCTGTCCGTCAGTCCGTCAGTCCGTCAGTCCTGTTTCTTGTCATCGCAACTCCTCTCAAACCACACAACAGAATTTCACGAAACCTGTTTAGATAATAAGGACATACTATGTAGTTGTGCATATCGACAGGAAATTGCGATTCAATTTTTTTTCTAGGAGTTACACCCCTTTGAACTTATTTGCTTCAATGTACTACTGCAACAGTTTGTCATCGCAACTCCTCTGATACCACACAACAGAATTTCATGAAACCTTTTTAGATAATAAGGACATACTATGTAGATGTGCATAGCGACAGGAAATTACGGTTCAATTTTTTTTCTAGGAGTTACGCCCCTTTGAACTTATTTGCTTCAATGTACTACTGCAACAGTTTGTCATCGCAACTCCTCTGATACCACACAACATAATTTCATGAAACCTTTTTAGATAATAAGGACATACTATGTAGATGTGCATATCGACAGGAAATTACGGTTCAATTTTTTTTCTAGGAGTTACGCCCCTTTGAACTTATTTGCTTCAATGTACTACTGCAACAGTTTGTCATCGTAACTCCTCTGATACCACACAACATAATTTCATGAAACCTTTTTAGATAATAAGGACATACTATGTAGATGTGCATAGCGACAGGAAATTACGGTTCAATTTTTTTTCTAGGAGTTACGCCCCTTTGAACTTATTTGCTTCAATGTACTACTGCAACAGTTTGTCATCGCAACTCCTCTGATACCACACAACAGAATTTCATGAAACCTTTTTAGATAATAAGGACATACTATGTAGATGTGCATATCGACAGGAAATAAAGGTTCAATTTTTTTTCTAGGAGTTACGCCCCTTTGAACTTATTTGCTTCAATGTACTTCTGCAACAGTTTGTCATCGCAACTCCTCTGAAACCACACAACATAATTTCATGAAACTTTGTAGATAATAAGGACATACTATGTACATGTGCATATTGACAGGAAATTATGATTCAATTTTTTTTTCTTATACAATTTTTTTTTCTTACACATATTTTATTTCTCCAATGACAATGTGGGGACGTGGGTAAGTGAGCGCGCTCACTAAGGTTCTTTAATTTTATAATAATTTTTGAAAACAAAGATTGTCTATTCTGTAAAACTTAATTGAACTTTACATCTAATTGTTCTTTATCCATTTTCATGAAGAAATATGTTTTAACGAAGTTAATAATGTATGGTGCTTTTGGCTATTTTCAAAATAACGACTAATGATATATTGAACATAGATTATTATAGTTTGGTTAACAGTTCCTGAAACATTTGTTTATGCTAAGAAAAATTTGACAATAAAGAGTGGCAATATAAAACTTATGGGAAAATATCCATGTCATGTCAAAAGAAGTTAAAAGATAAACCATGAACAAACATAACAGAAAACTAAAGAATTTGAAATTCCATTGAAAACAGGGTTTAGCCTTATTGTTCATGAACAATCCTTGCTCAATATATTATAAAAAAGAGGCCAAAGATACAAACTCATAACTGACACCGCCATGACAAAAAACCAAAAGAAAAATTCACAAAACACTATATAGAAAACTAAGGACTGCACCATGTGAACCCCTACTAAAAACTGGGGGTGATCTTAGGTGCCCTGGAAGGGTAAGCAGATCCTGCTCCTCTAGTATGGAACTGATAATTTTCCGTACAGTAGTGTTCTTGTAATAAAAATTCTTTTTAAATTGATATGGAGAAAAGTTTATATAAAAAATATATAAAACAATAATTATTTTTTATGTTTTAGGACTTTCTATTGACAAAATACAGTGTTGTGATTATTGATGAGGCCCATGAAAGGAGTGTCTATACAGACATTCTGATTGGTCTGTTGTCTAGGATTGTACCACTTAGAAATAAGGTAGGATTGATTGGTTTATCATCATAGAGATTAGTCCGATTTTAGGGAGAATATTATAAAATTGCTTGAAAATTGATGAGTATCAGCATATTTGATTTTGTAATCCTGAAGTGAAGAAACATACTTTAGTCAAGAGTAAAAACTTGAATATATCCATCACTAGTAAGCATCGAAATCAATTTAGGTATACTTAAAATCAAATTGACAAAAAAAATGTTCCTGAAACTAAACAAGTTAAAGACAACCATAGAATGAATACAGATATTAGTCAACAATCAAATTGAACAATAAAGACGAGAGAGTTCTTAATGGTTTTGTTGTTTTGTTGATTATATTGTTTTGTTATACAGGTGTTAACAAAGCAATTTGTATGTTTGCAACATTGATGAACCAATGGAAGTGAATAAAACAAATATGGTACCAAAACCATACTTGTAAAATTTCTGCAAATAGATGAAGCGATGATACAAGAAAAACGTGTGCAAACCATAGATTTACTCTGATAGGTGATATCTTTTTACATTGTAATTAATTGTTTACTGATTTACTTTAATGATATATCTGATTTCAGCAAGGAAAGAAACTGAAGTTAATCATCATGTCTGCGACCTTGCGAGTTGAAGATTTTACAGAAAACAGAAGACTATTTAAAATAGAACCACCTGTTGTGAAGGTTAGTATTTTTAAGTTATGGAGACAGTAGAATCTAAGATTTCAATTTTTACTCATGTCAGGTTTTGAGGTTAACAATTCAAGTTACGTCTTGCTTCAGTAAAAACCTGCATTTAGAAGTGTATGTCCCAGATTTGTTGCAAATTCAGTTTTCACAATTTTAGAGATGATATAATTATATTACAAAAGTTATTGATTAATTAATAAATTTATTCTTGTTACTGGAAGTAAAATAGCACTTAAAGTATTTGTACCATGAAGAACAATAAAAGCACCATTTATGGTTATTTCCATGATCAGGGTTGACTAATTATATTTTCCCCATATTTTTCCTAATGGCTGTATGTATTCAAAAGTTATGTGTGCATTTACAATTGTGATTGTTTAACATGTTTAGAAATGGACAAATGAAAGAACAATTATTTTGATTTCAGGAAATGTTGCATATAAATAATGCTTTTAGAATTTAAACTACAAGTTTTTATTATTTACGAAATCTATGCCGTTGAAATTTTCGTAATAATAAAACATTGCAAACATTATTGAGTTTACAGTAGTTACACATATTGTTGATATTTAAATTTTTGTTGTGACAGGTAGATTCTAGGCAGTTCCCTGTTACAATACATTTTAACAAGAGAACACCACTTGAGGATTATCTTGGAGAAGCCTTCAAAAAGGTAAATTATTGTTGGAAATTAGATTTCTGGAGGTAATCAGAATATATATTATTATATACATATATATATATAATTCATTACCCAAAAATCCAGTAGGCAAGAAATATAAAAAAAGAAGATGATGTGTGATTGCCAATGAGACAACTCTTCACAAGAGACCAAATGACACAGAAATTAACAACTATAGGTCACTGTAAGGACTTCAACAATGAGCAAAGCCCATACCGCATAGTCAGCTATAAAAGGCCCTGAAATGACAAATGTAAAACAATTCAAATGAGAAAACTAACGGCCTAATTTATGTACAAAATAATGAACGAAAAACAAATATGTAACACAGCAACCAATGACAACCACTGAATTACAGGCTCCTGACTTGGGACAGTCACATACAGAATGTGGCAGGGTTAAACATGTTAGCGGGCGTCCAACCTTCCCCCTAACCTGTAACAGTACAACATAAGAACAAACTATAAAAATCAGTTGAAAAACGCTTAACTCATCAGATGGATACAAATAGAAATACATTTAACAAATACACAGAGTGGACGTGGTCGGGTACTTGTACATCCCAACAACAAAAAGACACTATATACAGATCTGAGATTACTCACAGTTACTGACAGCTAGTTCAAAGCCAATAACAACTAAATAAAAAAATCATGCATCTAAGACTAAATTATCAATCAGTACACATCTAACATCCAATGGATTTAGTGTAAAGACGTCATAAACAGTCAGAGAAAAACATGAACTTGTGCAATGCCAAGATACAGGTATCGACAGATTGTAGAGCCATGAATGAGGATATGTATATAACAATAATATTTAGTTTGCTTTTAATTTACTTATAACAAAATCAATATTAATTGATTTCAAGCCTTATCAATACAAAGACTTTAGATATTGGTATATGCTGTTTCTCTACAAAAGCTGCAGGGCAAAATCTGCTCGTATTTAGAATGAAGTGTCCATGTAGGGAGATTTGTCTTCTTGCAAATGATTAAAAATTTTTGAAAATTCCTGTGTTAGTGCAATAGCTTCTTAATTTTCCATAAATGTTATAACAATAAAAATTTAAGATGATATTTATCAAAAGAAATAAATTTTTGCATTTGAGTTTTATACCTTGATGAAATTTAGTAAAAAATATTTGATAGTTAGCTAAAATATTTTAATCTCTAAAAAATGTGACCAATTTTAAATGATTATAAAAAAGTCTAGTTTCAGTATTGTTCCAATTTTGAACCCTGTCTCTTAAGAACACAATTTCATAGTACTGGTAATAGATTAAGTCCACGTTATGAATAGTAGTGTCTGTAATACAAGCTCCTTGGAGCCTCAAGTTTGTCAATCTTAGTTTTATTTATAGGTGTGTAAAATCCACAGGACTTTACCTGAAGGAGGGATATTGGTGTTTGTCACAGGGCAACAGGAAGTACACACATTATGTAAGAAATTACGTCAAACCTTCCCTTTTGAAGGCAAAGTTGGTAAGTTATTTTATTTACATGGCTGGTATAGATAACAGAATTACATACTTACCAATCATCCTCTTGATACTTTCAATTTCATCACAATAAAAATTTATCAGGAAATTATGTCATAGCAATGGTATAAAGTCATATATTTTTTTGATATTACACTGTTCTAAAAGAAATGACCAAGAGAGACATCATTTTTGCAAACCATAGATAAGGAAAAAAAATTTGTCACAATAGGAAGCAAAGATACAAAAAATGACAAGGGAGATTATCAGACCTAGAGGTCTACATTTTAGTATGAGATATTGCAGGGTTAGGCTTTAAGTGAAATAATTTCCAGCATGCAAGGACAAAAATGTTTGCTGTCTCTATACCATATCCTGAAAATACAAAGTAACACCTAATTCACGTAGTAATTCTATTTACTGTACACACGAAAAACATAAATCAGGCTGTTAGTTTTCTTGTTTAAAATGTGTTACAATTTATTTTGGGACCTTTTTTTAGCCTACTATGCTGTATGGGTTTGATCAGTTGAAAGTCATACGGTGACCAATAATTATTAACTTCTAAGTCATCTGGTCTCTGGTGGAGAGTTGTCTCATTGGCAATCATACCACGTCTTCTTATTTTTATATACATGTAATATGTTGAAATGTGACTGATACCAACAGTCTGTAATTTTTCCATATTTCAATCTTGTTATGGTATTGACTCTTAACTTTTGATCATATGCACATAGAAAACTCAACATGGATTTCACAGGCATCTTTCTATGTCAGGTATATTCATTGTACTTGCATCTTTATATCTAGCTAAAGCATAAAAATACAAAATATACTACATACAGTATGTAATGGATGTATCTTGAATAATTTATACTGTTTTAGAACCAAAGTCTAAGAAGAGTAGGAGAAAAAAGAAAGAAAACAAGACAGAAATTCTTCCAAAGATAAATTTAGATAAGTAAGTATGGTAGTAGCTGTAATATCCTTATTTGTAGGACTTCTTACATGTAATGTATAATTTAACTTAAATCTTGTAAAGAGATGTCTTCCTACAGATTTGAAATATGCACTCTTTACAAATGTTCTAATATCAAAACATAAAGAGAATTATATAAGGGCAATGCATCAATGTATTCTATATTTTTTTATTAATATATAGTTATTACATTGAGACATTAAATATCTTCATGCAAACCTAAAATTTACACACTAGACAGATTCTCTGCATCGCACACTATAAATGATTTTGTAAGGATAATATTTAGCTGTATTTTATAAATAGTAAATAAAGAATATTATATGGCTCTTTCAATATCACACCTGTATTAACCTGAGTCACCAATATAATGCCATAGATCAGCTCGAGGGATTATATATGTACACTTTATTATATACATGTACCTCAAGTACAACTAATTTAGATGCTTATTCATGAGAAATGACGTAAAACATTTATAAGGGGTTTGATAAAGCCCCTATAACCATGACTGATATCGATTAGGTGACGACATACAGATTAGGGGTTTGATAGAGCCTTTTACAACCGTGACTGATATCGATATCATCACGGTTGGCTGATACAGCATAATTGCTATTGATTGTATTAGTTTACATGTACAATTTACTTGTATTTACTACTAAGTATATAATAATTAATGTTATTTATAGCTATTCCATTGAGCCAGTAGATGAAGAAGCAGAGAGAGAGGCTGATGATTCTGATCAAGAAATAGAAGATAATTTTATGGAGGGTGATGATGAAGATGTGCATCTGCAGGTACAGTAATATACTGAGCAATATAAGAAATATATGCCACCTCTTTGCAGAACAAATTGTCTTCCTTTTCTCCCAAACCACAGAAACAATTGAAAAACAGTTGACGATCAATTCTTAGGGTTATAGTTTGTTTATTCATTTCTGTCCTTTAGGCTTTAACCAACATGGCAAAAAATAAACAAAAGGGTAAAATGCAAGTAATTGTCTAATATCTTGAAAACCATAATAGGTACAGAATACTTGGACTGGGTTAAAATGTTCAGAATGCCAATATCTGTATATCTTCCATTTCCTCCAAAATAATCCTTATAAAAGATGATCTTTTGTAAAAAAAAAATTGTGATTTTTTTTTTATATTAGCTTCACAGAAATTAACAACTGTGGTGTTTCTCTATATAAAGATAAGTAGATGTGATATGATTGCAAGTGAGACAACTATTCATCATAGTTCTGTATTATAATGACTGTTATATATATGTGTTTTATATGTAAGAAATAGTTTGTTTCAGTTGTCAACCCATTATTTTAACCACTTGATGTAAGATTTAAAGATGAAGCTGGATTTTCCGAACTTATATATTGAGGATTTGTTTATTCATTGGGGTTTAATATTTGTGGATATCTATTTTGCAGCTATGAGAGGTTATACATTAGAACTTCTTTATGATAACTTTTTTAATTATTTGTTCAGCTCAGTGAAGATTTACAGACAGGTGGCACAACAGAACCTCTATATGTTTTACCGTTATATTCATTGCTGTCAAAAGAAAAACAGAGCAAGGTAAATAAAAATAGAAGTTTGTAAAATTAAAATGTGTGATTAAGAGGTTTATAAAAGGTCAGGCTGCAACTCCACCAGTAGTACATAGATTTCATTAGATTATCATTCTGATGAGACAACATATTGAATCGTGATTTGTAAGATTTTCTATTGAACTTGAAAGAATGGTATATCACTACCTAGTTACCCATTTGTTATAGCAAATTACATGTGATGAGTTTAAAAAGTGAAAATTGACACTGTTTAGGGAAATATGGACATTTTTAATGTTTTGTTATATAATAAATATACTAAATGATGGTAAAATGTCCCAGATGTTGTATTAAATCTAGAAAAACTCAGATTTAGTTTAATGGTCAATTTTGAATATCATAAATACTTTATTATTTTTTTCTAGGTATTTGATCCTCCTCCAGAAGGTTGCAGACTTTGTGTCGTGGCAACCAATGTAGCTGAAACTTCACTTACAATACCTGATATAAAATATGTCGTGGACACAGGAAAGGTAGTATTTTTTTGGAGGGATCAATATTTATTAGAAATTCAAATTTGTAAAAAAACTAGTATAATAGGTTTATAAAGTCCTCCTGTTGACATGTGACATCATAATGTGGAATTCAAATTAAAAAAAAAATCTGTTATAATATATTTATTATCCTCTTCCCTGGATTTCCTGTTAGCAGTTTAAAGTAAAAAAGTAAGTAAAAAATCTAAACTGGTATTGTAAATATTATTTCTGAAGTTTAAAGCATTGTACAAAGTCATATGCAGTTTTATTTTTTCCTCAATTGTTTCAATTTTTTTTTAATATTTACACAGGTCAAGACCAAGTTTTATGACAAAGTGACAGGTGTATCTACCTTTAAAATTACCTGGACTTCTAAAGCTTCAGGCAATCAGAGAGCAGGACGAGCAGGTCGTACGGGACCAGGTCACTGCTACAGGTATGTTATCAATTGCATTGTGATAGATTGATTGATTGGTGTTTAACTCCATTTTCAGCACTATTGACTATTTTTGGCAGTCTGTTTTTATTGGTGGAGGTAGACAGAGTACACAGAGGGAATTGCAATTGTAATAAAAGCCATTGTTTTGTATGTTGGGTACTATTGGGAAATTATGGAGTAAGGCCATGAAAAAAAGAGGTTCTTGTAAAGTCAAGGAAATTTTGGTTTTAATTTTGCTCGTGGGTTTATAGACTTTTAATAGATTCATATGCTTCACAATGTACTTGTGTCTTCCAGTTTGCAGTATTTGTAAGATATTTATGATAAAATCATTATCATATTATTGTATTGCAAACTGTTGTTTGTCTAATAAATAATTCATTGGAGACATTCCATAAAGGAAGTTCATAACCATCATGGATTTTTATATAGAAATTATCTTCTAATGTGTCGGGTTGTTGTCTCTTTGACATATTCCCCATTTCCATTCTCAATTTTATCAATCAGTGTTACAGAAATTTATGAAACAAGATGGGTACTTTATATGTCAGTTAGTGAACAAGATCTTTATTTAAAAGTATTAAATCAATTTTGTAACTTTTTATCCCTTTGTAGATTATATTCATCTGCTGTGTATAATGATGATTTTGAAAAGTTTTCATTGGCTGAGATCATTCGACGACCTGTTGATGACCTTGTTCTTCAAATGAAGGTCAGTTTACTGGTCTAGTACAATTAATCATCAGAAATATACAGATTGATTTTATTATGCTTTTAAATGAAAGTTTTTTATGAATTATTTTTTGTACAGGTAAAGAGTTACCAAATGAAAATAACACTTTGCCAATTTCTTGAGTCTGGAGCATTTTTCTGGAATTACCTTTATCAGGAAAGATCAAATCCAAACATTTGAAAGCCAGGGATGTATATGTTGTGTACAAGTTATCATTTTGTACAAAAAAATTGTACAAATTATAATTTGTATTTTGACTTTGTACAAATTGTAATTTGTACAAAAAGTGCCTGTACACATTATAATTTGTACAAAATAAGGCTTTATTTCACTTATAACTTGTACAATATTTTACATAGAATAAGTTTCAAATCAAATGATAAAAAATAATTTTAATTTTAATTATGAATCAATATGAAACCCACTGATAACTCCATTTACAATACTATACTTAATATACAATGCTCTTATTTGTTGGAGCAGAAGTGCGAACCATGACACCTCGAATTACACAATACATTCTGCTTTTTGCATTTACAATTCGAATTGTTACAATCGCCTTAATTTGCAAGAGAGATAACCCTGTCCACCAGTTTTTGAAATTTTTTTGACAGCTTCCCTCGGGGAAAGTTGTAAATCAAGAAATTGTGTAACAGACAAAAAAAGAGTCATTAATTGATTCTAGTTGGTATCTGCTTAAGACTCCTGATATATTACCAGCTATTGTCCGTACACAATAGCCAACATTTTCTACTTCCACAACAACACCTTGTATATTCCTCGGATCGTTCGGTGCTCAGTCATACTGTGGAATTGGGACATTGTCTCCAACAGATAACTTGCTCAGTTTATGTTTTGTATTTCTTGTTAGGACATCCGCTTGAATTTGTTGGCCAGACAATGCCCGTTTTCGACTTCCTCTGATACAACTTTAATAGTTGTACTAGTTGATCCACAAAGCGCAAACCTTCAGACACAATTGCTGAACTTCTTGATAGAGTTTATCCTGTTGATCAACAATACTAGCCATTTTAGTGAACATTTAACTTTTAATTTTGTAAATGACCATTTGAAAGACCAGTTTATCTCTGTACCGTTGTAATGCATTGGCTTTATAAGAATAAAGATATAAAGACCAGTGAACAGGAGTTCAATTTATAACCTCAAGGCAATATACATGAATCAATATGACTTGAAAAATTGTATTGAAAAGTTTCGATAGTGTGTATCAATACTTTTTTATCACAAAATCCACACGATAAATTATTGTACAAGTTATAAGTGAATTTTAGTCAAATTTTGTAAAAATTGTAATTTGTACAAGCACTTTTTGTACAAATTACAATTTGTACGAAGTCAAAATACAAATTATAATTTGTACAATTTTTTTGTACAAATTATAATTTGTACAAAATGATAACTTGTACACAACATATACATACTTGAGGAGGAGCTATATGACAAAAAGGGACAAAAAAAAGAGAAAAGCTAAAACTATCCAAGGTCAACTTTGCCTTAGAGAGTTAGAAACTAATATTTCTGAATTTATTCACATTTGTGTGCAGTATTAAAGCAACCCGACTTGTACTTTGACACCTATTCACTAGTGAAAAGAGGTTCTCTGTTAAACTCAAAGTTCTGTGATATTTTATCTTTACAAGAGATTCTGGCCGTCAGAGAAAAGAGGTTCTCTGTTAAACTCAAATTTCTGTGATATTTTATCTATTCAATAGATTCTGGCCATCAACAATGTTGCTGGTCACAACTTGGTCTGTGGTTTCTTATGTGTCTAAAAACAAGGGAAGAGAATCAACCAAAACACATTGATTGCTAATTTGATACCAGATTGATACTGTAAATTCAGAAATCATTGCGTGCATTTATTATTGCGATTTTTCAAGAATGGACAAAAATGAGAGTTTAATTATTGCGATTTCGAAAAAATCTGTATACAGGTCTATGTTTCAGTTATCAGAATATGAGTTCTTATTATTGCGATACTCACCCAGTTGCATTATTCACATTAATAACAATAATTTCTGAATTTACAGTTCATTTACTTCTAATATGACAGAATTCTAGAGGAAGTGCAATTTTCATTATACTTTTTCAGTACATGAATATAGACAGAATTGTAAACTTTCCTTTTCCTACACCGCCTGATGATGAACAAGTGAAGGTAAATATTCATCTTTTTATTTCTTTTTCTCTTTGTTAATGATCATATTTCACATTGTAAATATTCATTTCGCACCTAACATCATTGACATTATACACATAAATTATAACTGCATATATACATAGTTGTATACCATTCTCAAACGGTAAAGTCAAATTTAACATCCATAAAAAATATTGATAAAAAATGTTTAAACCCCTAATCAGGAGTGTGATATCCTCACTCATGTTCTCGTCCTGATATATATGCCACTGGACGTTAAACACCAATCCATCATTACCATTACCAAGTTTTATTTTGTTACATAACTCTCAGATTTGTATTAAAGGAATAATTTGGTAATTGATAGGAATTTTATTATGTAGATTTGTTTGTGTAAGGGCTTTTCAGATTGGTTATCCAGTTACTTCAAGTTCGAATATACCTTGAACTATAATTATACCTGCTGAGCAGTGATTTTTTTAGCATTGCCAAATAAAGGATGGGGTTATGTATTTGCACCACATTACGTGCAACTCATTGTTATGCATCATTGTATAAATGCACCATGTTATCATTTGTTTCTGAAAATCACCTGAGTTTAACCTAAGAAATTGATTTATAATTGCCTGGTTTTGCATATGCTTTTTGCTAAAAAAAAAACACCCAAAAAACAGGTTGGATATTAGCTGAGTGTAATATGCAAGACTATATAATGCAATCATAGCAGTTAGAGAGGTGGAATTTTTCAGGGTTTAATTTTTGTATTAGACAGTCCATGCCTAGGATTAAATATATGAAACAAATTTGATATACAGAATTATGTATTCTTTTCTATCTATCAGACTTTCTTTTTTTTCATTTTTAAATGCAGAATACTAGGTTTCATGCAAATATTACAAAAAATGATTTGCCTTCAAACGTTATTCCTCAGAAAAACACTTTTTCACAATCAAAACAACAAATCAACATCATGCATCATTATATTGATTTTATTTCTTGATCTTTCTAGGCAGCAGAGACGTTACTAGTATCTCTTGGAGCTCTGACAGAACCTATAAAATCTGTCCGTATGAAAGACTTGAAGAAAACTCCAATCACAAAAATCACACCTCTTGGCAAAGTCATGGCTTGCTTTCCAGTGTCTCCCAGATATGCTAAAATGTTAGCTCTAGGTCACCAACATGACCTTCTGTCATATGTGGTTGCCATAGTAGCAGGGTTATCAGTACAGGAAGTATTTGTAGAAACACAGAAACCTCCAGACACAGATAAAGAGGTTAGTAAGTAAAAATAGAACAGTCTCTTTCTGATGGAAGTTAGTGTCAGAGAAACAGTATGTTTTTTTTCACAAAAAAGCAGAAAGATCTGTCATATCATTATGTATGTTATTGTCGTAGACACAATTCTGTCACCATGGGAACTTATGATACAGATGAAGTCTATAACTTCTGAGCAAACACTAGGGAAAAAGATACATTTGACATTGATTTGTCTTGTATTTGATTGTTTGTTGAATGATAGGGGGGAAATATGATAAACAGTTGCACATAATTTATTTTACATTTTTAAAGTGGTAGTGAGCATTATCTGAAAATTTTGTCAAAATGGTTCATCACACAAATAAAAAAAACTAACACAATCACCATTTCAATTCACAAAACCAAAAATACAAGTTTTGTGGATGTAAATTCTACACAGTTAAAATAAAAAAATGTTTTATCGCTAATATTTGTTTGTAATCACAAATATGTTTAAAAAAACGTAAGAATATTTAATATCAGGGCAGATATGATGAAAATTAGAAGGCCTAACGTTCAAAATCTTACCAGAAAAGGAGAAAAAAGTGTTATTAAGGTCATAGTGTAAACATTCTTCAGGAAGGTTTGTCTAGTTACTTTAATATTTCTATTACAGCAAGATGATTTCAGAAGTCAAATACAGTACATATCACAAGTGAAAAAATTGTGGGCAGGAACAGTAAGTCATTTATTAGGATTTAAGTCCACTTTAAAGTTAATAAAATCATTGGAGGTTTTTATCAGATAGAATCTGTGATAGATATTCATTAGATGAGTAAAATAAAACTCTTCAAGAATAAAACCCAAAATTAAACAGAATAGCCTTCAAAAACTAAATGTGAGGTCTCCAGGACCAACTGATGGTATCTTGATAGTATGTCTATAAGGGATTGCCGTTGTCTTTTAAATGAAAGTAAATGTGATGTAAAAATTGATTCTATAGAAAGGTGTCCCATGTTTAGAGGGCATACATATCCCTTGACACACCATCCCAGGTTAAAATGGACAAATAACAGATATGAGCATTTTCAAAATTTTTGTTCTTACAACAATTTTAAGATGTCATCTATGAAAAATGATAGTTAAAGGGAATTTCTTTTACCAATTCAATTAACCATAGAAAAAAACATTTTTTTTATTGCAAGGCAAAACATGGTTATTAACTCAGTTTAATTTTCAAATTGATCATATTTGTTCTCAAATTTTTCAGATTTTCAAAAATCTTAAACATTGTTCCAAATGTACAAATGATATATAATCATCCTGTAAAGGAATCTAAAACCTAAAACCATACATGGAGTTTCATGCCACAACTTTTTTCATCAAAATTGATTATTATCAATCTAAAATTTGATACAATGACCCAATGTAAAAGATCTTTTAAATCAAAACTTATTAGGCATCTACAGAGGGTGTACAATCTTTCATACAAGGAAAATGAAAGAGAAGTTGATGTCAACAAAAAGTTTATAACAGACTGACAAACAATCTATGACAGCAGTGTCCCTGAACTTTCTATGTCTTTGAAGGTAAACGTTTTTAGGCCCCGCCGTAGGGGAGGGGGTATTAAGTTTTACCATTGTCTGTCTGTACGTACGTACGTTCCAAAGTTGGTTTCCGTTCTCTTACTTTAGTTTGCCTCAACCAAATGTTATTAAACTTATACTCAATGCTTATTACCACATAATACAGATCAAGTTTGAAATTGAATGGCGTCACTTTTACCGTTCTTGAGTTATTCCCCTTTTGAACATAAAAATTGCTGAATTTTTGGTTACCGTTCTCTAATTTTAGTTTGCCTCAACCAAATAGTATGAAACTTGTACACAATGCTTATTACCACATAATACAGATCAAGTTTGAAATTGGGTGGCGTCACTTGTACCGTTCTTGAGTTATGCCCCTTTATAAACATTAAAATTTCTGAATTTTTAGCTCACCTGGCCCAGAGGGCCAAGTGAGCTTTTCTCATCACTTGGCGTCCGTCGTCCGTCGTCGTCGTTGTCGTCCGTCGTCGTTAACTTTTACAAAAATCTTCTCCTCTGAAACTACTGGGCCAAATTTGACCAAACTTGGCCACAATCATTATTGGGGTATCTAGTTTAAAAAATGTGTCCGGTGACCCGGCCAACCAACCAAGATGGCCGCCATGGCTAAAAATTGAACATAGGGGTAAAATGTAGATTTGGGCTTATATCTCTGAAACCAAAGCATTTAGAGCAAATCTGACATGGGGTAAAATTGTTTATCAGGTCAAGATCTATCTGCCCTGAAATTTTCAGATGAATCGGACAACCCGTTGTTGGTTTGCTGCCCCTGAATTGGTAATTTTAAGGAAATTTTGCCGTTTTTGGTTATTATCTTGATTATTATTATAGATAGAGATAAACTGTAAACAGCAATAATGTTCAGCAAAGTAAGATCTACAAATAAGTCAACTTGACCAAAATGGTCAGTTGACCCCTTAAGGAGTTATTGCCCTTTATAGTCAATTTTTAACCATTTTTCGTAAATTTTTGTAATCTTTTACAAAAATCTGCTCCTCTGAAACTACTAAGACAAATTTAACCAAACTTGTCCACAATTATCATTAGGGTATCTAGTTTAAAAAATGTGTCAGATGACTCCGCCCGTGAACCAAGATGGCCGACATGGCTAAAAAATAGTACATAGGGTAAAATGCAGTTTTTGGCTCATATCTCTGTAACCAAAGCATTTAGAGCAAATCTGACGGGATAAAATTGTCCATTAGGCCAAGATCTATCTGCCCTGAAATTTTCAGACCAATCAGGCAACACGTTGTTGGGTTGCTGCCCCTGAATTGGTAATTTTAAGAAAATTTTGCAGCTTTTGGTTATTATCTTGAATATTATTATAGATAGAGATAAACTGTAAACAGCAATACTGTACAGCAAAGTAAGATCTACAAATAAGTCAACATGACCAAAATTTCAATTGACCCCTTAAGGAGTTATTGCCCTTGATAGTCAATTTTTAACCATTTTTCGTAAATTTTTGTAATCTTTTACAAAAATCTGCTCCTCTGAAACTACTAAGACAAATTTAACCAAACTTGTCCACAATTATCATTAGGGTATCTAGTTTAAAAAATGTGTCCGATGACTCCGCCCGTGAACCAAGATGGCCGACATGGCTAAAAAATAGTACATAGGGTAAAATGCAGTTTTTGGCTCATATCTCTGTAACCAAAGCATTTAGAGCAAATCCTTAAGGAGTTATTGCCCTTGATAGTCAATTTTTTTACAATTTTCATAAATTTTGTAAATTTTTGTAAATTTTTACAAAATATTTTCCACTGTAACTACTGGGCCAAGTTCATTATAGATAGAGATAATTGTAAGCAGCAAGAATGTTCAGTAAAGTAAGATCTACAAACACATCACCATCACCAAAACACAATTTTGGCATGAATCCATCTGTGTCCTTTGTTTAATATGCACATAGACCAAGGTGAGCGACACAGGCTCTTTAGAACCTCTAGTTGGTTTCCGTTCTCTAACTTTAGTTTGCCTCAACTAAATATTATGAAACTTATACACAATGCTTATTACCACAAAATACAGATCAAGTTTGAATTTTTTTGGTGTCACGTTTACCCTTCTAGAGTTTACCCTTGCCTGTTTACACATAGAAAAATTGTTGAATTTTTCGTTTCTGTTCTCTTACTAAAGTTAGCCTCAACCAAATGTTATGAGACTTATACACAATACTTATTACCACAAAACTCTGATCAAGAACAAATTTGGGTAGCATCAATTTTACCATTCTTCAGTTATGTCCCTTTATAACTTTATATGATATGCAAGTGTGGACAGCTGAAATTTACCTGTTCATGTGACAGGTAAACAATTTTGTAGCGGACATTGATCGGTCTATTCAAAGTTATTTTCTTAAATTTCAGCAGTTTGCATCTAATTAATTTAGTCAAAAAGATTAAAATTATCAGAAATACGTTTATAAATATGATTGATGAAAGATTTAAAAAGGTTTTAAATGAAAAATCGTCAGAACCACATTGTTTGAACTAGTACATGTGTGCGCATGTGTGCAGGTGGGAAATTTAATTATGCATCCTGATTTCTTCAAAAATGCTAAAATTATCATAGATATCTTTAACTTTAGTTCATTTCGAGTATTTTCTTGAAGAAATAACGTGGAAAGAGCTACTTACGCTCAATCGTGCGGATTTTACGTATCCGTCACTGGTCCATGTTTTACCATTGTCCTGTCAACATTTGGTATTAGGAAAATGTGCTTTTCAAAATGAAAGTAAAGTTTTTGACAACGTTATTTTGCACAAATAAAGAGTCTAAGGCAGATATAAGTACGCTGATGTTGCACACTTAGAATGGTGCACTGTCAATTTAACAGTTTTATCAGAACATCGAATTTATATCAAAGTAAAGTTTAATATCGTTTTTTTTTAATATCAATCATTGGGATGGCCAACTGATTACCATAATTGCCTTTTGTTATTTAGTCTTAAGGGATCAAAATCGGGATAAGGCATAAAATGTCTGGCTGACTCAAATGTTTTTTTGAAGCCCTGGGACATCATCTGTGTCCCATGGACACATTCCCTATTTATTTTCTGTATACATTAAATGCTCACATTATGAATTTACAGAAATGTTGTTGGGAGAAAAAAAAAATAAGAAAGTAATAAAAATCCCAATATTTAACAGCATCTTTTGCAATTTTTGAAATGAAGTCCACAAACTAAAGGTATGTCATGACACAGACATAAAGAATGTTGAACATGTATGGAACATTTCTGTTAATTGCACAGGCCAAAATTATAAGATATATTAACATGTAAAGTGACCAAAGATTTGATAACTGATTCATAAAGAGACCAATTATCTACAAAAAAGACAACAATGCATACATATGGTAAAGAAATTATAACAGATTTTAAACATTGATATTTTAGGGCCATTCAATGTTGCTTGGAGACCTAATGGTATTACTAAAAGCCATTGGTTCAGCTGAATACCAGGGATGTACCCTAGAGTTCTGCCAGAAACATGGACTACGATATAAAGCTATGAAAGAAGTTAGGAAATTGAGAGCACAGCTAACAAATACAGGTAGGAGAAATGTGGTGAATTGTCTCTTTGTAAAATTGGCGATGTGAGTTTGACCAGATTCCTTTAGAATTCTCTTAAATCACATGAACAGATTTTATTGTTCCAAACTCAAGATTTGTTGCTCCTGTCACATTAAGCGAAGCTATACTATGAAAGTACTTTTATCTGTGGACAGCAGTTCTTATGAGTTTTTAGAAAATTTTTATTGTGTGGATTCTTGGTTTCTGTTTTGCATGTTAAAATATTGATTAGTCGAATCATCTTGAATTTTTCAACCTAGAGCCTTCAAAAATTCTAGATTGATTATTTGTATGTAAGATGATTATCTGCACTTCATTTTGTTTACTCATTTAAAAGAAGTTTGCAGATTTATTAGATGCTGAAACCTCAGCTAATGTTCAGCCACATTTTGAATGAAGGATAATCAATTTCTACTACAGTTTTCAAATGAGAGCTTTTAATCATTAAAAAATAAAGGGCTGTTCAATAATAACATACTTGTGACCAAGGGAAGGCAATTTAAATTTGCCACAATGGGTGTGTGTGACAACACGTTTAAGATGTATTCAGGTCTCTAAAATTGCTTTTATGCAGCCCTCATAGTAGCTTCTGAAATGAGGTTGCCAATTGGCCACCAGGCATGAAAATTTAGTGGCCAACTCAAAATTTCAGTGGCCAGGAAATAATATCAGGTCGCCTACATTTTTTTTTTATAGCTAAACAACCCTTGTGAAATAAAAGTATTAAATTTTTGTTGTGTTTTTATGTTGACGAGTGTAGAAAATAGTTTGTGTAAATCATGTGTTAAAAACCACATGATTTATTTGATATTATATTCATTGACATTGTACATGTTTTAAAACTGTCTGCGACGTTAAGCGGTAACCCATAGCCTAAGTCTGGTAAAAATCTCATTGGATTTGTGCAGAAACATTGGTGATTGCCCGATCGGTCAAGTGAACATCTGAAATCGTTTGCTAAATTGTAGCTAGTATTTTATTGAATCTATGAGAAGAAGTTTTAAAATTGTCACCGACCTTGTTTCCATCCGTTTACTGACGAAATCAAGAACGAGGATTGACCATGTGCTTTCAATAAACACAATCTATAAATGCCAATGGTTTTCTTTTTAACGGCACGTAATAGTCCAAGTTGTGACTGAGTGCGGAAATACGAAGATAGATATATATAAATCCTGTCAGTAAGTCAACCACAACAAATTGCTTACAAATGAACTACAAGTACCTGATGCAATAAAGCACTGACAAGATCAAGCTTAAATCTAAAAGGCGCTTGAAAGTAAAAATTTGTGTTACTGTCAAGCGCTCAGACAATTTTTTTAAAACCCGACTCTGATCAGGGTAAACTTTCTGAAAATTTACGGTCGCCAGATTTTCAATATTCTGAAAGCCTAAATGGCGACCAGTTATGAATTTTTGGTCGCCAATCAGCTTTTAAAGTCGCCCAGGCGACCATTTCAGTAGACTAAATTGAGGGCTGTTATGGGGTAACCCTATTATCAAAGTGCTCCCTGGGTACCATGTATGTTTTAATGGAAAGCCTAAGGCAAATTCTAGCAATAAGATAATACTTTTTTTTATATTTGCAGTAAATATGGTGATACCAGATGCCAATATTTGTTTGGACCCTAAGCTGAAACCCCCATCTGATATACAGGCAAAATTAATCAGACAGATTATACTTGCTGGACTAGCAGATCATGTTGCTAGGTAACAAATGAAATTCAGTTGGAGTCCCCACAAGTAGTCTGTTTGTACCAGCATGATTTGATTTTTGATTCAGCCATGCTGGATCTATGCGATCACTCTGGTTTTGGAGATGGTGCAGAATACTAAGTTGAAGACATATCATGAAACTAATTATGTGTTTTTATGACTTGCAGAAACTTTCTACGCTATTTTAATCATCAACTGCCAACTTTTGACATGTTATTTGCCCTAAAATTAAGAAAAGATTGGTCGAACAACCCTTTTATTTTAGATATACACTTGCATATAGTTCCTTTGTAAATCAAAATTTATAATGATTTACTATATATGAATTAATTTGAAAAAGTATTTGTACATCAATTGAATCAGTTGATAAGAATTTTGAAAGTATTATATTAGTATCTTATGCTTGTGTAAGTTGTTGTTCAATGAAATATAGGTCAACATGTGTATTAATATATCTAAGTTGATCCCCACACTTTTTTGAAATGGTATTACTCAAATTCTTTACATAGGCAAGTAAGAGTCAGTATGATTATCAACTGTCATGATTGTCAAATAATTACAATCAAAGGTGTAAGTATTAATTGGAAACGACCCTAGGCTTAATTCACCACAGTTAATATCTCATGACCTGTTACATAATTAAATAGACACAATTTATTACACACCTAACTGAATACACAAATTCTTGACCTCAATAGTAATCCTACAAATGTATTATTTATTTTGATCTACACTACACTAAAATATTCTGTTAATTTTGCTAGCTAGCTGAATAATTAATCAGATGTGTTTTTTTTTCAAAGAAAAGACAAAAATTTCAAAAAATATGTTTAAACAATGCAAGCAAATTTTCATTTCACTTGTAAAATCAGTGTCATTATCATCTGACATAAGTCAATAATCAAGTTCTAATTAATTACTTATAATTATCAGAAATTTGATTGAAATAATATACAAAATTGCATTGAGCATTTTCTGCAATAACATTTATTTGTTTGTTCTACATTTATATCCCATTATATTGCTATTTAACAGTAATTGGAAATATCTCATCATTAGGTATTTGTACATTTAAATTTGAATACAGGAAATGTATTTTTTCTTAATGAAGAATGAACACCAATTTAGATAAAAAATAGTTATTATTTTTTTTAATTTTTGTTGTTGAGAAAGTGCATTTCTAAGGCCTCTTTCTGGAAATCATTAAGCCAGTAATTATTAATGGCATATAAAAAAATATATTACTTATTTGACGATTTCCCCTTCCATTCTTGTAAAAAAAAATCTGACAGAGTCTAAAATTGAAATATCTATATATATATATCAATATTTGCATTAAGATTGGGAAATTCCCTACCTTTGGACAATAACATAGAAATTTTACAGTAAGATTGGAAATGAAAAGAGAAAAAAATATTGAAAAAAGTATGGTCAGAAAGAATATCAGACTAGCTATAAATATGGCTGAATCACGACATAGACGATGCTTTGATTTTATTAGTTAATTGTCCTTTTTTGCATACAGTTTTAATACTAACAGGCTGAGTTACTCTCATTGCTTTCTATTCTACACATGTTACCAAAATACCTTAAACTTCAATAAATGCCAAACATTAAGATTAGTTGGATTCTAAATTAAACGATAATAAAGATTGATTTATTATTGATTTTGTAATTTACCAATATGTTGATGAAATTTCTCAGTTAAAAATCCCCAAATTTGAAGTTGACATGCTCTGGACATATTGTTCTTAAAAAGTCGCAGCTCTAAAAAATGTTGCTATAGCGACCTACAAGTTTTAAACTAACACAAAATAGTTGATAACTATATTTGAAGTAAATGAAGATTAATTAAATAATGATGACATGCAGCTGCACTCATTCTGATAAATTTGAAATGTAAATTCTGTTATAATTTAGGAAATTCATACATAATATGATTACAATCAACACTGTTTCATGATTTCAGAGCATATCAGTATGCATGATTAATGCTATTAAGATTTTATTTGAAAATAAAAGATATGGTTTGGATATACATGTGACAAATATAAAATGCATTTTACTGTATTTTTTTTCATTAATATACCAACTTTTGTGGGTATAGGGAAACCAGGAATTTAAATGTTAAACCAAGTCCGCATCACTATGGGGTATCAGTTTTGAGCATTGTTGAAGGTGGTACGGTGACCTTTTAAGTGATTTGGTCTCTGGTGGAGAGTTGTCTCATTGGCAATCATACCACATCTTCTTATTTTTAAATTGTATACAAATGTTGGCAATACCACGAAATCAAATATTCATAAAAATATGAGTTTTCTTTAATCCACAAAAATTGCTACCCTGGAAATTAAATGAATCTACAGTACTTTAATTTAAACTTAACCATTACAGAAGATTCCCTGATCCTCCTTCAGATGCGGATGAAACTTTAAAGAAAAGGAAACATGCTTACCAGGTCAGTTGATGATATTTAAATTGAGGAATTTTGGTTCTCAACTTTTTATCTTAAGTTTTGTTACTCCTAAGAGAAATTATTTGAATTTAAAGTAGTTAACAAACATTTACATGTAAATTAAAAACCTGTCTATAATCTGGCCAAATCGAAAGACTTGGTCATCTTTATAGGGATTACCTTAAAGCATTGAAAATCTGAAAGTTTGATAACATTTAGAAAATTTGATGTCAACAGTAATAATTAGAACTTGAAAATAACATTTTGTTTGTCGAGACTTTTTAAATTTAGCAATTTTTGTAAATGATTGAGATAGTATAGTAAAAAGTAAAATAACAAAAACACCAAACTCCAAGAATAATTTAAATCTAAAAGTCCCTTATAAAATGGCAAAATCAAAAGCTCAAACACATCAACCGAATGGAAAACATATGTCATATTCCTGACTTGGTACAGGCATTTCCTTATACAGAAAATGGTGGATTAAACCTGGTTTTATAGCTAGCTAAACCTCTTACTTGTATGACAGTTACATAAAATTCCATTATATTGACAACTGTGTGAACAAAACAAACAGACAAAACATGTAAAAATGTCAAAAATAGGGGTACCACATCAGGTATATGGTGATTAAAAAAATCATGCTCTTTTATTTTGAAGACCTAAAAAGCTTTCAGATGTGAAATCTACCTTGAAACACTCAAGAGTTTACATTCTTAAAATGTGAACATTTTATACAAAAAAATCTAGGCTGTTGTACTGATAGTGTAAATTATTTTAAAATATCTGAACTATTGTGTATTTTGTGTTACAGTGTACAGAATTAGATGAACCAGTATTTATTCACCCTTTCTCAGTATTATACAAACAGAAACCAGAATTTATTGTTTACCAACATATAGAAGAAACCTCAAAACTATACATGAAAGGTATTGTCAGATTATGAATAAAATGATATTTGGGATATATGTCAATGAGATAGCAGCCCATTTCACAATAAACAAAAAGAAAGGTCAGCATACAGCCTAGCTGCGGAACAGTTCTCTTATATCCTTATTATATTTTTTGACAATTTGCGAATCATAGAGCTACAGATTTTTCTTATATTAAAATGTTTGGAATTGCAACCCAGGTTCCGGTCATACTTGTTTCGGAAAATTTCATTGTTTATTGCCCTTGTGTAGCTTGACAACGTATATAATGTGTTATGTTCGATATTTTTCTATAATATTATGTACCTTCATATGTTTGAATATTCATTTCCTTGACACTTTAACCAAATTATTTCCTTTTGTATACGTCTCAGCCTCTTTCATTCAGCATTTTGAATCTCTTCGTGATGTCATTAAAGACAAGAATAGAAATCTGAACGTTTTGAAATAGGAAAAATCTGTAGCTCTAAATCACCATCAACACAAAATTATCCAAATAATAAGGGAAACAATATTAAAAGAGGCCTACTGATGAAGCCTATTAGCTGTGACAGGCACATGAACATGCAGCAGGGTCAAATTAGTCTCCAGAGAACTTGACCTACCATATTTAGCATCGTAAGCCAAGTGAGCAGGTGATTTGGGGGTTTTCTATCGTAATATTTTAAAACATTTTATGAGATATTTGAATAAAACCAATGTTTATTCAAATTAATTCATCCGATTTCTTGTTCATTAATTATAATGAATTCCATTTGTGTTATGTTTGATATTGTTTCCTACACATCCGTGCTATTGAATAAGAATACTTTATGCTTTTTGATATTATTGTTGTGCAACCTGGTTGGTTATCAGTGTATGTTTTCATGTATCAGTACCATTGAATAAGAGTGATTGTCAGTTCATTCTTTCAAAGGAAGTCATTAAACAGAATGGTTAGCAATATATGTTGACTGTGAATTCATTAATAGTTTTTGTTGGGACAAATTTTCCTGGATTAAGGGGTTAATATATTTTAGTGTATATTTGATTTATTTGTTTTGCCCAAGTCAGGAAACAAGCTTCTAGAAATTGGGTACTTCCTTGAACATTTAAATTTGTGGTTTACATATACCCTCGGAATCCATGACAATTGGTATCCCACAAATAAGATAAATCCACAGTATTTAAGGGTTTCTTTTATGATTGCATTTAAATCAGAAAGGCTGTAATAAAAGAGAGGCGAAAGATACCAAAGGGGCATTCAACTCATTAGTGGAAAATAAACTGACAACACCATGGCTAAAAAAGAAAAAGACAAACAAACGAACAACAGTACACAAAACACAACATAGAAAACTAAAGACTGAGCAACAAAAACCCCACCAAATAAGCTGTTGAATTTAAGTTTTACCATGTTTTTGCTCATTTTTTAGGTATCAGTGCCATTGAATCAGAGTGGTTACCAGTTTATGCTCCAAGTTTTTGTACTTTGTCCAAACCACAAGAAGATCCTCCACCATTTTATGATAAATCAAAAGACCAGATAAGATGTCACATGACTAGCACTTTTGGAAGGTGTTGCTGGGAAGTCCAGAGTGTGGATTTAGAATACCCAGCTAATTTAGATAAATATCGGTGGTTTGCCAGATTTCTGCTTGAAGGAGCTGTTGTTCAAGGATTGAAGAAATATGTTACTGTGTTGCTGTCATCACCATCGACTATGGTCAAATCTTGGGCAAAGTTAGTTTCTAAAATCAGCCTTTTCAAACTCAGAATCTCTGCATTTGTCTCATAAGAGTTGTTATACATCTGCAAGTTGAAATAAAAATGACAACGTTAATAGCCCCTAAACAATTAAATATTTTAGAAAAAATATATTTCACAGGTCATAATATAAGTCAGGATAGCAATGATTGATCTGTATTATTGAAACTATAGTTTATAAAGAGGAATCGATAAGAACTTGCACCATAATAAGGATTAATTTTCATTTTTTTTGTTTATGCATATTTTATGAAACTTATCTTTTTCCTCAAACCAGTAGAATTGCTGTTAATTTCATATTTTATGCACCCATCACACAGTTTTAGGATTCATTTGAAATTTAATACCTACATGGTTTGAATCTAAAACTTAACAAAAAGGAAGACAATATGACATTTATTTAGCAGTTGAATCTCTAAAAACTTTGTCTTATGAGCTAGATACATTTAAGTCAAAAATTTGGCACCTGTGTTAAAAAAAAAATTGGAGAATTGTGAAAGAAGACTTGATGAGGACAATATCTGCCAATTGCTAAGTCCCTGCTGAGTTTTATTATCTCCATGTATTTATAAATCAATGACTTCTGCAATCTCCACCTAACCTTCCTTATGAAGGAACATTTGACATCAAAGCCTGATGACTTCTGAACAGGTTGATACCCAGTATGATTTATAGTTCCCCTATGCTATATAGTGGTTTTATGGGTTATCAATATTACGTCTCCATGGAAACTTTCATCCGCAGTGTTCAGTTATTGAAGACATTCCTAAGCATATATGACACGGCTGGTATTTGATTCATACAGGCAATGTAAGTGAATCTTTGTAAGCATATTTATTTCATTCTTTTCAGGTTGCAACCAAGAACAGAAAAATTATTGAAGGAACTAGTAGCAGCTAGTGTAGACAGTAAAGAATCTTTGTTGAAAGCTTGGCAGAAAGATCCAAAATGTAAGTTCTACAACAAATTTTGATATGTTAAGGTTACACAATTTTTTTCTTTAAGAAATCTTTTTTTTGTTGGTTTCTGTATGAACAATTGAGTTTCCTTTTTTAGTTTGATATAAAACTTATGTAGGAAAGGAAAGAATCCTGTTAATTTTTACTTCAAGGTCATATCTGCTAAATAAGACTGAAAATATATAAATGTGATGTGCAATTTGTTTAAAAGAAATATTTTTATAGGGCATGAGCCCAAAGACTTTTCATGATCAAGTGAAAATAGGGATAGTGATCCGGCGGTGGCGGCGTTAGCTAACTTCTTAAAAGCTTAATATTTTAGAAGGTGGACGACCTGGATGCTTCATACTTTGTATATAGATGCCTTATATTATGAAGTTTCTGTCTGTCATATGTCCATTGTCCTTGACCTCATTTTCATGGTTCAGTGATTACTTGAAAAAAAAGTTAAGATTTTTTGTAATATTAATTTCTATCTTATTATGAGTAATAGGATAACTATATTTAGTATGTGCGTACCTTGTAAGGTCCTCATGCCCGTCAGACAGTTTTCATTTGACCTCGACCTCATTTCATGGATCAGTGAACAAGGTTAAGTTTTCGTGGTCAAGTCCATATATCAGATACTATAAGCAATAGGTCTACTATATTTGGTGTATGGAATGATTGTAAGGTGTACATGTCCAACTGGCAGGTGTCATCTTGACCTCATTTTCATGGTTCTGTGGTCAAAGTTAAGTTTTTGTGTTTTGGTTTTTTTTTCTAGTACTATATTCAATAGGTCAACTATATTTGGTGTATGGAAATATTTTATGATGTACATGTCAGTATCGCAGGTTTTATTTGACCTTGACCTCATTTTCAGGGTTCATTGCTCAGTGTTAAATTTTTGTGTTTTGGTCTGTTTTTCTTAAACTATAAACAATAGGTCAACTGTATTTGTTGAATTGAAGGATTGCAAGGTGTATATGTCTGTCTGGCAGGTATCATCTGACCTTGACCTCATTTTCATGGTTTATTGGTTAATATTAAGTTTTCATGGTTGAGTTTGTTTCTTAGATACTATAAGCAATAGGTCAACTATATTTAAAGCTTAGATTGTTTGTAAGGTGTACATGTCTGTCTGGCATGGTTCATCTGACTTTGACTTCATTTTCATGGTTCATTGGTCAATGTTTAGTTTTCTTGGTTAAGTCTGTTTCTTAGAAATTATAAGCAATAGGTCAACTATATTTGATGTATTGAATGATTGTAAGGTGTACATGTATTTCTCGTTTGGTTTATCTGACCTTGACCTCATTTTCTTGGATCATGTTAAGTTTATGTGATACTTGTAGTTAACTATCAGCATAAAATCAATGGTTAGTAAAGAAGTGGAGACATTTCAGCATGTGCAATCTTGTTCCTATATATAACGATCTAGGGACAGTAATTTGAATGCTTTTATTTTAAATTAAATGATTACTTTTATTTTGCTTTAATACCATTAGGTATGATGGGAATCATTCATGAAATTTTGAAGTTTTCTTTGTTATGTCAGTTAAATTGAAATTCTTTCAAAATGACAATAATTTTCAGATAATATTTTTTTTCAGATCTGCTCAACACATTTTGCCAATGGGTACCTCAGTCTAAACATACAGAAATTGAAATGACCTGGCCACCAGTGAAGTGATTCTATCATATAATTCAACAGAATTAAAACAACCTCTAGACTACAGATCTTGAGAGATCAAACTTGCCCAGCAGATAACATGGATAATGTTCAGTTCATTTATGCAAGGAAAAACCATGAGGTTAATCAATGTCCAATGTTCAAGCGACAGAACAAATTGAAGTAGTCTGTGAATTGATAACATGACAATTTATTAGACCAAGTGATTGTGTTGTCTAGTTGTGTAACCAGCCTGTGATAAAGCATATCTCTTTATACATAATATTGTTATGATGTTTGCCTATGATGAGGGTTTGGATGGCGGTTTACAAAATAGAGAATAATGGACCAATAATACAGAATAATGAGGCAAAAAAATAAAGAATAGAGAAAAATAAGCCTAAAAAATTATTAGGGTGCTAAATTATAAAGAATAGAGAATACTCAGCAAAATTTTTAAAGAATAGAGAAAAAATTGACTTACAAATTCAAGAATACAGAAATGGAGATCCCCCATCCAGATCCTTAATGATGTTATTTGTTAATGAACACATAAATGCATTGAAATAGAATACTAATTGTTTTTTGACATTGTTGATTTTGATATGATTTATATTTTATCCAAGCTAGGTATGGATGTTGGATGAAATTCATAAACTTGTGTACTGTAGATTCATTATTATTCGTTGGATACTAATTTTTGGTACAGGTGAACCACAAAATTACATGTTGGACAAATGACAATTTTTGTATTGGTTTGTATGCAGACGACAGCAAAACCATGAAATTAAATATCCACGAAAATGTTAGTTTTCCTAAATCCACGAAAATTGGTACCTACAAAAATAAATGAATCCACAGTACATAAAATAAGAAGATGTGGTATGATTGCCAATGAAACAACTCTCGACCAGTGTGTTTTAACCTGTGAAGATTCCATATTATTTATGTTCAGGGCTGTAACTAGGCCTTGAAAACTGACGAGACAGGGGTTTCAGTAATAGGGACTAGGGGGCAAAGCCCCCGGCCAAAAATTGTAATAACAGCTTTCAAAATATATCTTGTTACATCCGTTTTTGTATCATATTTACTGTTTTTGTTTCTTATTTACCATATGAAGAACTGCAATAGGCTATCAGAGCCGCAGACAGATACTTACCTGGAATTTTGTACCATCAAACATGTATCCATTTACAGTAGGGTACATGTTTGATAGTAGAAAAAGCGGGACAAGTGTGTGTGTTGTCCTGTCCATTTAATATTCGAATGGAATGATCACATAACCTGTTCTCCATTTAATAGCTGAAATAAAGCCAACTTGCCGTTAAACCAAACAAATCCTCCATCCATCCGAAATAAATGTTTTGTTTTTGAATAGCAGCCAGGTTTGTAGCAAAACATTTGAAAATGCCTAAAAGTCTACGTTTTATTTGAAAGAGAAATGCACACAATTTGTGTGGTGCTTTGATATTCCTGCATGAGCTGTGAATGCATCTTTGATAATATTGATCGAGCAAGTTGAATAATTCAAATCATTTAATTTTGATTTAGTTTGCGCACTGATAATGTGGAAAAAAATCCATTATCATTTTCGGGGGAAATAAATCCAGAACCAAATGCCTGTTTACTGGCGATGGTAATCAGGCAGAGTTTGATACCTATCGTAGTTGAAATACAAGTACAGAAGCTTCACATCAACATTTATTACTATTAGAAGTATGCATTACTCAATTCTTGGTATGAAAATGCAAGGATGTATTCTACCCCTGCATGCCTAGCTTTCTCCATTTTTCTTTTTTTTTTATATTTTTTTTGCCAGAAATTCAAACGATGCAATTGCCTCGTCTGCCTCATCAGTAGTTAAGGCCCTGATGTAGTAATATTGCATGATGTCACAGATGCACAAGTTTGAATTCCTGCTATCTGAATATTCCTAATTATTTGATATTCTTGCTGAGGGAAGCACAGAAATTTGCAGTTTATCCATCTAATAAAATTGAGAATGGAATTGATGTCACAGATGCACAAGTTTGCATTCCTGCTATCTAAACATTCCTGATTAGTTGATATTCCTGCTGAGGGAAGCACACAGATTTGCTGTATATCTATCTGAACATTTCTGATTAGTTTATATTCCTGCTGAGGGAAGCACACAGATTTGCTGTATATCTATCTGAACATTTCTGATTAGTTCATATTCCTGCTGAGGGAAGCACACAGATTTGCTGTATATCTATCTGAACATTTCTGATTAGTTTATATTCCTGCTGAGGGAAGCACACAGATTTGCTGTATATCTATCTAAACATTTCTGATTAGTTTATATTCCTGCTTAGGGAAGCACACAGATTTGCTGTATATCTATCTGAACACTCCTAATTAGTTTGAATTCCTGCTGAGGGAAGCCGAGAAATTTGCGGTATATCTATCTGAACATTTCTGATTAATTCAAATTTCTGCAGAGGGAAGCCAATCTCTCTGAGAACATTTACTGAAAAGGTTTCATACTTTGTAGGACTCTTTGTCATTATGTGTTATTAACTATACTACTACAATATGGACAGTTAGCTTTAACAATTTTAAAGGAGTTATAGGACTTTTACTATTTTGATGTCTGCTGTTGTTTGGCAGTCCGCTATCAAAATTTTGTTTGCACAGTTAGAAAACGACAGACCTTTGATGATAACTTAACAATCCTTTGTTTGATTAGAATGAAACTTTAAAAGAATAAGGATTAAGGAAAGAAGAGAGGTCTATTGATTTTGGGGTCAATAGGTCAAAGGTCACTGTTACTAAAAATAGATTGTTTTTTTGGGGAAAAATGGTTTCTGGATGTAGCTTCAGTTTTCCTTGCTTGATTGGAATGAAAGTTATACAGGTGGAAGATTAAGGTAGAGAGGAAGTACTTTAAATTTGCCCTACATTATGACTGAGATTAATTCAGATCTTTAAATAATTATGTTACCCGATCAACAATGTTGGGAGACATATTGCTTTTCCTCTGTTTCTTTTTCCGTATTATTATTATTATACTTCCACCTATTTCAGATCTTCAAATAATTATGTCACCCGATCAACCATGTCGGATGATATATTGCTTTTCCTCTTTCTTTTTCCGTATTATTATTATACTTCCACCTGTTTTGTCCGGGAGTTTTCTCAGAGCCAAAGGACAAAGGAACCAATCTAAATGATTATTCACTATAACTAGGAACACAAACTTTTGCTTTACAGTGGAATAATGAACCAAAAAATGGCTGCCGTTACCATGAAGTTGTCCACTATAATCAGGTTGTGGATGATTTTGACAATCATTGGAACTACTATGTTGCCATGGAAACTACAGCAAAAATGTCAAAAATCTCAAAATGCTCTAAACTTAATGAAACTTCACAGAAATGTTGACTGGCATGTAAAGATGTGGCATCTTGCTTTGGAATTTCCAAAATGGCTGCCGTTTCCATGGAAACAATGCAAAATATGTTAAAATGCCTAAAAACCTTTAAAGTAGCATTTCCGCTCTTAAAATGGTTGGTCAAGCTCATTGAAACTTTGATCGTATGTTCACTCTCATGTACCAATGTGGCATCTGTCATTAAAATTTTGGGAATGATGACTGTTACCATGGAAACAGCAAAAATGTCAAAAATTTCTAAATGCTTCAAACTTAATGAAACTTAATGTAAATGTTAACTGGCAAGTATAAATAAGACTTTTGACCTTGGAATTTCAAAAATGGCTGCCGTTGCAAGGAAACAGCAAAAATGTGTAAAAATTTCAACATGCTCAAAATGTTCTCAAAATTTACAGAAAGATGTATAGTCATGCATGTATATGCATTCACCGTTTAAAATGTTCAAAATGGCTGCCGCTTAATGGAAATGGGGGGAGGGTAACACCTGCTATTGCTTGCAATGGCAATTCTAGTTGTTTTTGCTTTTCCTTTCAGGTTTCAATTTCTCTGTTGAATATTGTATGTATGAATAAAAAGAAAATTGATGTTTATCTCAAAAAGACAGCAATTATATCATTTCTCTAAGCCAAATATTTTCCATTGGAACAATCTTGAACTGATTTGTAAGGGTAGCACTTTTACAAATCAGACTTGCAATGAAATGTTTGTTGTTGAACAGCATCTTTACCTTACTCTCTTTAATTGATGTATTCGCATAAACATCACTATAATCCGTTAATTTTTGGTATAGTTTAGATGGCCCTATGCTTTACAACTGATTTGATATAACCGGTATATTTAAACAAAATCTGATCGGATGTTTATGCCCCGCCTGCAACTGTAGTTTGTCATGATTGCCGATCTATGCATTCATCTGTAAATCCAGTAAGTTTTTTGCACTTTTTTTCTGTAATGTATCAATCTATCGATTAGATCATTTGTAGACGACAGTTTTATCATAGAAAGTTACTTATATACTTTGCTTTGGGACTATTACACTTAGTTTATATATTTGTCCCGAGTTTCATTCTTTCTGAGCTATTTTTGAAGAATTTGCATTTGCTTAGATATTTGTTGTATAGTAATATCCTTTCTTTGTGTTACATATTGAGTTTAAATTTGTTCCTGTTAAGCGATTTTTGCGGATGTTGGTTGGGGCCATTGCCAATGGAAAATTACACTATCCATCAAACTGACTTCCAGATAGCAAGATTAAAAACAAGGTAGTCCAATATCACCTTGAACAGCAAAATGAAAGAAAACATGTCAAATGGCACTATCAATTTGCACTATCTGTCAAATTGATAACTCGGTAGCACAATGAAAATATTCGAACTTAGTATAATCCCTTTAACACAATAATTACCAAAGAAAAAAAAACCCATTCAAAGTAACAGGTATTTTCGTTACATTATTCACGACTCAAATGCATGCGTCCTCGCATGTTGTCAATTATTGACTCCACAATTTAACTTTGTACGTTATCGAATTCTAAATACACTTAACGGTTATTTTGTTATCCTGAATTATATTTGGTTATACCAAAACGCGTAAGAATTTCTTTGCCACTGGAAAATTGATATACTAGTGTGTCAAATCGATTTTGAAATAATTTAGCCTCTGCAGCGGCAATAAGACCTACTCTTCACGAATCTACAGGAGGGATCTTTAACATGCACTGGGCGTGACATTTACCCTCAAGATAGGACCTCTGATTAAACATCCCCATCCAACGGACTCGAGACCATAAGAGAATGGACAACATAATAAAACACAAATAGTACACCCAGAAACGTGTCGTCCCCCAAACGTGTCTATATGACGTCACTTAAACCCCAAACATGTTTATCTGATGAAGTACGTCAAACGTGTTTTTTTCTTTCATGAACGCCCAGCCATGTCCATATTTGATAAGCGCCCACACGTGTCCACCTTTATTAAAAGTATTTCGTTATCACAATTTTTGTTTGAAACCAAATCCAGACCAGATCATTGCAGAGACATTAGATCTAAAGTGCACAAAAAAAAAATCCATGGAGTTATAAAATGTTCTTCCTTGATTGCAATCTTTCAAAGTGTGCTGTTTTGGTGTTGTGGAAAAAGGAAATTCGAACAGTAGGTTTTTAAAGGAC